ATTGATTATACTCTCAAAACGTTACCGCATCTCATATCAGTTACCTTATCATCTGTAAAACCAAAATCCCGGTTAACCTTTTAGCGGTGGAAGATATCGTTGAACTGCGGTGCCTACGCATGGTGTATGAACAAATGTTCAGATAAGCCTGATCTAGTTCAAATATCAAAGCATAATTTCAACTATAAAGTAGTGTATTCGATGAAAATTAAGGTATCGAAATCGACACTTTCAGTCCGCCATCTTTAATGCGAAGGTGACGGCCGTTACCGGCTTGATACTGACCAGTGAGTTTTAGTCTAGATTTTGGACATCGCTGATCTGAGGCCTAGGAATAGGTTATAAATTGTTTTTAAGAGTTATTTTATGCAGTCCCAGTGTATAGAAATTATCTTATTATTTAGCTAAATATACATTAGCCTACTTATACATTGATAACGATGAAAAGGATGAACGAATGATTGACATAACACAAGACATACTAGTTTAATACATTCTACAACTTTTAAGAGCATATTAATCCATGGATACACGGCTCAGCCTCCGAGTTGAGAAACGCGACACACCCGCCCTCTATGAGCAAGTCATAAGAACAGCTAAGCCAAAAATGGCCTAGATTTTATAACTTGCACGTGAACGTGTAATAAATATTATGGCCCCAAGGATCTGTCAACATCTCAATTGTTTTTTCCAGGGACCTCATCACAACTATTTCCCGATACCGTTATACTCAATAGGCCAAATAAATACTAGAGGGGGAGAACTAATCCTCGGAGACCCACAATTGTACATTATCATTGTTTTTTTTTGTTAAAAACGTGCAGCTGGACTTCCCCAATATATTCCAGAGTATGCATACGACAAGAACGCCATCTTTCTATCTTGATAAGCTCTAGATTCACATCTCCAGTCTCATTCATAAAGTCTGAAAGTCACTTGCACAAAACTAAATCACTCTTGGCAGGCCCGTAGCCAGGATTTGCCATGGGGGAGGTTTGAAAATGTCCAGGGGGGGGGGTTCACTTTTGACAATTTTGGTCCAAAAATGGCCAAAATCACTTAAAATGAGCTCAGAATGATGAAAAATTGCATGATTTTGAAAGAATATTTGGCCTTGGGGTTACTGGCTACCCTGGCTACGGGCCTGCTTAGTGTATCAAATTCACTGATGAGAGTTCTATCAGGATCTTAGCAAATGACTGATATACAGTGTGAATCAAAAAACGCAACAGATTGTAATCTCGGAAAAGCACAAAACCAGTGAAAATAGCATTGATTTCATTCAATTTCATCATAGAAATCAAGATAATAAAAGAGACCGACTTGGGCAAGGCTAGTTCCAAGCTTGAACAATCCATTTTTGGGAAGTCACAGTTACCTGCTAGTATAGTAGGGGAGTGTAGAGTGGGTGCCATAGAGTGTACATCTTCAAAGTAGAACACACTGGAACAATCAGATCAAAACTAGGAAGCAAACTTCATTTGTAATGTTAAGAGCACAACTTGTGGAATGTGGAAGTATGAAATATGGGGGGGGGTGTAAATGTTGATTTTCAAGTGAATGAAAGTCAAATTAGCAGATCAAGTTTCTCAACTCTATCCCTTGAAATAATTCCAGTGATCTCCCCAGGATGTTTTCTCAGGTGGGTGCAAAATTCTCATTTTCACAATTCAGACCAAAATTAGTCAAAATATGCCAATTTTTAATGATTTTTCCTCGTTTCCAAGTGGGTGCAAATGATTTTCAGGTGGATGCAAGCCTATTTTTTAATTCTCAGGTGGGTTCTGTGCCCATCTATTTTAATGCTTGGGAGATCACTGAATTCCACCACATTTTGGCAAAGACTTCTCCCACCAGCATAATTTGGGGGTTGTCCCAAAAGGACTGCACTAAATTTTACATGTAACCCATGTTATTCACGCAAGAAACACCAATCAATTTAATAAAGTCTCGATTCTAACCTCTGTTACCTTAAAGGGGTTCTTAAGTTAATGAAGGACTAAACATTATAATGTTTTTGGAGAAAACATTATTTCTTAATATGTAAAAAACTAAATTTTTAAAAAATCTTTTTCTTCAACCAAAATTTGTTAACAGTGTTCAATAGCGACACATGTACTGTATAACAGCCTATATATAAAAAATCATCATTTTCACATATTTTTTACAGATAAAAGACTTTAACGCACCCCTGCATATACGAAATCAATCATTACGGCACCCCCGCTATATGAAACCAATCGTTACCACACCCCCGCTATATGAAATCAATTTAAGTGAAGAATTGGGTGTAAAATATCTGAGGCGGCACCTTTGGTTAATTGTCCAACAAAAATTAGACATATTTATAGATTAACAATATATTTAATATTTAAGCTCTCACATAGAAAATGTCTGAAACCAAGGGGAGAAAATCAATGCTAGAAATCCATAGAACTGATTATGACTACAATAGAAAAAAAAATTAACCTATTTTCTAATGATGCTAAAAAATGAACCCATATTCTCAGAATAAACGATTTTTTAGAGTAAACTTAGATCCTTGATAGACTTAATGATTTTTCAGAACAAATTCACTGTAACTACACAGAAGTTACATTTATTCCTTACCATATAAGGTCATAAAGATATCTGGCATATATTGATATATAGCGTGTGATCTAAAAAAAATAAGCAAGTCATTCATAATCCATACAGTTATCTACAACCCCAGGAACCTTTATAAAAAAAATTGTCAGTTACAAAAAATGGATATGATTGTTATAAAATAACAAAAGATATAACTTCACTTTAAATACTAAAGTTGTTTGAGGTATGTATTTCAAATAAAGTTTTTGGCAAATATAAATTGGCAAAACAAGTTTTGATTTTAGTTAATACCTCTGGTACCTAGTAAAAATAGGTAAGTGCTTGTAACAATAGGCAGTGCTTGTAACATTTAGGCAGTGCTTGTAACAATATCCATTGTTGTACAATTAATATATCATGATAAGATAGTGTCCTCAAGTCAAACGTGTGAAAAAACAAAGTAAATATCACCAAGATTTAATCCCCCTTCCCCTCATATAACAAATTTTAAAAATGTTCATTTGCCTTTCACTTGGGTACTGTAAAACGGGTAATTTTGACACCGGGAAATTTTATCGATTTTTCAATTTTAGGGGGTTTTAGCGCGGGAAATTTTAGCGAAATGAAGATTAATCTTTAAAAAATCAAATTAGTGACAGTCTAGCGAAATGCATTAGAAATTTTATCATTTATGGCAGAAGAATGAATAACGGACATGACAGAGGAATTATCAAAATGTAAGACTTCTAACGCACATGGTATTGGTCCAAACTACTGTAATCTGATGATGGATGGCTATTTATTCTTCAGATATTGAAAGAAACATACGATTTAAAAATATTTACCTTTTTCAAATTACAAACTGGAAGTCGAGCAATGAACGAAAAGCTCCTTAAATACTAGTATTCATGTAGTTTCCCGGGAATTTGCAAATTTTACCGCCCGGTTTATTTTAACCCCGGTTTATTTTAGCGAATTGAATTTTTAGCGAAACTATAGCGATCGCTAACAATCGCTAACAATTACCCCTCGCTAACAATACCCGTTTTACAGTATTTCAAACAAGGCCTTTACATGCAAATGTCACCACCTGCCATTTGTTACAGATGCCTGTTACAGAGTGAGACACCGAGCACAATTTGTCACAGACGCTGAACAAGCCACAAAAAAAGTTGGAGACAGTTACTTCTGGTGATGACATAAAAATCAACATTCTTCATTTATGAAATCATCATTTACCCACTTCCCTTCTAACAAAATAATAACTGTTTATTCAAAACAGTTGCCAAGTAGACACCTTCCCTTATACTTTTCCTTAATTCTGAATCCATAAACAGTCTGCCATGTGTACTTGTATGTTAATGTATTGCAGTGTGGGCAATAAGCATTTTGGAACAACTGCCTTTCATTTGAACCAATGCCTGAATGCTTGTGTCCAATTGATAGGGATCCATACTGGTAATTTACACCTTTGATCTTTGACTCCATTTTTGGTTTCGGTGGAATCAGCTTTATTTCACTAGTTAGGTCTGACAAATGGTGCCATTGTTCTAACTGGCCTTATTCCTACAGTTTGAAACACTTAAGAACATTTAACACACTCTCTAGACCCATTGTAGCCAGTTGTTACACATATCAAACGCTGAACACTTACATGTACCACCAACTGCTGCCACAAAAAAGTTAAAAACTTATAACAATATGTCACCACTTGTTGTGGTGAAATTAAAAGCACTCGTTAAGTGTACATTTCTATTACATGTTCATGTTACTTCCATAACTTGTCTGAACATCTCGTGCAATTGCAACAGTTCTAATAAAGTTTTTCAATTCTACAATCAGAGATATAAAGACCAGAGATATAAAGAGGATGACAAGACTGCAAGAAACATGTCTATCTGACCTATCACCATCCAAAGGTTTTCATTATCAGCAAATACAAATTTTCTCCAGTCAGTTTTAAAAGATTTGCCAGCTGTCTCACAAGGATAACTTTAAATACTGTATTCATCTTGAATTAGGCGATCGATTTAATTTGGCAAATTCACCAATATGTTCAATATCCAAAAATTCACCTAACGAAGTAATGCCAAATTTAAAATGAATACAGTAGCATATTCAAAGTTTTGGGTGAGAAATGATGGGGAATTTGACAAAATAAAAATTGGACTGTCAAATAATTCTCTTGGCTGAAATGAACCTAGTGAGTCAATATCTCCACCATTGGATCAATAATAGATGGGCAAATAGAGCCAAAATTTCTATCACCAGTACCATGTCAAAATCCTTACCCTTGGGACAAAACTGTACATAAAATTTCTTCTAGCCTCTGGAGTCTTACGCAAACCCTTGAATGGTGGATAATTCTGGTTAATGGTGGTAGTAAAGGTTGATTCTAAACCGAATCGCAATTACTAAACAATCCTAGAAATCCAAAAATCTGAACACAACCAATCCTGAATTGACTTAGCCAGCATAACATTCATATCTACTATTAAATTCTAAATAATCTAATTTCTTGGCTAGTCCTGAACTGACTTCACCAGCACAATATTCATATCTCTAGTCTACTGTTAAATTCTAAATGATCTAGATTTCCGAGGTCTGAATGATTTCTTGGCTTCTTGATGCACGAAAAGCTCTGGGCTACGGCTACCATATATGGTTGAAGTAGCCTCAGTGGTTTGAATATCAGGCAGAGGAGTATGGGAAGACAAGTCATCCTTATTTAAAGGAGCATTCCCCGAGTATTTCCTTAAAGGGGGATTCAGGTCGAGTTTAGCTGTCGTTGTTGTTGTAGCACAGTCTTGTGGTCTTGAGTTAATATTATTGTTCATGGCCACTCGGTTTGATTCCTCTCTGGAGCCTAGTGTCACTTTATGAGCCATTATGCCCCCGAATAATTCCACACCCCCATCTGGTCTCGATGAGCTACTAGTGATTTTAGGTAGTTTGATTTTGTGGTTCCCTACTCTACCAATAGGTGGCCTATTGTTTATACTCGTAATCGCTGAGTCCATAGCACCAAGTTCAAAATGACTCGAATCAAAATTGTGGTTCGTTCCGCCATAATGGTGGAAATTATTGCGATTCTTGGGTTTTGATGGGAAATTATTATTTCCGTCAGTCTCGGAAGTGTTTGCATGTAATAGTAGGGTAGAGTTCAGTTCCTTACTGACTGTATTGTATTGTAAACTATTGTTTGAATTCATTTGGGTATTGTGAGTATTACTGTCACCTGATTGGTTGATATTACTGCCACCTGATTGGTCAGTATTTCCCTGATCTTCTCCCTGAGAATTGTCTGGTGGAGCTGCCGAATTATGATCCCCTGAGTCTTTTTGTTGCCCTTCTGCCTCTTTTTCAGCCTCACCACCAGATGGCGTCCCAATGTCACGTCGTAGGAATACCACAACCACGGTGATGTTATCGTTAGAGCCATTATCTCGGGCAGTCTCAACAAGTTTCTTAGCAACGGAGTTATAGTCATTAGTTTCTTTGATATGTTCGTGAACTATATGTACTAGATCATTGGGGGTCACAGTGTCCCATAATCCATCACATGCTAGGACTATGTAGTCATCAGAGCCCCCTATAGGGAAAGATGCATAGTCGGGCTCCCCACTGATGTAGGGTTTGTGGTCAGCATCTCCTGCAATAACAATTAACTGTTCGTCAAACAAACCTTTATGCCCCAAACATAAGCTCCACTTGGTGGCCTCGACATAATGAAGAAAATAATCTTGAAAACTACACATCTCAATTTATTTGGGAAAAAAACAAAAAGTTTGCTTGCAGCTACAAATTAATTTCCTAGAATTGTTCAAAGAAGCCATTTACATGTTCAAAAATTCAGACATCTATCACACTGTATGTTATACTATGATTCTGAAGGACTACTGTAGCACTTTGCATTCATTAACATTAAATAGCCCTCAAAATATGTATGATTAAATGTGCTTGGCTATTAATTTCAGTGTAGCACAGCCATTGAAATAAATTCATACAAGGCCTTAATATGTCAAAATATCACCACCTTGTAAGTTTTTGCAAACTGTTTCAGATGTCAAACTCCAAACACTGACCACCGGATGCCGAACACCATCCACAAAAAAGTTGGAGACTATAACAATATGTCACCACTTCTGGTGGTGACATAATAACATCACTCTACTATACCTAACACCTAGAAATGCATAAGATACTTTGTTTGTCTCATTGTATTGTTTAGTGTATTTTTGAAAGTGCCTTTTAGTAACATTTAACATTCAACCGACAAGGCATTAACATGACAAAATGTCACCACCTAAAACAATTTGGTCAATTTAAAGCAAGTTGGAAAATACCTTTTGACCTTAAGAAGAACTTCTGAGAACATGTAGATGATTTTGAAAAAAAAATTAGTCAATTTGAAGCAAGTTGAAAAAAGACCTTTTTGACCTTGAGAAGGTCATTGAAGGTCAAAGGTCAAATCTAAAGTCAGATTTGAACTTCTGAGAACTTGTAAAGTCAAATTTGAACTTCTGAAAAGATGTAGATGATTTTGAAAAAAAAATTGGTCAATTTGAAGCAAGTTGAAAACAGACCTTTTTGACCTTTTTTGACCTTGAGAAGGTCATTAAAGGTCAAATGTCAAATCTAAAGTCAGATTTAAATTTCTGAGAACATGTAGATGATTTTGAAAAAAAAAATTAGTCAATTTGAAGCAAGTTGAAAAAAGACCTTTTTGACCTTTTTTGACCATGAGAAGGTCATTGAAGGTCAAATGTCAAATCTAAAGTCAAATCTAAAGTCAGATTTGAAGGTCAAATGTCAAATCTAAAGTCAAATCTAAAGTCAGATTTGAATTTCTGAGAACATGTAGATGATTTTGAAAAAAAATTTAGTCAATGTGAAGCAAGTTGAAAAAAGACCTTTTTGACCTTGAGAAGGTCATTGAAGGTCAAATGTCAAATCTAAAGTCAGATTTGAACTTCTGACAACATGTAGATGATTTAGAAAAAAATTGAAGTCAGTCTAAACAGTATTTGTTAAGTTATAGGAAGTTGTAAGAAATTGTTAGAGACGCCGGACGCCGGACGCCAACCTCCAACCACCAACCGCCGTCACAAAAAACGGAGACCATAACAATATGTCACCACTTTTGGTGGTGACATAATAAACCATTAATAAGGAACAGACAAATAAAAACAAATGCATAATCATGATTACTAATAAGCCAAATGGGTTGCTCATGAACACCAAATGCAAGGTATAGTACAGTGAACATGGCTAATTATGCCAATGTGTCAAAGCCATGAAATAAATTCAAACAAGAAGTACCTATTGCTCTTGATACAGACAGTGAACCATTCACTCGCCAGGCTCCGTACCAAACTACACAGCCTCCCAGCTCTTCAATGCGCTTCTTCTCATCCTAAAAGCAATAAAAATTACACATTAGAAAAAATAAAACAAAATACACTGTACATGCCCATAGGTAGGCATTGTTCAGGGATTCGTGAAAAGCCAACATGTGAATGTGACTAATTCCCTGACCCTTCCCTGATTTAAGCGTAATATTTCCTAGCCAATTGACCCTTTCCATATAAGTAGAAAAATAGATGGCATCGTGGGTATTGGTAGGGCTAAATAACATGTCAACTCTAACAAGCTTTTAAACCTATATGGAAAAGCCTCTATTAATAGACTACCTACAATCAAGCAGACATCATAAGACCATTTTTAGCCAATCATATCACGATGACAAGATCATGTGACCCTCCATGTGCCCCAAGAATGATGGGATAGCTTACCTCTCGTTCTGGTTTGTGTGGCTCCATAAGTGTAAACTGGCTCCCATTCTTTACAAGCATGGCTTGAGAGTCCCCTAGCCAGGCTACATGTAGAGTCCCATCCCTCAGTATAGTACATACACCTGTGCTACCACTTCGTATACTCTAGAGAAAATAAGGTTTACATTGACTGGTACTGCACTCTTCAAACTCCATTTTGGTAACAAAATGTTGGAACCTCCATTTGGTAACAAAATGTTGGAACCTCCATTTTGGTAACAAAATGTCAGAACCTCCAATTTATAATTTTTATTTTTTTCTTATTTCACGAATTGAAGGCAGAATTTCCACGACAATTCTGTCACAAATGTGTGTCAATATCATTTGTTCAAGATCGATCTTAACATTTGCAAACAAATAGCTCAGAACACAGTCATACTGACAGAATTTATGAGATGTTGATCTTGTACTATCATTTGAGGCATAACTATATTACAAGTCCCTATTTCATGATTTGTACCTCACGTGCTGCCTTTGCTACAAATTTGGCATCTGTATCAGTGAACCCATGTCTCATGGCAGTTTCCAAGTCATCATTGAAGTTAGGATGGTTGACAATGTTATGATGTAAATGAGTAGCTGCGTATACAGAGGCATCAACTCCACCGTGACCATCAAATACAGCAAAATATGACTGATCAACTGCATCCTGGAATGACAAAATGACAGGTTAAATGTAAACTATGTTATGATATAAATGAATGGCTGCCTATATAGAGGCATCAACTCCACCGTGACCATCAAATACAGCAAAATATGATTGATCAACTGCATCCTGGAATGACAAAATGACAGGTTAAATGTATACAATGTTATGATGTCAATATGAGTGGCTGCGTACACAGAGGCATCAACCCCACCGTGACCATCAAATACAGCAAAATATGATTGATCAACTGCATCCTGGAATGACAAAATGACAGGTTAAATGTATACAATGTTATGATGTCAATATGAGTGGCTGCGTACACAGAGGCATCAACTCCACCGTGACCATCAAATACAGCAAAATATGATTGATCAACTGCATCCTGGAATTACAAAATGACAGGTTAAATGTATACAATGTTATGATGTAAATATGAGTAGCAGCGTACACAGAGGCATCTACAGCAAAATATGATTGATCAACTGCATCCTGGAATTACAAAATGACAGGTTAAATGTATACAATGTTATGTTGTAAATATGAGTAGCTGTGTGCACAGAGGCATCAACCCTACCGTGACCATCAAATACAGCAAAATATGATTGATCAATGTTATCTTTGAAAGCAATATGACGGGTTAAATGTATATAATATTATGATGTTAAGGGGTGGCTGCGTACACAGAGACATCAAATGCCACACGATGGTCCAAATTGGCTCATATTACAAGTTTCCAATTTAAATGCGAGCCATTAGGTGTTGTGTTTCCTTTATTTCAATTAAGTTAGGCTTGTTGATCGATCATTCTATTCTGTGACAAGAAAACACTTGACTAGTTAATTCCTGGATTCAGATTAGATACATCTACCCTTGCCAAGAGTATGACTTTGTGTACCCTCTATAATTTGAATCAATCTTGATTTGTAGCTAAAAGTCACAACACCGAATCTCCTCACTGATAGCAAGAAAGATAACATATTTTTTTACATTGTACCCAATATATTAAACATACAAAAGATACAACTTATACAAGCCATTGACATGTAAAATGTCACCACCTGCCATTTGTTACAGATGCTGAACGCTGATCTCTGAACACCAACACAAAAAAATTGGAGACCATAACAATACACCACCACTTGCACAAATCATCCGTAATAATCAGAGGGAGGGGGTGGTGTAGATAGAAGATAAGGATTCAGGGTATTTTGATCTAACAGGAAATAACATCAATGCGTCTGGATAAAGTTAAATAATAATGGATTTTATAGCCAAGAACCTGCATCAGTTTTCACCTCAGGATTTTTTCTCAAGTGGGTAAATTTATTGAATTTTACCTTCTCTGGCTTTGTAATGTCAATAACTGTCTAAAACAACAAAATGTCATTTTCCAATTTTCAACAAATACTTAACTGGGTGCACAATCATTTTCAAATTGTCAAATGGGTGCATGGCAATTTTTGAATTCTAAACGCCTAGGTGCAAAATAATTTTCAAAAGATTGGAAGATGGAACATTGTCTTTTATCCATAATTGCTGTTTGTGATTGAAGCTGCAGTTACAATCAAGGTCTAACCCCATCATTCTTGTGGGATTACCATAGATAAGATTTATACAAAGGACATACAGTACTGTACTGTAAAGCATTAAATTCACAAATTCAGATTTTTATGAATTCTGAAGTACTTATCATTTTGCTTTTAACGAGTTAATTTTTTCAGGATTTTTGTAACCTAAAATGATCAATTTTAGGCATGTGAAATTCATGAATCAGAACACAAGACAATGATCTCTACAGGATTTTTTCTCAAGTGGGTGCAAAATTCTCAAATTCACAATTCAGACGATGATTAGGCAAAATATGCCCATTTTTCATGATTTTTTCATTTTGAAATGGGTGCAAATGGATTCTCAGGTGGGTGCAAGCCTGATATCAAAATCTCAGATGGGTGCTGCGCCCACTTGCTTAATTGATCGAGGCAAATTGCAACTTTAAGAGACTATTCCAAATCTGTTAAGCCTTCTGAAATTGTAAGGAAAATCACTTTAATCCAAACACAATCCGTTTTATAAATAGCACGGCTGATATCTCCATATATTCAGTGGCCATTAGTCAGCGCTACTTCTAAAATAGTTCTTCCAAACAGGTTACCATGGAGATAAGATGTGAAAGGTTTATCAGTTTAGATGAGGGTATCAAATGCCGATCGTCATGGTATTGGAGCAAATGGGTATTTTATACTGTTGAAAATTCCTAAGTACTCTTAAAAATCTCTTTCCAATCGTCATGGCTTTCTAGGATTGGAGCAACCGGGTGCTGAACACAGTTAAATATTCCTAAGTATTCTTAAACATCTCTTTCCATCTTGTCAAAAAATTGAAGAATGAAATATTCACATATTTCAACCAAAATTGGTAAAATAAAGATTTAGCAACCTGTTGAGAAAAATAACAGAGAGATAGTGATGGTGAAATTTTTTTATTTCAGATAGAGCTGGGTCCCAGGGTCAGTTCAGAATTACTACAAATGTTTAACTATAAAATTTTGGCACAAAATCTAATTCCATCTTGTCAAATTAAAGGCAGAATCAGATCTCCCAAATAACAAAAATGGTAACCATAATTAGAGAAAAAATATGTTAACATTATTGTAAAAACCTGTAGTTTTCCTGATAACTTCCTGAAAAGTCTGAGACTGGAATTCTGATTATGTAGCTGAATTATGATTAATATATTCTAAGTATTCTGAATTGGTAATCAAAGATCAAAGGATTATCTCTTATTTGTAGTGAATCTCTCTTTTAAGTGAAATCAAACCAATGAAAAGGGTAAATTTGACAAGTTACCTTGAATCCAAATAAGCTATTTAGGTCCGGAAGCACGACGTGCCTATCTTCCATTTTACGACGAGTATTCTTGATGTAATATGTAGATACTTCAAGCTGCCTCTCTGATTGGTTAAAAACTGGAAGACTTTGGCTCCACCTATTGCAGACCTCATGAACCTTGTTGAATACATCTCTTGCTAATGAGTCTGCCTTTAACTCTGAAATAAAAAAATAATTAAATAAACGCCTGAAGTAATCGCCATTTGTTGCGAACGCTGGACACCATCTATGAAAAAGTAGCAACTATAACAGTCTCCAGTTTCCAACAAAAAATCATGAAATTGACGGACATATACCAGTTCATGCTCTGTGAATATGAAAAATAGAGATGATCTTCTTTAAGCAGTATTTCACATTATTTTCTTGTTTCCAGTTGCTAAAATGAAACAGTTCTAAAATACCATTGTTCTTAGAAAGAATCATTAGACCGGTGGTATTGAGGCCTATTGTTTGAGCAATTACGGGTCTCCTAGTACAAAATCAAAGATCAATAGTTCATTAAGGCTACAAATGTCAGTTTATTGAGTCAATTATTCTAATTTATCAAATTCTCTGACATCTGTATCAGGAAAAAAACAGATACAGTGAAACCTGCCTCGTCCAAAAAGTACTGGGACCAAAAAAAAGTATTCGGATTAGCAGGTGTTCACGTTTCAAGGTTTTTCTTCGTAAATGTTAGTCAATAGGCAGTTACAAAGTTGCAACCTCCGATCACAGGGCTTCAAAATCCAGAATATATTCTTTCTTTTACCCCCTTGCGATAAGCAGTTAGCATTTTGCCGTTTAAGAACACGCAATCTGATTGGCTGTTGCAACACTGCGACAGAAATCATGTATAAGTCATTGCGCATAATTAGATCATGTGATTCAGTTTAATCGGGCGCTTCCAATTTGGTTATAGCAGGGGGAAGAAGGAGGTAAGGATTCTGGATACCTGCTTAGGAGGATGCAAAGTTGGTACTGAGAAAAAATGTTCAATTGAGAGGTTTTCAGTTAAGAGAGGTGTTCAGTTAAGAGAGGTGTTCGGTTAAGAGAGGTGTTCGGTTATACAGGTTTTGCTGTTTTATATCAAAATAGATGAAATACAAGATTTGCAATTTATAAAAGCTACAGTGGTTATTTATAGACAGAGAGACTTGAGAATGAGAAATAGTCCTAGATTATCACGAAAAGTTTTCATCAAATAAATAAGTGTGTTTATAGCAACAGGTCACAATAAATAAACCTGAGTAGAGTGTTTTTCTATTCTTAAAGCTTCTTCAAAAATTTATTGGAGTCTTAAAGTGATTTATAGTATCTTTTAGTCGGATGACACCTCTTGACACCGCTGACATCAATGTGCTAAATAATTCAGCTGATAAAATATAACCCTGAGCGCAGAAGTTAGTATTTTAGAGTTGAGCAGTCCTACCCCTTAAATGCCAGTGGCCATCACATGTACTCAGTATAAATACAGACCCGAAAAGTTACGATTTCTGTAGCTGAATATGAATATCATAAACTCAAGTTTGGAGAAATAGACCCCTGGGTCATAAATCAAAGATCAGTTTTCTGATGGTGATGACATCTTAATGAGCTCAAATGGTTTTATGGTCTTTAATATGAGTATGAATATGAATATTAGCAATTTAAAGGTGTCCTGTTTTTCTGACAAGTCTGATTGGATCGATCTAAAAATTATATCTCCTTCAAAGAGGGTATACAAAGGTGAGCGAATCACTTTGTTTTAACAAGGTGATAAAAAGGTCAGCTCTGTATTTACTTGCAGATGAATACTTAAAAAAACAAAACAAGTCAGACACAAGCTGTAAACTGTGATCTTGTTCCATCTGGCAAAACCATTGAAATGAATGAACTTCACAGGCAAATTGCGTTCAGCAACGCAAAAAAACATTCATGCCCATTTTTCATTATGGCCATTTCAAATGCAAGGCTTAAAGCATTAACAGGATGAAATATCTCAGATTCAATAGATATGCTTAACAAAGAGCATTAACAAGCTTTCAATAGATTAAAGCACCTCTTATGTTTTTGTTATCTGAGGCTAACTTACGTGGAGGGTCGCTATCAGCTTCTATGTGTCTACTGAGGTCTGTGTTAAGTATATCTTCAGCTACAGAGTGAGCAATGTGTGATGCTAGACCCACGGGGCACTCACTGAAACAAAGAATACACTCACTAAAACATAGAATACACTCACTGAAACAAAGAATACACTCACTAAAACATAGAATACACTCACTGAAACATAGAATACATTCATTGAAACATAGAATAATGTTCTATAGTATGAGCAATGTGTGATGCTAGACCCATCGGGCACTCACTGAAACATAGAATACATTCATTGAAACATAGAATAATGTTCTATAGCATGGGAAATGTGTGATGCTAGACTGACAAGACACTCACTGAAACATAGAATACACTCACTGAAACATAGAATAATGTTCTATAGCATAAGCAATGAGTGATGATAGACTGACAAGACACTCACTGAAACATAGAATATATTATTTGAAACATAGAATAATGTTCTATAGCATGAGCAATATGTCATGCTAGACCAACTGGGCACTTGGTGAAACACAGAATAATGTTTTAATTGGTTAATAGGCCCTTTGGGAGTTCACAGTTAACATGCTTACAAAGTTGTATGATCAGTGGTAAAAGAATTAGAGTTAGTACCTAATTTAACTATGACTGATTTGTTTTCGATGAGCTATGAAGACACCAAACACAAGTGTTGCATTTCACTCCAATGGCAATATTAGACAAAATCAAAATAGGTGCCTTTAAACAATTTCCAGTAACAAAAAATGTAAAAACAATCAAACGGCAAAATGTCAAGTTTACCAATATTAATGTTTCATCAAGATAGCAAGAAAAGCAATTAGAGGGTAACACTGTATTGACAAAGTGAAAATAGAGAACAGATTAATCCATTCCGTTTTTTTACACAGAGAGAGTACCCTGGGTCCAATCAGCTAACCATACTCTCCTCTGAGAATAACAATTGATTTTACAGTTTAGAAGATTGTTAAAATGATCTCTTATGTAGTATTTGTGGCCTTTTCTGCAAGTCTCAAAGTAAAATCTGAAAATGTTGCATAATAATTCTTTCACAATGTCTGACTTGATAGAGGCTAGACCAAAGAATCAGTTCAGATGTAAGAGTGGCAGTGAGGCTGAACTCTAATGCAGGGTAAATTAGAGTAAGATTACATTAGAGCTGTAATGGATGAGGTTCTAAATCCCATATCACATACAAGTTGATAATGCAATAAACCAAATGTGCCGATCGATGAAAATGAAAGTAACTCCATTCTGAAAAAGTTACACTTACAGATTTCTACTTCAAGCTACCCTTCTCAATAGTTCGATGTTAGTTCTTAAAAGAGAGATTCATGGTAATTACTGCTACACTCCGGGTATTAAGGATACTTTAGAATGGAAAATTATTTATTAATTCATTAGAATAATTAACCTTTTCATTATGATTTTGCTTCTTTATAATTTGACGAGAATGTTCTAATCAGAATTTGTGATTTGTTATTTTCCAAGCCAGGGCCAGGGGTATAATTTCGTTAAAAATAGAATGATATCGATAACTGCTCATTTGATGGAAATGAACCATTTGCCAATGTTGTAAATCAAAGCCAGTGCCAAATCAAGCATGTTACCAATAATTGTTTCAAGAAAAAAGTAAGGTCATAGCTAAGTACATATAATCTCCCCGATCTCTTATGCTTTGAAAGAATTCTTATTTTGTCCTCTCTCTCTCCTGGCCTCATCCAAGGGGTCAGTGACTAGTATACTCTAGGCTCTGAATAGCGGAAATAAATATACTGCCATAATACTGATAAAATCTAAATAATCAAAAATGTATAGGTCGAGTTCAGATCAATTAAAAGGTGTCATAATATCATAGCATATTGCTAATGAAACAAATAAAAGGTGTCATAATATCATAGCATATTGCTGATGAAACAGAAAGATGTCCTCCAAATAAAGATGATAATCATCACATTTATTAACAGAGTAACTCCTATTGGATGAGCCCAGATCAAAAAAGTACCATAATATCAGAGCATATTGCTAATGAAATAACAAAAAGATGTTCATATATTAAAGGTAGTAAATACATGATAACCATCACACTAAGTGACAGCCACTCATTCGATCGGATGAGCTCAGTTCAAATAAATGTCAAAACATCAAAATGTCTTGCTAATGGAACAGGAAGATGTACATTGGATGAGTTCAGATAAAATTAGAGGTACCATAATATCAGAGCATATTGCTAGTGGAACAGAAAGATGTCTATATATTAAGGACAGGGAATACAGGATAACCATCACACTTAATGACAGCCACTCATTCCATCGGATGAGCTCAGTTCAAAGAAATGTCAAAATATCAAAATGTCTTGCTAATGGAAGATAAACAGTAGATGAGTTTACATAAAATTAGAAGTACATGTACCATAATGTCAGAGCATATTGCTAATAGAACAGAAAGCTGTGATGAGTCTCGTGTCAGAAACATCACATGTCAAGTTTTTATCTTTGTCGGAGAGGGTCAAAGGACATAGTAATATTGACACTGATAATTAGACAGAATCTGATGTAAATATTGACGCATACATGTACTGAATATATATCATACCATGTTTCAAGATAGTACACGAGCAACAGTTGTCAACAATCAAAATTGAAGGTCATTATAATTAATTTTATCAAAGTTAATATTTTTCTCAAATATCCCTTACTGTAAATATGTCCCAATACTGTATTACTAATGATAAGACTGGAGAATAGTATCAATGTGCTGCAGTCTAATTTGTGGTTGTTTTATAAAATTATCTGTTGTTTTGAGAAAATTTTGCTTGTTTTGTTAAAATATATTTTTTCAATATTTTGCCAATTGTTTCATTCATTTTGCATTTAGTTTTCTTTCATTTTGACTGACGTTTTCATTTATTTTGCCAATTGTTTTCATTCATTTTGCCTACTCTTTTCATTCATTTTGCCTGTTGATTTCATTCATTTTGCCTATTGTTTTCATTCATTTTGCCTACTGTTTTCATTCATTTTCCTTCTTGTATTCATTAATTTTGCTTTTTGTTTTCATTTATTTTGCCTGTTGTATTTATTTTGCCTGGTTGTCAGAAAGTCAAATGTAATACAGAATTTGTAATATGAGAAACTCGGGTCAATCTTCTCAGAGATTTATTACGACTTTGATTGATTGGATATTTGCTTCATTTAAAAGATTGATAGAAATGTTTTATTCAACCGTGGAAACTTCTAAGGACATTTGATTAACTCTATCCAGAACATTATCTTAAATCACTGTATGTTTATGACATTATGCAGAAGCCTACCCTGAGTATAGAGGTTAATCTTACAGTAACCTCTGAAAAGTTTACACAATTTTACAGTTTAGCATCCCTGCCCCTACCTACTCCTAGTAGCCGCCACAGTCAGGATCATAAATCAGTAATCTCCCCAGCATTAAAGCAAGTGGGTACAGCACCCACCTGAGATTTTGAAAATAGGCTTGTACCCACCTGAAAATCAATTTGCACCCGTGTAAAATGAGAAAAATTGGCACGTTTTGACAAATTTTGGTCTGAATTGTGAAAATTAGAATTTGCACCTACCTAAGAAAATATCCTGGGGATATCTCTGTAAATCAATTCAAACCAACCACACTAAAATTTTCTCAACCATACAGCAAACAGAAAGAAACATGTTAAAATATGTTTAAATGTATATTCCTTGGCAGACCCTCTCTCTCCTAATATGGTAGCTATAACCATATATATACTTTCCATGTTTAAGTAAAACACAGAAAATGTTTTGATATGGTCAATATTAATCACTTAAAAATATCACACTACTATACCCCCACACTGTATCCTGTATTCCTTTAAAACAAGTACAGGCTACAGGGAAGTTGCAAATGGAGGACGTTTGTTTATTTTCATAGTTCTGAATGTATACTAGATTTTACACATATTCTAAGTGTTCTACTATACATTGTATAGATTCATCGAGCAGTTTGCAACGTATTATTACCAGAAAAGCCCAATAGACAAAGATAGAGAATACCCGCTCCATTTGCAACTTAACCGTACCCTGTATCATTTTTAAATGTGGTAGGGTAGTGTGAATATATGGTTAATGGGTAAACTATGACTTCAAGGGAAATGACCATACATATTATATAGAAAATGAAGCTCTCTTAAAAATATTAGAAAGGGTACTCTTGGCAACAACTGAGTCCACTGCTTGTATTTTCAAAATATCAAAACAAGAAGATTAAATCATATACTGTATACTCAAGATAATATAAATCCTATTGAGATAAGACCTCATTGGATTATTCTTAGCCCTATATACATTTGGTTTTATGATTGATTTTATTGATTTTATTTGATAACAATTTTGTTTTATTTTTGATTGACATGTTATCATGTATGTCAATCAAATGTCAAAACTCAAAGTCAATAATTTTGTTGAGATATAACAATTACTGTATGATAAAGAATTTCTATGACCTTTCCCTGGAGCGATGGGAAAACATTAACAAATTATAGTCTGAAATGCTTAGAAAACACCATATACAATGTAAATTTTAAAAAAATTTGGGGATGAATGAACCCCAATACCTCCCTTTTTGGGACTTGCTTCGCTTGCAGTGATGCAAACCCAAAAAAAGTGTACCCCTTGACATTTGCTGGCCACGCCCCTGCAAAATGGGAAACAAGAATTACAGGGTGTAAAGAGACTTTATGGACACCCAGTATATTGAATATTCATGCTCTGCAGGACTACAGAACTCGTTTCTCCCTTTATTCTGAATATTCTGGATATTCCCATACGTTCGGTCGGAGGATGTGAGGATGTGAATATTAGTCCCCTACAGTTATTGAGAATGAAGATGTACAAATAAATATGGAATATAAAATATATGTACTAACATAGCAGCAATGCTACACCCCTCAAAAAAGATAAACAAATGAGTGTATATAAAAGTAAACATTAATAAAGTGGACTTTGATTTTAAGAAAGTATTTGAAGTGTTTATTGTTTCAGATTTCCTGATCATCCCAGTTTATCAATGATACCATCTGAAAATGAGTCAAGTATTCTAATGTTACTTTATTCACACAAGTAAATATTGTAAATACTAGCCCTACTTGCAGGGTTTGAAACTGGAATAGCCAGAGTAGTCATTTACTGCAAGACTTAAAGAATAACTACCTATATGTGAATCAATGGGAAATTACAAAACTGAGATAGAGGGTGTTCATAGGGGGGAGGGGGAGGGGGAGAGATGTTCTTATTATAGAGATATTCAGATGTATAGGTTTTACTGGAGATGAAAATTGGTCAGTTATTTGTTTTGGCACTGAACAAAATATATTGGTTAGAAGGCCTGATTTGCATCATTTCATTGACAAGACAGAAATGAGACAAGGCATTAACATGACAAAATGTCACCACCTAAAACAATTTGGTCAATTTAAAGCAAGTTGGAAAATACCTTTTGACCTTAAGAAGGTTTGATTTGAACTTCTTAGAACATGTAAATGATTTTGAAAAAAAAATTCGTCAATTTGAAGTAAGTTGAAAAAATACCTCTTTGACTTTTTTTGACATTGAGAAGGTCATTGAAGGTCAAATGTAAAGTCAGATTTGAACTTCTGAGAACATGTAGATGATTTTGAAAAAAAAATTAAGTAAATTTGAAGCAAGTTGAAAAAAGACCTTTTTGACCTTGAAAAGGTCATTGAAGGTCAAATGTCAAATCTAAAGTCAAATTTGAACTTCTGAAAAGATGTAGATGATTTTGAAAAAAGAATTTGGTCAATTTGAAGCAAGTTGAAAACAGACCTTTTTGACCTTTTTTGACCTTGAGAAGGTCATTAAAGGTCAAATGTCAAATCTAAGGTCAGATTTGAATTTCTGAGAACATGTAGATGATTTTGAAAGAAAAAATTAGTCAATTTGAAGCAAGTTGAAAAAAGACCTTTTTGACCTTTTTTGACCTTGAGAAGGTCAAAACCTTTTTTGACCTTGAGAAGGTCATTGAAGGTCAAATGTCAAATCTAAAGTCAAATCTAAAGTCATATTTGAATTTCTGAGAACACATAGATGATTTTGAAAAAAAAATTAGTCAATTTGAAGCAAGATGAAAAAATACCTTTTTGACCTTTTTTGACATTGAGAAGGTCATTCAAGGTCAAATGTCAAATCTTAAGTCAGATTTGAATTTCTGAGAACATGTAGATGATTTTGAAAAAAAAATTTAGTCAATTTGAAGCAAGTTGAAAAAAGACCTTTTTGACCTTTTTTTACTTTGAGGTCATTGAAGGTCAAATGTCAAATCTTAAGTCAAATCTAAAGTCAGATTTGAATTCCTGAGAACACGTAGATGATTTTGAAAAAAAAATTTAGTCAATTTGAAGCAAGTTGAAAACAGACCTTTTTGACCTTTTTTGACCTTGAGAAGGTCATTGAAGGTCAAATGTCAAATCTTAAGTCAGATTTGAAGGTCAAATGTCAAATCTAAAGTCAGATTTGAATTTCTGAGAACATGTAGATGATTTTGAAAAAAAATTTAGTCAATGTGAAGCAAGTTGAAAAAAGACCTTTTTGACCTTGAGAAGGTCATTGAAGGTCAAATGTCAAATCTAAAGTCAGATTTGAACTTCTGAGAACATGTAGATGATTTAGAAAAAAATTGAAGTCAGTCTAAACAGTATTTGTTAAGTTATAGGAAGTTGTAAGAAATTGTTACAGACGCCGGACGCCAACCTCCAACCGCCGGACGCCAACCTCCAACCGCCGGACGCCAACCGCCGTCGCAAAAAAACGGAGACCATAACAATATGTCACCACTTTTGGTGGTGACATAATAGACTCTTGTGCCACTAATTTTAATGGAATAGACTCAACTAAAAAACTAAATTGATTAACCTATTTTGTAGAACAACTAACTTCAAAAATTGCTTATGGCTAAAAAATGTGAAGGATGGTGAATGGAATTCCTAAAATACATTGCATTCATTATGGTATTTTGCATGAAAGCAGAAGGCGGTTTAGTTCTTCCCCTTTGAATTGAAGGAAGTAAAATATATATATTTATTTATCCTATATGCATTTAAAGAGGTATTTTACATTTTATTTTCGTCAACTGCTGGAATACTTTGTTTTCCGTAGTAGATACATATTAATTAAATAATTTAAAGGATTACTCCAGATTAGATAAAACAACAGTCAACTACAGTATATTTTTAAACTTAAAATCAATACTGTCATAAAAGTTATCAAATCAACACCTTTAGCATTTGAATCTGAATCTGGTAGTTGTTACATATGAATAAGTACAGTAACATGAAGAATACACCTCTCAATGTAAAAATATCAAGTGATATCAAAATTATTCCATTTTAACCAACAATGCCCCTTTAACATATACAACATGAAAGAGTAACTCCACCTTGCCCTAAAGCTATCCCATTAGGTAGTGATTACTATAGAATTAATGGATAAAATTACATGATTTTTCATTGGACTGTCAACAAAATCAAAGTGTGCATCAGAGTATAACAGAACTTGGGCAAACTATTATCCAATGACTATCTAAAATGTGTTTAAATGAGTAATTACTCTGTGAATACAGCTTAATTTTGTCAATGTGTTAAGAGTTAACATGATGCCGAAAATAAATTGACGATTTTATATGCGAGGCCTTGTAAGGTTGGGAGGGGTAAGCTTTGCTTCTGTGTTTAAACAGACATAAATATTCACATTTCTTGGACATGCCACAATTTTGGTGTTGACATGATAAACAGCTCTGTTTCGGGCTAGAATTAAAGTGCTACATGTACGCCCCCAAAATGCAATCTGATTTTCGACACCGAAACGGTGTCGATACAGTGCCGGAACAGTGCCGAATGTTTTCGATGCCGAAACGGCGCCGAATTATATTGACTGTGTATATGTACACCTGGTTGTATATTCAGAAAATTTGTCATGTTATCTTGACCAGTTTTGGACCCTTGTTTATTTGGACACTTTCCATGAAGAATCAAAGGACAACAAGACACAGCACTGGCGGATTCAGGGGGTTGGGCCAGAAAATAATTTTGTAGGGCTTCAATTAGTAGACATTTTTGGACATTATGTGGCCTTTTTGGGCCTTTTTAGGCAAAATTATCAAATATAGGCCTTAAATTTTCAAAATTTGCATTTAAGGGCCTAATTTTTTTTCAGATTTGAAATGTGTCCCCCCCCTTTGTTAGCTTCTGGATCCGCCAGAGCACAGTGTCATATATTGTATATACAGTGTGAATACTGAATAGGATACCTTTTTAAACATAAACGAATTCATCTCCTAAAACCAGACATGATAATGATCTCAAATGGCCATTGGCAAATTGTTACGACAGACAACCAAACTAAATGAATTTTCAGATATACAGTAAAACATGTACCAGTGGAACACCTTTTGTACCTCTAAAAAGTGTTCCACTTGGGAGGGATTCCACTTATAGAGGTTCATTTACATTAAGTCAGTTGGTTTGGGGATTCTGAAGTGTTCCACTATTAATAGAGGTGTTCCATTTATAGAGGTTCATTTAACTTTAAGTCAGTTAGTTTTTGGACTCTGAAAAGTGTTTTACTAACAGAGGTGTTTCACTTATAGGTGTTCTGCTTCACATGTTTCACTGTAGTAGTATCCAATTAGATACCCAACAGCTTGAAATAACTAACATTGAGGAAAACACATTTTAGGAATGCATAGTTTGAGCAGGATTAGAGTTAAGGCAAAGTGAGAAAATATTTTCTTAATACTGTTAATTATGAATTCCATTTTTTACCTCAGTTTTACTTGGTCATATTCAACGATCATTTCACTTTTCGTTTTGGCCTCAGTTGATTCTCAAAACTCTAAACATTATTTTGATACTTGAGTCAAAGCCAATGTCACTCGCAATCGTAGAAATTCAGTATAAAGCACACGATTTCTTGGTATTTTTGGCACTATCTTTGGATTGCATCATGACATCATATCTCATTAAGGTTGTCAAGGAATGTTAAATCTGACTTTTTGTAAAGTTATAAAATTATGAAGATTTAAAACCATATTACAATTTATCACTTATCAAAGCTCCTATCACGAGAAATAAATTAATCAAAATAGCACAATTTGAAATTGTGGATATGGCAGTTATCTCTGTATATAATTCAGTTGAACATCATTACATCAATTCTAAACTACGGCTAAGGGCAAAGGGGTATAACTTCAACACAATTTCGTTTCGATATGGGATAACTTCGACACATGAGGTAACGTCGACACATTGTTGTTTATTTGCTCTAATTTCCGATTTAGGGGAGTCAAGTAGTCTGTATCTGACAAAAAATTCCAGACTATAAAGGAGTTAAGTTTTTTTTCTCGCATGGATCAAGATCTCAAGAGATTTGTTTTGATCAAAAATGGAGGACAATGGAAGTTCTAGTTTATAACAAAATAGTATCGAAGTTACCCCATTTCTCATGTCGACATTACCCCACTTGTCGACATTACACCTCTTTCCCCTAGTATTTTAGTTATGCTATCCAAACTTTGTGAGAATATTCATAAAACATCAGCGAACATTCTATGATCATTCTAATTTCAATGACAAATGATTCCAGTTTATAATTGGTCTTCGAAGTTGACAGTGGCATCTGTCAGATTTGTGAAATATTCTTCTCTGTAATGTAAAGTTGAGTGTCACTTTAAAAAACTGTGTGTGATTGTGAAGTGAAAACTCACCTTTTCTCAAGGTATTGAATTGCCCAATCCATGCATTCAGCGCGAGCTTCCACTTCAAGGAGGTAGTAGGTAACAAGTTTAAATGGTAATGGATCATCTTCCCCTATCTGTTCTTTGTGATCTGCGCAGAAACGCTGCAAAAACGCGAGGAATCTCTCTTCGTCAAGTTTACCTGCCATTTCTCCTCTCATTCACAAACACGAAAATTGATGACGTCATGGATATTGGGGCACAAGCACTTTGCCGGGAATTTTGATTTCGAGAGTTTATTTATATATTATACGAATTATCGGTGATATTATTACAGAATAACAATGAAAATGCATAATCAAGGAGTTAAAGTAGTAAAATGATTTTCAATGAAATATAATGGAGTTTGAGTCGCATGGAAAAATGACTGAACGTCTTTGAATTTTGGAAAATTCACATATTATCGCTCATACAGTTTATAAATCAGTATGCAGAGGGAACTTAGTAGCTTCCCCATTCAACCCTCTTTGATGTCAAAACTTACAAAAGCTGGATTTACTACTGTAGAAGATCTCACTGATTTGAAACCACTTCAACTGAGTCAAGGTTGGCATTGAATCATAGGAAATTCTGACCTGTCACTTTGATCTGACACTGTATACATGTACTGTATGATCCTATGGAGCTCTATGGTCCTGACATTTTTGAAAATTGGATAAGTGATTGACTGTGGGAGTCAATTATGTATGGTTATGTTCTTGGAGAAATGGAAACTCTGGAAAAAATCGTCTTGCCCTATTTATTAATTGTAACATATTTTGGGGCGAAATATTAAAAAATGCAAATCACGTATCTTTGTAGAAATCATATCATTTGAAAGTTTGTTGTGTCTATTCAAATGTTTGCGATGCTGTTTTTGAGAGTGAGATCAATGAATCAATGGACGAGTCCACCTCTGAAAGTTTGTGATATATATGATAGTTTTATTTTGTTCTTTGTGTCTTATAATAAACTTTTATTGTAGCCAATTTACACGGGAGTAAATGATAAATTTGAAGTAGCAAAAATCAAGATTTTGAATGTAACCATTTTTTTGGTTATTGGACTTTAACAACTCTGCTATATACATAAGTTAAAGATCTGTAGTGACTTGAAGTTTTTGAGGTAGTTAGAAAGTAATCATTTTGCTCATATAAAATTGAATTCTACAGAGCTATTGTCTGATTTTAAAGAGCAAACTGGTCCTTTCCAATCAGCCCTGTAAATTCATAAATGCCAGATCACTGGCGGATCTGGGGCCTTATATTTCTAAAATTTGGGCCCTCTTTTTGGTTTTAGGGGCCCAATCTTTTTTAAGCATAAGTGTGGAATTTTTTAATCAAATTTGGAATTTGGGCCCCCCTTGTTGGTACCTAGATCCGCCCCTGATGATAATATTGATATGCACATATTTTCAGAACTGTCAATATCTAATGAAGAGGCTCTGGATCTACTGAACCTTGTGCGAGGTGAACATCCATCCAAATTGAAACTTAAACAGACAACAAGTTTTACAGCTTTTGATATGCTTCAGAATGAAGAGAGCCAGCAATGTATTGTAACATTCTCAGAGCAACTTGACAATATGCTTGGTGGGGGGCTCCCAGTTTGTAAGATTACAGAATTCTGCGGTGCTCCTGGTGCAGGGAAAACCCAAATAAGGTATAAGTGATTTAGGCTATAAGTGTTACCATAGCAACCAACTTAACACTTGTTGCATTTGTAACATAACAATAAGTCAAGAGAAGTCACAGTCAGAGTTTATACTGTAATCACCAACACCAACAGACATAGATTTTTAGGAATATTGGTTACCATGACAACATTTTTCACTCTTGGATACTGTTTCGTCATGTAAATGCCTTGTTTAATAACATCATTCCATGATTGTAGCATCCAGTTGTCTGTTGACGTTCAGATCCCTACTTGTTTTGGTGGGCTACAGGGTGAGGCTGTTTATATTGATACAGAGGGGAGCTTTGTCGCAGCTAGGGCTGCAGATATTGCCAAAGCTACAGTGGAGCATTGCAGTAATATTGCACAGGCTGAGAATAATGAAGGTACATTAATTTATTATTTCGCAACCACTAGTGATGACATATTAATATAGTCTCGAACTTTTTTTATGGCTGGTGTTTGGTGGTTGGCATTTGGAGTTCAGTGTTCAGAGTTTGACATCTGTAATGAATGGCAGGTGGTGACATTTTGCATGTTTATGCCTTGTATGTAGAATGGTCTATCCAGTCTATCCAGGTTTGGAGCGACTGGGAGCTACACCCTGATTTGAATTGACCTTTTTTCCATATAAATGGAAAATAGATGGCATCATGGGTATTGGTAGAGCTTGGGTAGGGCTAGAATACATGTAAATGTATTGCCAGAGTTACTTAGTTTCTTGATTAAGAAGTTATTCCATTTGGATGAACTAAAAACACCATTGGAATGTAACTATATGATCTTATTGACACATGGATTGTGATTTCACATTAAAATTGTGATCCTTGTAAGAGTAAATGAACTTTGTGTCAATGGGGATTTAGCCTGACCTTTTTTAGACAACTAGAAAACCATTAGAATTTGAATAAAGGTGAATATCAGTGCAAATCTAAGTTGTTTTGATAGAAAATTACACAAGGAATTCGAATATGCCATCAAATATATTTAAATTTTAGTCTTTAATGATTAAAAATGCAGATCTCCTAAAATCTCATTAAAAACGAGACTTTAACGAGATTTCAAATGTAAATGGAAAAAGGACCGTTGCTTTACAGAACAGCTGAAGTCAATGGAGGCATTCACTTGGGAAAGTGTCTTAGCAGGAATTCACTACTATAGGTGTAATGACTATCTACAACTGCTAGCTACAGTTCACCTTCTACCAGAATTTCTCACTCAACATCCAAAGGTAAGAAATGCTTGGTCAAAACTCATCGTCATGTACTTTAAATATTGTCATCTTCTTTAAAATACAGTAATTGCTGTCAAGGTCATGTGTTACTTAAAGAGGTCATGGTCAGAATGACTTGAATTCATACGTCGATCACGTCTAGGCAAGTAATAGATCTCTTTAGAGTTCATGCAACATCAATTACCATGGCAATGAATTAAACAGTGATCTCTCCAGCATTAAAGTTAGTGGGTGCAGCACCAACCTGAGAATTCATTTGCACCCACTTGAAAATGAGGAAAATTGGTATATTTTGAGAAAAAAGCCATGGGGGTTTGCAGGGTTCGGCGAACCCCCCCCTGGCCAAAAATTCTTTCAAAATCATGCAGTTTTTCACCATTTTGAGCACTTCTCAAGTGATTTTAGACATATTTGGGCCAAAATTGTCAAATGTGAACCCCCCTGGAAATTTTTGAAAACTGACCCCCCCCCTTGGCAAATCCTGGCTACGGGCCTGGCCATGTATCATTTGTCACACTCTGAAAAAGTGCTGTATCATCATCTTCATAATCTTGTGAAGCTGTGTGTGTGTCTGTGCTGGCATCAAAATTCAGAAATTTTTACAAGACAGATTAAAAGATCTTCAATCTACCTTTTTTTGCAATCTACCTTTTGGGCATGCTGGTTAAATCACATGGCAGCCAATCGGCCATTCTGCGCTTATAAGTGTGGTATTTATGACTGTTCATCTTGTTATTGTTTCCAGGTCAAGTTAATTGTAGTTGACAGTATAGCATTCCACTTCAGACATGATTTTGATGACTTCTCACTGAGGACCAGAATCCTGAATGGCATGGCACAGAGCTTTATTAAACTTGCAACTCAGCTGAATCTAGCAGTAAGTTGTTCTTATTGTATTTCCAGACCTGTCAACCATCCCGCAATTAGCGTGATTTTCATGCTAATTTGATCAAAATCTGGCCTGTTTGTGAGTTCACCCAAATCCCTGGTATTTTCTGGAAAATTTATGTCTAAAAATCTGTCCCTCAAGAAAATCTTCAGGGGCTGATAGGGCTTTGTGTCTAGGTGAACAGATAGCTATACTTTGATGGCTTTTCATTCTGTCTCCAATAATATCGAACTATGTCATGCCTGGTCCTGCCTGTCAGATACTTGTGACGTCATATTGCACATGGGTATGGTCATACCTTAGTGCCATATTGGATTCTAGAAATATCTTTGGAGATAGACTTTTGCTGATAAAATATATTTTTAGGTTATGCTGACGAACCAAATGACGACTCGAGTGAACGCAGATGGAGGGTCACACCTCACCCCTGCTCTGGGAGAAAGCTGGGGGCATGCAAGTACCATCAGGGTGATACTATACTGGCGAGATAGACAGAGATATGCAAGACTATACAAGTCACCCTCAAAGCAAGATATGACAGTGCCATTCCAAGTGACAGTAAGACTAGAATTCATCTTTATACAGTGAAACTTGTAATTAAAAGTGGAACACCTCTAGAAGTAGAACACCTCTGTTAGTGGAACACTTTTCAGAGGCCCAAGACCAACTGACTTTTGATTCATTCAAGTTGAAAAGCAAAATACTTTAATGTTTAAAATCTGTTTTTCATAAAAATTGTCTTTACACTTCTTTAGACCGAAACTGACCAAAGTAGAAATATGATCTCAATGGTTATTCAATTATTCTTTGTACCTAGCTCAGAACTTGTCCCAATTTTGTATTTGAGTCTAATGAAGTAAGAAATTATCAGTGACCTTGATCAGATGTTGCATTCTTTACATGTGGTAACTTCTCCATTTATTGTCAAGAAACAGCATTTAAAAATATAGTCTTAGTTAACAGATACCATTTTGATGAAATTTCAGTTGGGCGGAATCAGAGATGTGAAAACAAGTGAAGACCAAAGTCATAATATGCAAGGTGCCAGTACATCACAACATAAACCTCAGTCCAATTATGAACAAAATACAAATGAACATAATACTAAGAATGCCCAATATCAGACAGCATCATCTAGTGAACCTTATCATACTGGGGGTACGGAAAGAGCATATGGAAGTGGACAAGATCGGAAAAGGTCAAGAATTGATTCCTGATGTAATACTACATACTTGGTGTATTTAGACATCCATCTTATGAAAACCTCTGTTGGGTTGGCCAAAAACAAATTTTATAAGGAAACCTCACCCAAGATGGACTGTATGAGACAAAATCGCAAGAGGCCAAGATTTGATTCCTGGTGTATTTACATTTAATTAGATATCAATTTTATAAAATCCTCAGTCTGGTTGGCCAAATTAAGTAAAACCTCATCCTAGATGGACTGTATAAGAGACAACATTGTGAGAGGCCAGCAAGAATTGGTGAGGCAAATATTAAATTGATGAGACAAAACTTTAGGTAAAGAGGATGTTAATCTATGGTATTATTATTTTCACATTGAATTTATATATGAAAAAAAAAAAATTTCAAAATTACTTATTTATGAAAAATTTTGGCAAGTCTCTTATTCTATGCACATCCCATGACCTACATTGTACATCAATCTAAACGTTGGAAAATGTTTGTGGGATTGGCCAGAATAAATAAGACTGCTGTAAATCATGTTTGAAATATTGTGAACATGTTATTTTTGCTCAAAATAGTTTTTTTGTTCAATTTTCAATTTCACACTTTCAATTTTGTCTTCAATTTTCCATGCTGTGAATAATTAATTCTACCAACGAGAGCGAAAATGTTATAATTATATGAATAAATAAACATGTTTCACTTCAATGCCATGCAATGCCAAATTCTGATAAAGAAAAACCAGCAACTACCTGACAAATAATCTGGACACCCACTCATCGCCAACTGCCAAACGGACCAAAATATAGCACCCAAGGTGCGATAACAAATGTTGTATTTATTTTTTATAAGTTATAATACATTTTATTTACATTATGTACATACATTGTATATGAACAATATATTTCTAAAATGCTTCCAAAAATGATATGCTGTTACTCTTAGTGAAGATCATATATGATTGGTTTAACTTTAAATTATGGAGTTGGTGGTCACTGGTCAGCTGACCTGGGGAATTCTTCTACAGGGTTATGATTTGACAAATTGAGGCCAAAAACATGGTCACACTTTGATAAGCTTTCTTTAGTGAATCTATCTATTCCCAGACTTACATTGCTTACTGAAGAATTTATGCAAAGACCCTACCTGATGGATTTGAAATAATGCATCGAGTTTTACAGTATGAGCTGTTAAACACTAGCCTGTAGTGTAACTGCTATAGAAGTATTTCATTAATGAGTGCTTTATTTGTATTGTAATGAATAGGTTCTTGTGCTTAAATCCTTTTCACACATGGCGAAACTGGGAAGTATAATTCAATTGACAAATATGTTGCTGTCCTTTGAACTACACAATAGCATTTCAGATAACACATTGCTATACTGCAATTTGATTGGTCAGAAACTGGTAATGGATGCCTATAGCTTCAGTATTTGTGAATAATGCTTTAAAACCACATCAACTGATCATACGCAATAAAACAGACATTCCCTGGAGTGGGTTTTTAGTGTGACAATATGTACTATAAAAATGTCCAGTTAGGTCCAATATTTTTAATCTCTGACAAAATATTAACTGTTTTAAGTTTTATTTATTTTTCTTGCCCCTACTTGATGCTCGTCCACTTTTTCCTGGGGTTCCTTCTACAGATGCTAATTTCTTATTCATAACTTCTTCCGTAGTTTTTAATTGTTCATCAACTGTGATTTTTAGTTTTTTCAATTCCTCCGATAAATGTTTGTGTATAAGTTGTCTGAGTTCTTTGGCAGCTGGGGATTCCTCTACAAGAATATGAAACAAGAATTATTCATTTTTTGAAAGGAATCCTCTAAAGCAAGAATATATAACGTGTAAAATGTCACCACCTGCCATTTGTAACAGATGCTAACCACCGAACGCTGTTCCAAAAAATGTGCCAGAAAAAGTTGAGACTTAAACAGTTGTGGTGACATAAGAGAATTATTTATTTTTTGCAGTCGTGTTTTGTGTTGTCTCATACTAAATTAAACATGAAAATGGGTTTATTTAGTGAGTTACATGAGTTAATAGACCAGTTCTTTAACAGGAGAGTTAGAGTCGCCCATGTAGGTAATTATTGGACAAAGCCAAGGAAATGAAAATTATCAACATGGATGACATTGCATCCCTCACCTCACTACATGTTGTTAAAATGATGTTTCATACCTTTTTCTTCCTCCTTTTCCCCCTCTGTATCCGCTCCCTCCTTGTCCTCTGCTGCGTCCTGTCCCTCCGTATCTGCAGTCTGATCCTCTGCGTCTCCAGCCTCTGAGGGGGAGGGTGTCACTGGCACACCCACATAACTCATGGACAGATCTAGTCTCACCTAAATAGTAAATACGTTTATTTATTTGTTGCCTAATTTACAAAAAGCCAACCCTAGCTGGCTTATGAGACACATAACAAAATCGTTCTAGTCACCATTTTTGGAACCATTGTATGTAGTTGGCAGTCAGAAATTGTAACATATTGCTACACTGTTGTAACAACTTGTAAATAATATCTACCTGTGGTCCAACTAGGGTTAATATCTTGCAGAGGTGGACATAGCAACATGTTCAAAAAGTTTTTTAAAACGTTTAAAAATAAAGTAAGCCACATTTATTCAATTTTTGTGTTCATGGAAAAGAACTCCACTTGCTAGGGTTAGCAACATGTTCAAGAAGTTTTTAAAAAAGTTTAAAAATAAAATAAGCCACATTTTTTCAATTTTTTGTGGTTATAGAAAAGAACATTTTTATTTACCTATTATATTTTTCTTTTGTTGACAAAAGTGTCAAAGCATGCAGACACATTAGTATTGAAGGATTGTATGAATATGTTCAAAAATGTTTTCAAAGAGCGAAAAAACATTACAAGGGTGAACATACCAGTGGAGTGAAGACGTATTTGTACATCTTGAAGTGTCTGAAGTAGGTGTTCATGACATAGTCGGATATGACACGCACCTCATCAGGGGAGAACAGCTCTATACTAAATGGTGGTCTCTGCAAAAAGTAGATATAACAGTTTTATCTTTTATTTCATGTGTATATTTTTTACAAGTACAGTAAAACCTGTGTACAGTGAACACCTATGGAGCCACAAAAATGTGTTCACTGTAGGAAGGTGTTCAGTTCAGAGAGGCCATTTTGTACAGAAATCAGTGGAGTATATGAGAAGAGGTATTCACGAGACAAAGGTGGTCACTAGACACAAGTTCACTAAGACAGGTTCTACTGCACATGTGCATGTACACCAGATCATTTTACTATTAGGCCTACAGTAATAGGCCTACAGTAAATAAATATTACAAGATTCTTGAAACATGATGCAGTATTACCATTTGAACATAATTACAACATTTATAAATCAGTAAATACAGTATACTAATATCATAGACTATTTAGCATAGTTCAGACCAGAAGCCAACTTTCTTAACAAGGGAGGGGGGGATAACTTTTAAGAAGATCTCTTACTTTTCAAGACCCTATTTTTTGTTTAGAAAAATTATCAGTTTTGCCAAAAGATACTAATATCATTTATGTTCAAAATGCTAATTTTGACCAAATTTTGCATACTATTTTGTATTAAATCAAAACAGTATATTTGTTTGTTCAATTCGGAGGCTAATTAGTTATTGCCAGGGGAGAATCTGGAAACCAACAAGGGGGGCCCATTCTTAAAGTCTGAAAAGAAAATTCCGCTCTCGCGCATAAAAAAAATTTCTTGTAAGGCCCAATTATGCTCTAAAAAAACCTGTAATTGGGCCCTAAAAATTTTTTGGGCCCAATTTTTTTTCTGGGCCGACCGAAGGGGGACTTTGGCCCCTGACCTTCCCCCAGATCATCCAGTGATTGCTAGTTAAGTATTAGTCTCGGGAGATAAATATCACTTCATCCTTAAAATGTTTACCTTAACTGCATGTCTCAAGATAGCCTCTCTGAAGTAGCGGAAACAGTGATCCACATTGCCAAATGGAGTTTCTGAAAGCATAACAAATGGAAAAATAAACATCAACATGAAAATTTATGAATCAAAACTACCTCATATTTGATTCAGTAGTTCATGACCTTCTTTGGTTTAACCTTTGAAAACCTAGATTGACAAAAAAATTAGTTGTAGATTTTTTTTCAAAAAGGTCAAATTCTGACAATTAATTTATCCAATGAAATAATTTCTTAACATGACTTAAACAAGGCAGAGTTTTGCCATACTCACCTGTACATATCTCATGTAGTTTCTTGACTATCGAAAAAAAGGCTGAGGCTTGCCATACTCACCTGTACATATCTCATGTAGTTTCTTGACTATCGAAAAAAAGGCTGAAGTCTGCTCCTTGCTGAATTTGTTCTCCCTGGAGAACTGAATAGTGTAGAAGTAGAGATCTACTAAGATGCCATGCTTCATGTTCTCTTTGTAGTCTACCAAGTTGAACAACTGTGCGAGCATACTGAAATAAGTGTCATCATCAATAAGTGTCACCATGAGTGTCTGAAGGGGGGGGGGCTATTTGTTTTAGTTATTTTCCCAATGGATTTTGTTCATTGCGCTTAGGAGAAGGAGATTCAGTGCAGAGGAAAGAAGAACTAATTGGAACTACATTTGTATGTGCTCTGAAGGAAGAGGTGGAGAATCTTGGCTTCTTTTTTTAGATTTAGACACACACCCTTGGAAAAATCCTGGGAAAGCCCCTGATCATTATAATTGAACATGTACAGTGTATAATAGCCTATGCATTCACAGTTAAAAATAAAGTCAATACTGCAATACCAATCATTATCAAATACTAGCGTATACAGGTGGGATCTTCATTTAGTACTACACATTTTACAATAAATAACAGCACCTTATTGCAAATTATTTAAATATCCACTTACTCTTTCATGTCTCCTACATCTGCTACTTCATCCAGTACATCCAGATCATTCACTGTCAAGTCAGCCCTGGAGTAACATTAAACATATCATTCATGCAAAAAATCGTACATCATAAAATATTACAGTTTTTGATTAAATACAGATCTTGCCGAATTATCTTCTAGAAAATAATTTGACTCTGTTTTCAAACCTCAGTCTGGGTTCCCTTCAAGACCAAATTCAATTGGAAACTTAATTTGTTTTTTAATTGTTTTCAAGACCCAGACACTTCGTATAGAATGCTGCTAATCATTTCAAATATACCAGTATCAGATTCAGAAATGGGGGGGGGGGGGTTAAATTCAAACAAATCTTAAGAAGACCATCCTGCCCATAGTCTTCATTTATCTATCTGAGTTTTTTAGAGCCTTGTCAGTCTTGTCAAAACTCTGATAGTCCGACTCATCAGTGCAAGTGTACCATTCCCTTGGTTTAGAATCAGAGGTCTTTCACTCATTGGGAAATAAGAGTAGACTATATACTCTATGCATAGTCTGATATTTTGGATAATCTAGGAATAAGAGTGCAGTGGGTCTTCACATATAATTTTCTATAAAAACCTAGCCAGACTTATTTATTAATCTGCGTATTATACTCAAGACATAGGAAATAACATGACTAGCTTCGAAGGATCTTGAAGGCAAAGTTATAAGACTTGTTATATGCTACTTTGTTGTAGACTATCAATACGTGGGCGATAATAGAGTACAATATTATTTTGAAATAAAAATTCGTCATAAATAATAGCATAATGTACATGAACGAATATCTATGTTCTACGTACCATATGGAAACATTAGCTTTGTGGTCCCTGGGCTGAAAGAATACAAAAGAACAGTAAAGTCGGGTCTTTCATAAAAAATGAAATGAAATTGAAAATTGAAAAAATATGAAAAAACTAAATTCACATTTCCCTTCGTAATTTAACAAGCGAAAGACTCAAAATTCTCATATATTTATTAAATAAATAAACGAATGTTTAATTCTGACTTACCTGTACTAGTTTGTGAGGCTCTGGACCTGCTAACGAAGGCATTATTCTTCGAAAATTTCGGCAAACTTTTTTTGACAAGACCAATATGGCGTCAGGTTGTTGTAGCAACAGCCAGCAATGCCATCTATATATGACTCGGAGAATAATTTGGAACTTTGTTTCATGAGTTTTGGTTGAGGAGTTGAATCCTTTTCAATAATAAACTTTGTACTGATTGCAACCTTAATAGAGATGATGATTGTGTTTCATATACTTTGATTGAAATACTGATTGTGTTTTCTATAGGTGATTGTGTTTATACGATTATGATTACACGATTTGTACCCCTGAGATTGTGCCTGAGATTTACATTTCACTAACACCTGATAGGTCATCACTGACGGTGCACATAGATGCCATTTTGTGTTTTCTAGACCTGAATGATAACGAATTACAGTAATGAACTTAAATGAAATGCTGATTGTGTTCTATATACACTTTGGTTGAGATGCTAATTGTGTTTCATCATGGGCATTCAACGAGAATGTTGATTGTGCTTTCTATAGGTGATTGTGTTTCTTGAGCGAGTTTCACATACCTTTGTTGAGATGTCATATGTGTTCCATATACTTAAGTTGAGATGCTGATTGTGTTTTCTATAGCTGACTGTCCAGTACAATATAGAGTATTTACATTGGTTGAGATACCAAGTGTTTTTCAGACAGACTCAGACACCTTGGCTGAGATGCTTACACTGATTGTGTTTTCTATTTGTCGAACATTTTGAGTTGAGGTGCCGATTGTGTTTTATATATCTTGATTGAGATGCTTCACAACAACTAGGAAGTTCAATGAACTTCGTTAAGATGGCAGCACTTAAAGCGCTGATATCAAAGTTTGAATGGATAACATTTATATGTCCAAATCTAGATGTATTTATTTAATATCGTTAAAAACTTCAAGTAATTATATTTCAGAATATTATGTTATATACATACTTAATATTAGGATTAGAAAAAGACATATAAACTTCTCAATCTTAAATATAATACTGCTAATACAAATAAGAATGTAATTAAAATTCACTAATCAAAAACAGAATATAAGACTTATATAAAGATTTCGATACAAATATCCGACAAAGTTAGAGACTCCGTCACTAAATGTGGCGGATTATTTGGACCGACCTATTCTTATGTCGGAAAATGTTCATAAGACATGCCTTGGATCGGACTAACCAAAACAGTTGAATAACATACTCGTAGTAGTTACACTCATAGACCAGTGGTACATCAATACCAAAATTTTATTTGGTGACAAAGAATCTTTTCCCGACTTTTTTATATAACAAACCAAATTCACGGGTGTTAAAACACGAATATACCATGAGCACATGCTTTGAGGATCCGCGTTATTTGAACCTACCGCCGAGCACACTTATACATTAAGACCCGTTACACAGTCATGATACCGCCGAGCAAGCTCATTGCATCATCGGGTCTGCTTTACCCCCGTGAAATTAACATGTTCGGTACGTTCGCACAGGATTAAACTCCTCGTCGTCGTTAAGTGAAATCGGTTAACGTATCAGCAGTTAATGTTTCAAAAAGTTATGATAACTTTTGTCTTTTTTCACATTTTTGAGAATGTAAACAAGGGATGCTTTTTCATTCTCCTATCGCCAGAGGGGTGCATTTGGTGTCTATAGAAAGTTGACGATCATTTCCCTTAAGCATGTGCTTTTATTAGACAGTATCGTCGTCCGAACTTAACCCCCATTCTCCTAAAACCACTAAAACGGAACGATATAAACACCAGTATGCAGTATGTACATAGGTTAATATTATCTAGGGGTCGTAGGATGCGATAAAGGTTAATATACATCATTCCGTCACTGTCACTATGACCCGAAAGAGACGTGGTTTCGGCATTTGACCTCATTCCCCAGAAAACTGTTGGCATGGCTCAAAAGTTGGCTTTTCAAGAATATTTTACCCTGAATGTCCCCCGTCATCCATTTCCATTTGTTCACATAAATAATGATGAGGTAGGTCAATATTTTGAGATAGCTAAGCGTATCGAAATTATTTCCTCCATGTCTCCCATTTGAAGGAGAGTACATGGCATTCGAATTCCAGCGGGAACACTGGAGATTTAATGTTCAGAGTCCATCGTTTCCTTTCTCCGACGTACACAAGGTAGGTCAGTCCAAATAGTCGTCTTAAATAAGACGGTTGGTGTTTTTGTTGGCAACCAGGTCTAATATCGCTATGGATATATAATGCTAATATACTATTTTAATCAGTTAGTTTAGAATTACATACTGATTTGTATTCGTAGCATTTTATGTCAAAGTAGGTAGCAAATGTGTCATTTTCTAATATGAATATTAAGTATTAATATAATGTAACATTTTTAAATAAATTAAATATAATTTGAAGTGGTAAGCTATTTAATGAAGGCATCAAGATTTTGACATACAAATGTAACCCATTCAAACTTTTAATATCGGCGGCGCAATTTGGCTGACATCTAATGAATTCATCAAACTTCGACTTATAATGTAACAATAAAATGTAACATCCTTTTCATACACTTTGATTTAGTTACTAATTGCATTTCATATACCTTGATTGAGATGCTAATAGGATTTTAATATACATTGATTGCGATGTAAATTGTGTAATTTGGTTGAAATGCTGATTGTGTTTTCAATAGATGATTGTGTTTAATAAAAATATACAATTTGTACATTGGCTACTGTTTTATTCAATTACATTTGTTAAGATGCCATATTGTGTCTTTGAGGGCCAAATGATAAAGATCTACAGTATGTACCTTGGTTGAGATGCTGATTTTGTTTTAAATACTTTGGTTGAGATGCTAATTGTGTTTTCCATAGCTGTTTGTTCAATACACATACAGTGTGTACATTGGTTGAGATACCAAGTGTGTTTCAGACGGAATTTCAGACACCTTGGTTTCTTATACTGATTGTGTTTTATAGCTGATAAATAAACATTTAGAGTAAGTGTATGATGTCAGTTGAGCAACTTGAGATGCTGATTGTTATATACACAGTATATACATTGGTTGAGATACCAAGTGTGTTTCAGACGGACAGACATCTTGGTTTCTTATACTGATTGTGTTTTATAGCTGATAATTAAAGATTTAGAGTAAGCGTATGATGTCAGTTGAGCAACTTGAGATGCTGATTGTTATATACACAGAGTATATTTTGGTTGAGATGCTCCACCAATAGGAAGTTTAATGAACTTCATTAAGATGGCAGCACTAAAAGCGCTGATACTCAGAGTTTGAATGGGTCAAAATCTTGATGTATTTATTAATAAGCATTAAAAACTTCAAGTAATTATATTCCAGAATGCTGTGTGTTATTTAGTGTCCTGATTTAGAACTAACAACATAGTTTGAGCTAATAGTAGTTGTCATGATAATACATCCTTCTTCAAATGGCAGATGGGAAAGAAGCAAATTCTACAGCTTCCTAATATTAACCTGCTTTACCATGTACACTCGACTTTGAATTCCGACCTTACCAAGATAGAAACACCCAAATCTGATTATAGTCCTATATCATGTGTGTACGCCACAATCCGATGATATATTCTACAGCTTATGATACGATATAATATGAACTGCAATACATGGTATGATTGTGCTTCATATACATCAATTGAGATGCTAATTGTGTTTTCTTTAGGTGATTGTGTTTAATAAACAAACTACATGTACTACATTCACATACCTTGGTTGAGATGCTGATTGTGTTTCATATACTTTGGTTGAGATGTTGATTGTGTTTTCTTTACTTTGATTGAGATCGTGATTGCAATTTCTTTAATTGACTTTCAAGGTTAGTTTTTCAAAGATATTTTTCTCTGAGTACTTTCCTCTATCAATTTTCAGATCCACACCCTGATTGCAACTATCAGAATATAAACAGTAATAAAATAAAAGAACACACGATATATTATTTTTCACAAATGTTTACATCTATTTTACATTTATATTAGTCACATTATATCCATGTATAAGTTAAAGCATTTACTTACAATCAAACAGCTTTAAAACAATACTTTTTTTTACAGTCAACACAACCCACCCAAGATACAACCTTTCAAGATACAACCTTTCAAAATGCAACCTTATAAGAGGGAACCTTTAAAGAGGCAACCTTATGAAAGGGAACCTTTCAAAATAACCATTTCACAAGGCAACCTTATTCAAGGGAACCTTTCAAGATACAACCTTGTGAAAGGGAACCTTTCAAGATACAACCTTGTGAAAGGGAACCTTTCAAGATACAACCTTTCACAAGGCAATCTTTTAAGATACAACCTTTCACAAGGCAACCTTTTAAGATACTAGTACAACCTTTCACAAGGCAACTTTTGAAAACTGATACAGTGACATATAATAGTGTAGACCTTGTAGTCTTGGTGTAACTCCTATAATTTCAGAAATTATAATATTTTACAAATATTCTGTGTTAGATCTAGATTCAGGATTTTTAATTGCAATATTCTGTATATGAAATTAGATTTTGATTTTTACAAAACGTCTATTCACACAAACATCTTGGACAAACAATTTCACTTTTCAGACTTTTTTCATAACGCGGTCATGCCTGTACAAAGATTCACTATTTGAAAGGAAAGCATTACTTAAATGAGGTTGTAAGGAAAGCATGATTGCAATGGGCTGGTAAGGAAAGCATGACTGCAATGGACTGGTAAGGAAAGCATGACTGCAATGGACTGGTTAGGAAAGCATGACTGCAATGGGCTGGTAAGGAAAGCATGGCATGACTGCAATAGGCTGATAAGGAGAGCATGACTCCAATGGACTGGTAAGGAAAAGCATGATTGCAATGGGCTGGTAAGGAAAGCATGACTGCAATGGGCTGGTAAGGAGAGTATGACTGCAATGGGCTGGTAAGGAGAGTATGACAGAAATGGGCTGGTAAGGAAAGCATGACTGCAATGGGCTGGTAAGGAGAGTATGACTGCAATGGGCTGGTAAAGAAAGCATGACTGCAATGGGCTGGTAAGGAAAGCATGACTGCAATGGGCTGGTAAGGAGAGTATGACAGAAATGGGCTGGTAAGGAGAGTATGACAGAAATGGGCTGGTAAGGAGAGTATAACAGAAATGAACTGGTAAGGAAAGCATGACTGCAATGGGCTGGTAAGGAGAGCATGACTGCAATGGGCTGGTAAGGAAAGGAAGATTGCAATGGGCTGGTAAGGAAAGCTTGACTGCAATGGGCTGGTAAGGAAAGCATGACTGCAATGGGCTGGTAAGGAAAGCAAGATTGCAATGGGCTGGTAAGGAAAGCTTGATTGCAATGGGCTGGTAAGGAAAGCTTGACTGCAATGGGCTGGTAAGGAAATGAATTTTTAAAGAAAGCATGACTGCAATGAGCTTGAAAAGAAAACCTGCTAGAGTGAGATGACTTGTCCAGGTGTCTTCATTTAGGAGATACCTCTTAGCTGGCAATAAATATATATATGTACTCTACACACATACAAGTACAGTAAGGGATAACAGGGGGTTTAAGCTTGCAATGTTTTTCACAACCTAAAGGTGAACGGAAAATATTTAAGCGATGCATTTGTATGGGCGATTGGTCATACATATAGGGTTGGCGTTTCGATTTTATATGCAAGCTTGAACTCCCTAATATCAAAATATTGACAGTTGCGGAAAAATAAAGTTTGTTTTGTTATGACATAACCCACCCCATCCTCTATATAACAAAATTTGACATGGCATTAACATACAAAATGTCACCACCTGCCATAGGGGGTTGTGACATAAAAAATGCTGATGTGCCACATTCAACTGAAATGAACATTTTTCATTAATGAGATCTTCATTTTGACCCACAGGCCCTGGAAGAAGATTTAACCCCCCCCCCCCAGTCACTCTAAGTAATACATCGTGAGTGGGAGGTGGATGAACCCTTGTTCCCGTGTCCGTGTTTTGACCTGTCCCCTTAACTTTGTTTTTCCACCACTGGTAACAATTGACACGACCCCTTATTATTCTACAATACATCTTGCAACGAACATGTAATACAATTACATCGCAAACATTTGAGCAATTTATGATATACTGGTGCCATAGCAACAAGAAGTCTAGTCATTAAATTGGTAATATCCAATTAATTAGTCAACTTAGTTAGTGAATCGAGGCATAAAGTGTCATATAAGTTCATGGTAACCTTTTCATAGAATAATACTAAATATTGCTTAGTTAATTACATATCTGTCTTATGATAAACAGGATCTTTACAGTACCAATTATTATCTTGTCTCCTGGCCAAGTCTTAAGGGATCAGCTTCTGTTTTTTACGTCATTGAGATTATGGATAATTGCCAAAAATAAGTCAATGACAAAAACAATTTATTGAAATATACTCCAGATCTTAGTATGTCTTCGTATGTTAAAAAGTCTCAAATCTTTCATGAAATTACATGGAGTTTTAACAATTGTTTCATTTTGCACTTGATACTTCCTACATGCATTTTACTATAGAATTTATTTTATTTTGGTTTGAGGAATAAGGAAGGGCAGAGAATATAAGCTGTTGGAAGCAATCTTATAAAAATCATGTCTGTATTCAATATTTCCCTTACAATCCAAATTTAATTTTTGAAGCAAATTGATCAAAAAAAGTTCACCATATCGATACCCATCCTTTAATTTTTGAAGCAAATTGACCAAATGTTATTGAAGATTTCGAAGCAGAAATATCCAAATGCATCAGAGAAGGGCTTTTTTCAATGTAATGCCACATTTCCTTGGAGATAAAAGGATTTTCCTGAAATAAAGTCAGAACTAGAACTGCCAGACATTTTAGGAAATTGGCATGACATGGAATAATCAGAGCAAGAAATGTTGCAAAATTACGAAAATTTTCTTCCTTTAACAACTTAGCAGGTGGCACATTTCCAAATTCTCTCCAACATATTTAAAGAAGTACTTAATGATTGTTGATCACACTTGAGCAATTCACATTAAATTCATTTCAATATCTATTTGACATTGATTGAAAATTACACAAAATTCATCGCAAAATGACACTTTCTCCCGATATATATTTTCATTATAATTTTAGTCTAGTACATCCTAGTATCTATCACTACAACAATGTCAACATTAATACTTTTCCCGATATGTTTCATGAGATCTTGAGGACTAGATATAGGTCATGTGATCCATAGATCAGGACATTTAAGTCACTATAGCGAATACAATTACAACTGATTTTAGCTGTTCTTATAGAAACTACCTGTGCTAGATCTCCGCGCTAGATTCACTTCAATTGATGACCCTACGATTATTACAGGTCCTAATACGGGATATATTTCGACTTCTCATTTACAAAAAACGTTATGGTTTTCTATTGAAACTATTTCTGCATAAGCAAAATATTTCACATTTCATACGAAATGTTTTTTTTGAATTGTTACCCATGCTTTCTTTACATCTGAGTAAACATTCCAGCTAAGATATATCTCCCGTCTGCCAATATACAATCAAAGAGACCCCTTGCTATCAAACTACACAGACTGAAAAATGTTATAAAACAGAATCTAACTATATACCAAGGGGTCTTTGATGAGATAATATTGACGGTCAGATGTAAAATTATATTATATATAATCTGGGGTTAAAATACTGTATATGTACAAACATTTAATATCACAATAAATCGTGTCTTGCCTCACATTTCTCTTATATGATTGCTTCAAATTTTGGGAATTATTGATTTGGGCCTCTTTAATTGTAATAAAAATGTGTTGGGAATGTTTCCCAAACAGAGTGGATATCAAGTTTATAGTGTTGTCATTTAGAATGAAATTATATGAATGTAGGCTAAACAGGTTGAAACAGCCAGTTGGAACAGCTCAGATGAACCAGTCCAGGTGAAGTAGCCCATGTAATATAGCCCAGGTGAAACCCAGTTTAGAACAGCCTGGGTGAAACAGCCATGGTGAAATAGTGACGGTGAAACAGCCATGGTGAAATAGCCCAGGAGAAACAGCCTGAGTGAAAGAGTCATGGTGAAGCAATCATAATCAAATGAAGCCTCATCTACAGAGCCACACTACCAGTAAACACTACCAGTAAACACTACCAGTATCATAAAGCTAACTGGCCAACATTGTTTCGACTTTCTAACTGCCATTTGTCTCATTTTTTGATATAATAAATATAAATTTAAAAAAAAAACAGATTAAGAACATTATGAACTATGAACTTAAACCTGTGGGTGTGGCCAGGAATGACAGAAGGCGAGGCAACTGCCTTACCAAAATTTTACAGAAACATATATTTTCACCTCTTCCAATTTATACTGGAAATGAAGTCAAAATATTAAGCAAATATTTCATTCTATGGAGGGCAATACCTGTTCATCTTTCAATGATTTTTGCGGTATGTATTGCCCGCAGCCCGTAGGGCGAGGGAAATACATGATGCAAAAATCATTGAAAGTGCAACAGGTATTGCCCGAACATAGAATGAAATATTTGTTTTATTATATCATTGCTAGACATTCCCTGTGATCATCTATTTTAATCAATTAATATATCATTAATCCATAAGTGAACATAATTACGTACAAGTATCATTGAATGGTACACTTTATTTTCGTCCAGTGTAGTTGTCAGAATTCCCGGGCGGGCAATACGTCGGGCAATACGTCTTTTATTATCCTAAAATTGAGGGAGCTGTGAAATACGTTATGGTATTTTTGATCACATGATACTGACTCGACCAATCAAATCACACAATTTCTAGCAATGATATAATAATGTAATATATCTCCTTTAGACTAGTTTGCCTCGCCTATTTATTTTTTGCCTCGTTCAAATCCTGGCTACACCCCTGTAATCAACTTTATATTCTAAGATTTCTTTCACTCCCTTTGCCTGATAAATATGAATCAGCCTTAGTTCTGCTCAAACGCTATGTGTTAATATTAATATAAGTTCAACAGGACGGATGTTTGAGAAATGACTAAATGTGCAATACTTATTCTTTTTCTTGATTCAGATTTTTCATTTGCATGGAGCTTACATTTAAGAAATTAAACATTTCTGCACAGCGCATGATAAAAATCAAGTTTACATTTTCTTAAAGTACAAACAATGTACATGCACATGAAACTCCCCATCATATTTTTCCTATGTACATACTTGCACCGTCTGATTGTACAATTATATTGCAGTTAAATTCTGTGACACCAACATCACAGAAAACTTGCAGAGAAATGGCTTGAGACACCAATTCTGCTATCCGCTGACTATACACAAACTCAAATTTCTTTTCAAAGTCAAACGATGACAACATGGAATGGCTTGAGTGTAATCAAAAATGTCATCGCACTCATTTAGTGCACTCGTTTTATACTCATTTTTCTTTCATACTAAGATTAAAACTAGCATTAAAAATCATCCCCAAAATTGGGATTTTCACTGCTTTGTAAGAATATAGTTCCGAAAGTAGTTCCGGCTTTGTAATAAGTCCTAAATGAAGCAGATGTTACATGTTTTGCTGGCCACCATTGTATGCGTAATCCGCTTTGTTGTGCATGATCAATTTGTCATCGACGAAGTAAAAACTATCCGACCGTGTCTCATAAGCATTATCGATCATCTCTTGTACTGGAAATAGAGAGCAAACATCAAGTACACTGTACACTGTGTATAACTGTTAAAACATTTATTTCTATTGGTATACTAAATTAATGCTGTAAAGTGATCTCCCCAGCATTAAAGCAAGTGGGCGCAGCACCCACCTGAGATTTTGAAAATAGGCTTGCACCCACCTGAAAATCCATTTGAAAATGAGAAAAATCTTTAAAAATTGGCATATTTTGACCAAATTTGATCTGAATTGTGAAAATGGGAATTTTGCACGCACCTAAAAAAAATTTCCTGGGGAGATCACTGATGTATATACCTTTTAAAACATTTATTTCTACTGGTATACTAATTTAATGCAGTAATTTAATGTAATCAACTATTGTTTGTATTGCAACAATCATAGCTACAGTAAACATTAGTACATGTGTATAATATTAATGTTAAAGGTGATTCTCATATTTCAATGATTAGCTGTATATAGTAGCATTTATGTCACATGGAGCATTATTGTCACATGTAGCATTTTTGTCACATGTAGCATTGTTGTCCGAGTAGTATATTTGTCACATGTAGCCTTATTGTCTCCTGTGGTCTTATTGTCACATGTAGCATTGTCATAGGTAGAATAATTGTCATATATAACCTTACTGCCATATATAGCATTTAGCGTCACATGTAGTACTATTGTCACATGTAGCATGAGTGGCATGTGTAACATTTTTGTCACATGCAGCCTTATTGCCATAGGTAACACTATTATCCCATGTAGGCTTAATGGCAAAATAATGTTCCTGCTTCTCCAAAGGAAATTTTACCCTAGAAATCTAGGCTTTATGTTTACGTGTATCATGTGTTCATGTAGCCATGAACCTTGTTGGCTACAAGTAATAATTATATAATCGATAAATATTTCCATTAAAAAATCAAAAATCAACTTAACCTTGAGAATAAAAAAGAAATACAGTAAAGCCTGTTTGAGAGAACACCTCTATCTAGTGAATACTAGTGTTTAGTGAACACCACTTTCAAGACACAATCTATGTTGACTCTTGTATAATATTCCCTCTCTTAAGTGAACATCTTACTAAAGTGAACGCTTTTATGTGGCTTCATAGGTGAACACCTCTCTCTCGTGAACACCTGTGTTTAGTGAACACCACTTCAAGACACAATTTACATTGTCTCCTGTATAAAATCCTCTCTCTTTAGAGAACAAAGACCTACAGTGAACACTCTCATGTGCTTCCATAGGTGAACACTTTTGTTTAGTGAATATCACTTCAAGGCACATTTTACTTTGACTCCTGTATAAAATCCTCTCGCTTTAGAGAACACATAGCTCCAGTGAACACTTTTTATGACTCCATATGTGTTCACAAGATGCAGGTTTTACTGCACTCTGTTGATGCCATATGCTTCCCAGTCACATGGCAACAAGTAAAGAATCCAATAAAATTACCTGGAATCTACACACTTACAATAAAATACACCAACAAATATGCTTTATTTTGCAAAATTACAGAAAATGAAAGTCAACGTTGAATTTTTTCTAAGGAGTAACAACCTGTGTATGGTTGAGAATATAACTGAGTATACAATTGTATTGTTTTTGTTTAGTTCTTGATGATTTCTGCATAATGTTTTTTATGAATTTACTAAGGGACCAATATAGCACTAATGAGTCAATGACAGTATCCTGATATATGAGAACCTATAAAAATTATTCAGTGTTGTCAAATTTATCTTTTTCTGACATTCCTTAGTAAATATTTTTCCAATTTCTAAATTTCAAAACAATTTATGTCCACTTTACAGTCGTTTACACAGTCCACTTTACAGTCATTTTTTGTTTTATACAGTATAAAAGCATGATCACTGGGGAAGCGTAGCTGTATACCGTATGGGTATTGCTTAAAAATAGAAACAATATAAATAATTCATTGTAATTTCTTGTTGGCCTTAAACCAAAGTACATTTGTCCCGAGCTCCCACTGTTAAGCTTTATAAATGAAGAACAGTCAGTCAGTCTGTTAATCGATCGGACAGACAGACGGATGGTTGGTCAGTCAGTCCATATTTTTTTTGCTTTTTTAGAGCGTGGGTTTGTTTTTCCCTTTCTACCCATCAACCAATCACCCATCGAGCTGACAACGATATTGCACCTAATATAAATGTAACGAGACAAGCAAAATGTCACCACCTGCCATTTGTTACAGACACCAATCACCGAACTCTGTTACAGACTCCGAACACTAAACCACCGATCATTGTCCACATATAAGTTGGAGTTTTTTAACAATGGTGGTGACATAAAAATAAAAACTACTCACTTTCATCTGGATTCAGTTTAGGGAACTCATATATGTGTTCACATGTATTTTTACTATTAGGTATACAAAACCCAAATTCAAAATCAAAACTTTTCAGGAGACGCTCCCGGTAGTAATGTCGTTCAATCATACGGAACTTTGTCACTGGCTTGTCTCCAACAGTGAATTCTACACTGAAATCACATGATTGATAAATAATGAATGAATCATGAAATTAAGAGCTATGAACAATTTGGAACAAGATTCTTCACTTAGGTTGAAGACACAAGACTCAAAATATCAAAGCTTAAAAAAACTTTTGAATTACATTAAATAGATATGATATTTATCTCCTTGAAAACCTGCCAAATTAAATAGACGCCCATATGTCTGATATCCCAAAATCACCAAATTAAGTAGCGCCAAATTAAATAAATACAAATTCAATTGGCAATAATCTCAATTTTGCAATCAAAATGTCTTCGATTACACTAATTTCTACTTACGTGGCACCCACTGTACTGAGCTTTAAGAATTGTGGTGTGAATTGATATCGTACAAATCTTCCAGCATTTGGGTCAACATCATCTCCATTGTCCACATCATGGTCTTGATCAATCCCATCATCTGAAACAATATATATGACTTTCTTAGTATCCTATGAAAGCCTCCTTGTCACTGTAAGAACCTAGGGCCTTCTTGTCACCACTAGAACTTACAGTCTTCTTGTCACCATTAGATTGTCACCACTAGAACTTACAGTCTTCATGTCACCATAAGAACTTACAATCTTCTTGTCACCATTAGATTGTCACCATTTGAACTTAAAGCCTTCTTGTCACCATTAGAACTTACAGTCTTCTTGTCACCATAAGATTGTCACCATTAGAACTTAGTCTTCTTGTCGCCATTAGAACCTAAGACTTTCTTGTCACAGTTAGAACTCATAACCTTGTCACTATTAGAACCCATGACCTTCTTGTCACCATTAGAACCCATGACATTCAAGTTTCCATTAGAACCTACGACTTGGGAAATCTACTTTATCAAGGACAGAAAAGATGATAAATGAAAAATAAATGAGAACTTTAGCTGTCCTGACTCACTATCACGTTCATGAATGCAAAGCTACTAAATCTGAAATATTTAAGAACATAATATGAAGAGAGGTGCCTCGAATTGTTTTAAGTGAAGTAGGTTTCAAATTCCATATTCTATGAACAAAAACAAAGATATTGCACAACAGTAGTCTCATATTCTATTTATGAGAGAGAATTTCAATTCCCCAGAGAAACCACTTATGGAGTGTCAGACAAAGCAAGAAAGTCTACGAGCCGAGAAGATGCATAATGTATTAATCGCATATTCCGTCATACATGAGACGTATTTTAATTCCCAAGGGCCAACCACAAGAAAGTCTACACAAATGAGACACTGCATAATGTATTTATCAAAAATTCAGTCCACAGGAGATCTATTTTTATTCCTCAGGGCAAACCAATTGTGTCTTAGTGTCTAATGCGAGAAAAAATAGATTTTTTATTTTAACAGGATGTTATGGTGATAAATGACACAGACAAGTTAGCCTCAATACCATAAACATGCCATTAACATGCAAAATGTCACTACCTGCCATTTGTTACAGATGCTGACTGCCGAATGCTGATTGACAAACACCAAGCACCAAACATCATTCACAAAAAAGTTGGAGACTAATAATATGTTACTTTAATCTAAAGTCTAGCTAATTGAAAGCGACAGTGCTCTTGCAATGTTTTATCTCCAATTGGGTGTCAAATACTAGTTCTTTTTCAGAAGGTTTCATCAAATATTTTTGAACAGGCTCACATGCAGTTATTAATTTTCAACATGCACTCAGATGCTTCAAAGAAATCAATGAAAGAATTCATTGCAGGATCCAGAGGGGGCATAGGCCCTCAAAAAAATTTCATCCAGAGGGGGCACAGGCCCTCAAAAAAAATTTCATGCCAAAGATTTTGTATGGCCTCAATAAGTGGGCCTTTTGGGATTTTTCCTCAGATGTGCCCCCTTGTTAGCTTCTGGATCTACCAGTAGAACAATATGGTTTTCTCATAAGAGATGATTTAATATCTGAATTAAAATACCCCCCAAAGGATAATATTCATATCTAATCCCAACCTGGAAACAGGGAGCTGTAAATGGCTCATTACGCATACGTGTGAATTATTTCACATTTTCCCTAGATATTTGACAGTCTCTATGGAGACTAACAAGGATTGGAATCATAAATCATGATACAGTTTTCACGACCTTATATGGGAGTTTTCACGGCCTCATATTTCAGTTTTCACAGCTTATATGGGAATTTGAATGCAGAACAAATGCTTGCTACTTACTATAAGCAGAAAATGTAGCGTCATGAATTTTTACTATAAAATCTGATTACGAAGAGGCGACATGAAGGAGAAAATATGTGAAACAAATCGGATTAATCGTAAAAAGGCTAAATCTAATAAATCAAATAATATCATGATTCTTGTCCAATCTAGAAACAGGTACGCAATTCAGAAGATATTACAGTGAAAAACCATACTGTCTACACAATACAATATTTCCCAAGGGCTAGCAAATGCAGTTGAGTCTGGTAATCAAACCCATGCCAGAAAAAAGCAATTTTCCTTGAATAGATTTCAACAGGAAACTGTATATCAGTTGACGAGACTGTGTTAATGCAATGAACCTCTTGTGGTTACACAATTCATCAAGTAAGACCAGCTGCATCAGATCATTTGAGGACAGAAGGGGGAGGGGGGTGTCAATTTGAAATAAACTGAGGACAGACGGGGGAGGAGGGGGGGGGGTAGATTTGAAATAAACCGAGATCAGGCCTTTTATACTACATAGTGAGCAACACCAGAAACGAGCGTTCGATTCTGGTGTTCGAAGAAAGGGTTGAGATTTACTAAACAAGCAGGGAACTTTTCTGAAAGGGTAAAAGCTTTATTCAACAGGTTTAAGCACAATGTTGACAGGAAGGCTTACAATTCCCAGAATACATGGAACTATTATGGCTGCACCCATGTTAAGGCTCACGCACGATGACTTGCAAACACCAGGGGTTTCATTTGGATTTCAGATAACAGGAAAAATGAATGAAAAGAACTCGAAAATTATTGCAAATTCTTCACATTTAAAAAAGATGTGAAGAGAAATCTTAAGTTACATTGTTCTTTCTAGATCCCGGAGAATGAGGATATTGTCTTTTAGTTTGTTTCATAGATATCATTACAGTAATATTGATTCCTAAATGGGTAGGTGGTGCCAGACATTGCTCCTTTAATCATAGATTGGGATATTGTGGGGTGTTTCAAGGATGTTTCTTTTTTAGTAATGAACTTGTAAGAAAGGCTTGTAAGATCTGCTGTTAAATCCTTTTTCTTTAATAAAGACATATCTATGTGTTCGATAATAATTTGGGTTATTGTGTTTTTTTATGCTCTTAGATGTTTGTTTTTTGCCATGGTGTGTTATCCTCTTCGGTTTTCCCTTTTCATTTTGCAGGTTGTACTTGATATTTTTCAAACTCAGAATACCTAAAACAGAACAATTACGGAAAATACTCACCATTGCTTTCTACTGAGTCTTGAGAAACTGAAACCTTGTAAATCAAGATGGAAAATACTCAGAAAACGAATAAAGAGAAATCTGCTGTGAATATAGATCAATGTATAAGTGCTTTATTTATCTGAACTATCCTGTTGAGAAGTGCTTTATGTATTTTATTCCTTAGAGCCCCCCTTAGAGGGAAACCATTGATCCTGAATAAACAAGCTTACCCTTGATAAAATCTTGATCTGATCTGAACTCTTTAAATTAAAGATGATTCTTTGATTTATATCCAATCAGGTGAAGCTGAGTCAATCATCATGTTATATATTCTGTTTTAAAAATGTCAACCTCCACAAAAGGCCATGAAGTTATATCTGAGATTGAATCAGCATTGAACCTATAAATCGTCTGCAATACTCAGAGGGTATGTTTTGAGGCTAGCCAATGTCAAGGGTAAAATGAGAATTTAAAGATAAATCAATGTTAGCTGAGATTAAGACCATAATGGCATTAGGCAACCTCTAGGGAGACTGCTTACAGACTGAAGAGCAAAATTGTCCATTCTTGTTGAGCTTTGATAATTCATCTTTATCTAGTTAAAAGAAGAAAGGTTCTTGTGTCTTTATGGAATAGCGATCACTTAGTTTATGTATGAGAGTAATCGTATCAAAATTCAGGAATTATATGCAGTGATTATATGCCACCATATCGAAAATATGAAAATTCAAAAATTATATGGTCTGTTGAAAATTAATAATTATATCCCTGTTAAATTCAAAAATTACATGCAACAAAAATATGAAAATTCATGTACCACTCTGTTGAAATGTCAAAAATTACACGCTACTCTGTTAAATATTGAAACATTAGATGCTACCCTATTAAAAATATGAAAATTCAAAAGTTATATGCTACTCTTGTCACCCTTCCCTTCATCAAAAAGAAACAATGACATATTTTGATTGAATAAGTAAAATTAGGATTCAGTATCAGGTTAGAATACTAAATTAATCTATACATTTCCCTGAATAGCTCTCTAAGAAACATATAAATCAATTAGAACTCTGCATAAACTCTACCATTACCTTTCAATTGCATTATAACCCATCTGACATCAAATATCCCCTCTACTGCTATCCCGAGGATTTTTAGGTGGAGAATTTTAGTGCATTTTGAATTTTGTTACCGTTATTGCAATATTTTAGGATTTTGCATTTTTAGTGCTACTTTTTAGGATTTTTTTTATTTTTTAAGTGCAACAATTCAGGATCTTTCTTTTCAATTGTAACATTTAACCCATTTGGTGTTATGATTATATGAAGGTACTGCAGCACAGAGATTCCAACATGAGCGCTGCATTCCTTGCAAATTTTTAACAAGGCATTAACATGACAAAATGTCACCACCTAAAACAATTTGGTCAATTTAAAGCAAGTTGGAAAATACCTTTTGACCTTAAGAAGAACTTCTGAGAACATGTAGATGATTTTGAAAAAAAAAGTAGTCAATTTGAAGCAAGTTGAAAAAAGACCTTTTTGACCTTGAGAAGGTCATTGAAGGTCAAAGGTCAAATCTAAAGTCAGATTTGAACTTCTGAGAACTTGTAAAGTCAAATTTGAACTTCTGAAAAGATGTAGATGATTTTGAAAAAAAAATTTGGTCAATTTGAAGCAAGTTGAAAACAGACCTTTTTGACCTTTTTTGACCTTGAGAAGGTCATTAAAGGTCAAATGTCAAATCTAAAGTCAGATTTGAATTTCTGAGAACATGTAGATGATTTTGAAAAAAGACCTTTTTGAGCTTTTTTGACCTTGAGAAGGTCAAATGTCAAATCTAAAGTCAAATCTAAAGTCATATTTAAATTTCTGAGAACATGTAGATGATTTTGAATTTTTTTTTAGTCAATTTGAAGCAAGATGAAAAAATACCTTTTTGACCTTTTTTGACATTGAGAAGGTCATTGAAGGTCAAATGTCAAATCTTAAGTCAAATCTAAAGTCAGATTTGAATTTCTGAGAACATGTAGATGATTTTGAAAAAAAATTTAGTCAATTTGAAGCAAGATGAAAAAATACCTTTTTGACCTTTTTTGACATTGAGTAGGTCATTGAAGGTCAAATGTTAAATCTAAAGTCAGATTTGAATTTCTGAGAACATGTAGATGATTTTGAAAAAAAAATTTAGTCAATTTGAAGCAAGTTGAAAAAAGACCTTTTTGACCTTTTTTGACTTTGAGAAGGTCATTGAAGGTCAAATGTCAAATCTTAAGTCAAATCTAAAGTCAGATTTGAATTTCTGAGAACACGTAGATGATTTTGAAAATTTTTTTTAGTCAATTTGAAGCAAGTTGAAAACAGACCTTTTTGACCTTTTTTTACCTTGAGAAGGTCATTGAAGGTCAAATGTCAAATCTTAAGTCAGATTTGAATTTCTGAGAACACGTAGATGATTTTGAAAAAAAAATTTAGTCAATTTGAAGCAAGTTGAAAACAGACCTTTTTGACCTTTTTGACCTTGAGAAGGTCATTGAAGGTCAAATGTCAAATCTAAAGTCAGATTTGAAGGTCAAATGTCAAATCTAAAGTCAGATTTGAATTTCTGAGAACATGTAGATGATTTTGAAAAAAAATTTAGTCAATGTGAAGCAAGTTGAAAAAAGACCTTTTTGACCTTGAGAAGGTCATTGAAGGTCAAATGTCAAATCTTAAGTCAGATTTGAATTTCTGAGAACATGTAGATGATTTTGAAAAAAAAATTTAGTCAATTTGAAGCAAGTTGAAAACAGACCTTTTTGACCTTTTTTGACCTTGAGAAGATCATTGAAGGTCAAATGTCAAATCTAAAGTCAGATTTGAAGGTCAAATGTCAAATCTAAAGTCAGATTTGAATTTCTGAGAACATGTAGATGATTTTGAAAAAAAAATATAGTCAATGTGAAGCAAGTTGAAAAAATACCTTTTTGACCTTGAGAAGGTCATTGAAGGTCAAATGTCAAATCTAAAGTCAGATTTGAAGGTCAAATGTCAAATCTAAAGTCAGATTTGAATTTCTGAGAACATGTAGATGATTTTGAAAAAAAATTTAGTCAATGTGAAGCAAGTTGAAAAAAGACCTTTTTGACCTTGAGAAGGTCATTGAAGGTCAAATGTCAAATCTAAAGTCAGATTTGAACTTATGAGAAGATGTAGATGATTTAGAAAAAAATTGAAGTCAGTCTAAACAGTATTTGTTAAGTTATAGGAAGATGTAAGAAATTGTTACAGACGCCGGACGCCAGACGCCAGACGCCGGACGCCAACCACCAACCGCCGTCGCAAAAAAACGGAGACCATAACAATATGTCACCACTTTTTGGTATTGAAGTCAGTCTAAACAGTATTTGTTAAGTTATAGGAAGATGTAAGAAATTGTTACAGACGCCGGACGCCAGACGCCGGACGCCAACCACCAACCGCCGTCGCAAAAAAACGGAGACCATAACAATATGTCACCACTTTTTGGTGGTGACATAATAAACTTGCCTTATTAGAACACATGGTTTAAGCATATACCTCTGGTATGAGAGGTCCCGGGTTCAATTCCCAGTTAAGACTTCATTTTGTGGTCCCTTCCCTCCATTTTTCATTTATGTGTGGGGGACATGGTTGTCGAAGAGAGGTATGACTGAAGTGACCTCCCTCCAGGAAACTGTACCTTTTTAAGGCGTCATTTTAAGATTTCTGGGCACTAGAAGATGGCTTCATTTGGATTATAAAATAGAATATATTAACAACCTACCTGACGGAGGGGGCTTGGCAACTTCGAATAAGACTGTTTGAGTTTCGAGATCACGTAGTTTGAAGCGAGTAAAGTCTATGTTGTATATGTTGGCCTCAGTGGGACACAAGTAATCTACAAGTATATAAATATCCATATTAGTAAAAATCATAATATCTTCTATAAATGAACCAGGTCACAGGAAAAGGGGTCTTATCACAGTTTTTTCAATATTTTGAATTTTTGTTTATAGAGACCTTCCAAATGAGACATAACTTATGTCTTAACAATTTTTCCTTATAGATATAGACCCAAAAGACAGATTTAAATTTAGCACATTCTCCTCTTAATCTTGGGCACATTTTTGGCTCTGTAGCACAATTTTAATTTTGGTGATAAGACCGGTTTTCCTATGTTGAGGCTCAAATGTAGTTAGTTTGCGAACATGTATTTCAGTTCACCTATATACACAGTGATAGATATCACACTTTTTTACCCAAAAATTCAAAATGGCCATTTATCCAGCATTACCAAAACCTAACATTGGCTTAACACTAGCTTACTCTTGGTTGTGTAAAGATTTCAGGTTGAATGGATTAGAAGCTTTTTTGCAATTTTGGTGACAAGATTTGAGCCCGCCTGCCGACATATCCAGATGTCAAGATGCCCATTACATGACCCCAAGATAACGAAAAAATAGCTCTTTGAAAAAGTGTGATAAAAACATATATATTTGGCTTCATTCAAAATCAAAATCAAGGATTCTCTAGCTCAAAGAGTCATAATGATTTGTCAGGATCGCTTGTTTTTGAGAAATCATACCTAGAAAAAAGTTTGGGAAATTTTGTTTCCAAAACAGGGCTCTGTTAAAGATCTTGGAATCAACCTATTTAAAAGGGTGTAACATTGGCGGATAAGGTTACTTTTTCAATTCATTACATACACCAGCTTCTATTTATCAAGCGTAATAAATCTTTCTTATCAGCTTTTCATTGAATTGTAAGACAATTGCCAAACAGTATTAAAACTATTCTTGGATGTATTATCTCAGGTTAAAGCGACATAATTTTCGTACATTGATACCTTAGTTATTCTGTATTCTAATACCTGTTCTTCGAGATCTCCCAAGCGATGCATCAAGTAGGTGTTGCACCCTTTTGAGACTTTGAACATAGAATTGCAGCTTTATAGACTATATATATAGACTTTACCCACTTGAATATAAAAAATCATAAATAATTGGATATTTTGACCATTTTTTGACAGAATCGCTGAAATCTGAATTTTGCACCCATATGAGAACATTGGTTCTAGTTAACCCTCGACATTTTGGTAATTTTGACAATGAATTAGTGGTAATTTTGACAATGATTTAGTGGTTATTTGTGCTTACTTTATTCCCTCTAAAAACCTTAACGCTAACTACGCTAAATGCTTTTGGTTGATATTTGGGGGTGGCTGTTGTTTTTTCTATTTTGGCCCAATTTTCTCGTTGGTGTGTTTCTAAAAAATAAAGTCTTTTGGGAGACGAGGGTCAAATTGTATTCTCTTATAAGCACAAGGCTTCCTGGAATGTCACTTGTATTATTATTGCGAAAGATGCAGATATTCACCTCAACAGAATAGTCTGAATATTTGTATAATATTATGAACTACAAGTACTGATTATAAATCTGTATATTGAAAATGATATACCATTTATCACTACATGTTACCCACACTAGCCTCTGATTATAACAAACGATTTAACATTATGCCAAGACCTTCATAATAATTGTCCTAATGGCCATTCTTAGAGCCTGAACATGACATGAATGAATGCTAGCTTAAATTCTCAGAATAAAGGGGAGGGGGTAGTTACATGAATGGCAAGTTTTTCCTCCAGATTATAAAAATATTCTGGTGAGAACCTTGAATCCGATTGGATATGAGCTATTATTTCTGATTTAAGAGTGTATTCAGTGCTGATCTTTTGAAAAGGGTACTAATATAGCCCATATATCCTAGTAAAACCATAATTAGCAGATATTGCAATCTAATATATCAACCTACACATATCTTGCTGTTTTGAGCAAACACAAGACAAGATGCTAATTAAATACAGCAAAACATATTTTGATGGAACACCTCTTTATAAGGCCCACCTGCCTAATATGGAACAATTTCACAGGTATTAGCCAGCCCTCAACAGTCAACATTTAAAGGTGGAATAGTGGTAAATCGGGAATAATTCATTAGAAAAACTCAAACAACAAACAAACTACAATTATACCAGGCATTGCTCATAAATATGGATTTTAATAGAAGATGAATATTTATAGAATTCAAAATTTATTAATATTATCAGGGCATTGCCAAACTAGTACTATTACTAATTTCAATTTTTTTTAGCAGCAGGCAACAGGCGATTTTCACCAGTTGTTTTCACAGAATCGCCTGTTGTCTTAAGGAACATTTCAACTTTTCCATGTTAAATTAATGATTTCCATTAATTTTGCCTGTTGTTTTAATCTATTTAGCCTGTCGTGAGAAAATCTAGTGAAACCCTAAGTTTATAAAATTCAGAATTTATTAAGGCATGGCCACTATATTATCTGTGCATGGCTAAAAAAACAATTACACCATTGCTTATAAATGTAGATTTTTATACCAGTGAATTTTCAGAGCTAATGTTGAACCCTCATATAATATAGTGTACATAACAATATTGCCCATATATTATATTAATTAACACTGCATCTACATATAACAACATAACAACTCCATATATACGGAGCAAGCAATCAATACCTGTTCAATAGAAACAGGTAAAGGTATATAATATTACTAAATACTCTCTCACCATTGTGATTTTCTGAGAAGGTGTGTGAAACCCATGTTGTTTTGCTAAATCAACTTTCATAATATGTTATAAATATACTTCAGGGAGAGAGGGGGGTGCAGGATAGGTAGGCAGGGAATACAGGAAGAGGTAGTAGGTATAGGAAGAGGTAAGATATGTAGGAAAAGGTGGCTTCAGGAAGACATGGGGGCAGGTAGGGGGTGTAGGAAGAGGTGAGATATGTAGGAAAATGTGGCTTCAGGAAGACATGGGGGCAGGTAAGGGGTGTAGGAAGAGGTGAGATATGTAGGAAAAGGTGGCTTCAGGAAAACATGGGGGCAGGTAGAGGCACAGGAGTGTAGTGGGGTGTAGGAAGAGGTGAGATATGTAGGAAAAGGTAGCTTCATGAAGACATGGGGGCAGGTAGGGGGTGTAGGAAGAGGTGAGATATGTAGGAAAATGTGGCTTCAGGAAGACATGGGGGCAGGTAGGGGGTGTAGGAAGAGGTGAGATATGTAGGAAAAGGTAGCTTCATGAAGACATGGGGGCAGGTAGGGGGTGTAAAAAGAGGTGAGATATGTAGGAAAAGGTGGCTTCAGGAAGACATGGGGGCAGGTAGGGGGTGTAGGAAGAGGTGAGATATGTAGGAAAATGTGGCTTCAGGAAGACAAGGGGGCAGGTAGGGGGTGTAGGAAGAGGTGAGATATGTAGGAAAATGTGGCTTCAGGAAGACATGGGGGCAGGTAGGGGGTGTAAAAAGAGGTGAGATATGTAGGAAAAGGTGGCTTCAGGAAGACATGGGGGCAGGTAGGGGGTGTAAAAAGAGGTGAGATATGTAGGAAAAGGTGGCTTCAGGAAGACATGGGGGCAGGTAAGGGTGTAGGAAGAGGTGAGATATGTAGGAAAAGGTGGCTTCAGGAAGACATGGGGGCAGGTAGGGGGTGTAGGAAGAGGTGAGATATGTAGGAAAATGTGGCTTCAGGAAGACAAGGGGGCAGGTAGGGGGTGTAGGAAGAGGCACAGGGGTGTAGGAAGGGTTGAAGGCTGCAGGAAGAGGTGAGGGTATAGAGAGGTGAGGTTGGAGAAAGAGGTAGGGGATTACAGGAAGAGGTGGGGGGGGTAAGAATTTGACACATAATCATACCCATTCAGTATTCCCCCTAGATTTATTTCACAAAAACTGGTATATAGAACATTTGATCATTCAAGCAAAAAATTATGAGTTCCTAACAATGATCAAAAAAGTGATAACGTGATAGGCAGAAATATTAGAAATTATCATAGTTGCAGAATTATTAATGAAATCCCTAATCAAGATATCACTTGTAACTGAAGGAAAATTCTAGTATGGCAATATGGAGAGCAGCTATGGACGAAAAGAAAAAAGAATTTCTTTAATTATTTAGTATACATCAGGCAAATTTGATATACAGCAACTGAATGTCGGCCATAGTTTCCAAAAATTGAGAGAAATATGAAGCATAAAATATAGGGATAAGCAGTACGATGTAAATTTTCTGTATCAATTTTGTTAAGCTATGCCATATAGCCGCTGTATATGCAAATGTGACTGAGGCCTTAGTGACTTCATTTTGATAAATTCAGAGATATTCTTTCTTCAAGAAGATTATTGGTCAAATTATTTCTCTTCTCAAATGCTTTATCGATCTAAAATTGTAATGAATATAATCTGTCGCACAAACACGTTTTCTCAAATGGTCAGGTTTCGACAGATATTTCCCTCATGTACTAATCTAAGTTTTTTGCAATACAGGATATATTTTGCTCAAGAAATTCTGTATTGGCATGAGATGAACTCGACTGAATACAGAATATCGAGAGCAGACTATATACTGTATTGCACTTAAAATCATTCTATATCATTTTTATCATGTGATCTTAGGCCAATACATTTTAATTAGGGAGATAATCCCTAGGAAATATTGCTACTGAGATTGTCCCCTCCTTACCAATATTGTATGTTAACTCGTACCATCTTAGAACAATGAAATCTTGACATACTTCAAATAAAACAAGTAAAATTACAATTTATTGCCCTGTCTGGGGAAAAAAATCATGAGGAGATGACAGAAAACTGAAGTTTTTTGCAGTGTAGTATTGTACCGAGCATAAGTTTACATCCACTCCCTCATTATATTTCCCTATATCTAACTTGCATATAATATTTACGGATATACCCTTTTTGATAATTTCATTTAGCTTCTTTTTAGAGAGCTTTAAAGGTAATACCCTGAATATATAATAAGAGAAAATCCTTTGATTCAGCCTTATCCAATTAGTCGAAAAAATTAAGCTACTGAGCCAATCACAATTCAAACTTGCGTGAAAGGTCATTACACCTTGAAAACCATAAAATTATCCATGTAAGTAACACTTTAATTTGCTGTGCCATTATTTTGCGAAAGTGCCTCCCCGGGTTATTCACGGCACTCAAAATTCACAATTACCTTCTCCCTTGTTAAGATGCAATCAGCATTTTTGCTTCAAATGTTCGATTCTTCGCACATAAGTTAGTTCGAAATGACAAACAAAGACAAATGCGCATGAAGGTTTGAAATTTAAAACAATCAAATTATTCAATCTAATATACATGAGCCAAATTTGGATCAAAAAAAGAGAACCTTGAGTGCGTGCGAAATCTACATGTTATACAGTATAGTTATAATTACTACTTGTATTGAGTTTCAGATTACACAAGATATAACATTGAAAGGGAAAGACACAGAATTGAGAAAAATACATACTAGCATTGCACTTGGCTACAAGATTTATATTACACCTATTCATCATTCCTGACATTAAACCGGATGGAATAATAATTAATTTATTGTGTAACTTATCAGATTCATAGCATTCCAGCATACTATATTTGCAGAAAAGCTACAATTTCTTTTACTTAATCTTTGCACCTATCTTCATCTGTACAATTCAAATAAGAAATAGTTTAAGGATTTAAGCTCTGGACCCAGTGCAATGTGGAATGACCATTCCTCGAAGGTGGTGCTTTCCAAGATTTACAGAGATGCTAGAGCATCGAGTATTAATTTTAGAAAACAACACAAGGACATTTTTGACAAAATGGGTCAAAACCAAACCCCAAAATTTCAACAAGGCATTGACATGCAAAATGTCACAACCTGCCATTTGTTACGGATGCCGACCGGAGAATACTGTTATGAACACCAATGGCCGAACACTATCCACAAATAGGTGTCCCTAACGCCTGGTGGTAGCATAAAAATGACATAATATTTTTCTCTGCAGAAATATGGGATATTTCTTGCCCCGCAACCTCCCTTGTGAATATCCACTGATTATGGCATTAAGACAGATCGAAATGTAAATTCTGATAAGCTGTAAATCTGTCACCATCTAATAAAAGTTGTTTCTATGTACAAATGAGATGAAACAGATGATAAATAATATGATTTAAACAAGTAATAAGGAGCTTTTCATTTGGGTTGGCACTCATAAATTTCCAGGTCTCAGAAAAACTGCAGCATCTATAAATTCATATCTCTCTGGTTTCGAACACAGGGGTTCATTTTTGGTACGTTTGAAACTCATGATTCCGAGAAATAATCATCTACTTTTTGATTCAACAATGATTGCGACTGAATAAAATGAATGCACATACAACTAAATGCAAAAAATAGCAATTATTATCTATACCTAAAAAATATTAAAGGTTTAAACATAATGAACACCTGCTAATCTGAACACTTTTGGCAGATTCTATAATTGTATTCAGTTTTATTTCGAGAGGTGTTACTTTATAGTATTACAAACTGCATTAGTATCATGCAAACAATGCAAACGATCATAGTGAGAAAGATGTAATGCCCATTAACAAATCAATATAAACACTCAGCCTGTCAGCACATGGCTCATTCACAGTTTACATACAATAATGTAAATTATACAATACAGCGATCTCTACAGGATTTTTTCTCAGGTGGGTGCAAAATTCTCATTTTCCCAATTCAAACCAAAATTAGTCAAAATATGCCAATTTTTCATGATTTTTCTCATTTTCAAGTGGGTGCAAATGGATTTTCAGGTGGGTGCAAATCTATCATAAAAATCTCAAGAGGGTGCAGGGCCCACTTACGCCCGAGTGAGCATTGACTAGTCTATTTGAGTCCACTGAATATTTGGAAGGACTCACTCAAAAGTTCATAACACACAAGGTCATTATACGGTTTTTAAATCTGAGTCAGCCACAAAATCTATCAATCCCACAGAAAATTATGTGAAAATTCATCAAAATTCAGGATTCTGAAAATCAGTTGAGACCTTGGAGGCTAATTCTGCCCAGACTCTGTGAAAACAGAAAACTGAGAGGAGGAGTGACGTAAAGTATTCATAATTGAAGCATAATTATTGAAATAGCCAGACTAACAATAAGGTGATAAATGTGATAACCATTTAAGGCCAATACCCTCAACTACATCATTCTGATAATTATCACCCTTATGTTTTATAACTAACATTATGAAAGGTTAGATCTTTTTAACCCTGAGATCAAATGGCTAGAACTAAAATACCAGAGAACTCCTCGGGATTAAAGCAAGCAAGTGGGGACTGCACCCACTTAAGATTTTAATACTAGGCTTGCACCCACCTGAAAATCGACTTGCACCTACTTGAAAATTGAAAAAAATCATGAAAAATAGGTAAATTTTGACCCAATTTGGCCTAAATTGTGAAGTCAAGAATTTTGCACCCGCTTGAGAAAAAATCCTATGAAGCACACTGAATAGATGAATTCCTTCAGAAAAATTAAAGTTTTGGTACTGGTAATGATTCTATAAGCTTAAGTAACTAAAATAGCATTTTATTGGAGCTTAAAAACGAATGAGAATTATGAATATGTGGATAACAATTGTAGTTATTAACACAGCATTAACATGCAAAATGTTACCACCTGCCATTTGTTACAGATGTGGACTGTCAAACGATGAACACCAACTGCCATATGCTAAATGTCAAACACCAACCGCTGAATTCCAAACAGGATCCACAAAAAGATGTAGACTATAACAATATGTCACCACTAGTGGTAACAAACGCCATGGTGGTGACATAATCGACAAAATCAAATAATTATCTCTCATCTAAAGAGTCTAGCAAAGTCTTGAGTTCAAACAAAGGGTAAAAGGATTAACACCTCTAAATAGAAAAAACTCCATTACTATTCTTCAGTCTGAACTGATAACAATGTATTATCTAATAATAGTCTTATATTCTCAACTAAGAGAAGGCCACAGAGACTCGACTAGGTGGGTGATATTGACCACATTTCAGTTTCTTTGTTTGCGACATGTTGTCATTTCCTGTGGCTATAATCACCAGGCAGCACTGATGCTCCATTGCATATTAACTCTCAGAACTGAAACATGATTTCAATAGATGATGACCCTTAAGTATTAGAAACCGGAGTTCAAAATGCATGCTAGTCTCGCCCAATTCAGTCTCTTTTACTTATCTTGATTTCTATTTCTATGACCACCTTTGTATACATATTTATATCCGTACCAGTGCTCTCCCCAGGATTTTTTGTTATAATTGCCAGGCAGCCCTGATGTTCCATTGCATATTAACTCTCAGAATTGAAACATGATTTTAATAGATGACCCTTAAAGTCCCCGTCTAAAGTTTGAAAATATTTTTTTATCATTCATTTACTATTTGTCATGACTTAAAAAGTTATTTTAGAGATTTTTGAAAAAAATAAATTTTTTGAAATAAAAGTTATGAGCATTTCATTTCTCAAATATTCAAATTTCCCGCCATTTTTCAAAAAAAGTTGAAATTTTTTAATCATCAAATATTTCTTAATGCTTTTCAAAAAAGATTATCCTTTTAACACCAATGCAAAGATTGAACAAAGGACACACTATTTCAATAATAAAATGCCATATTTAATGGGCTACTTTTTTTCGATGTCTATCTTTTCTCAATATGCTAGACTTCAATAATCAATCAATGTTGATTGTCTAATTAGGTTAAAAGGAAAAATATATTATGTTTTAGATATCATTGTACCATTGGTTTCTATGAGAACTAAAATTTTGAAATGCATTTTTCTCGGAACCATTTTCTTGCACTGATAAGTTCATTTCTCGCTTATTTATGAACCGATTTTCCAAATTTTTTGGCAAAAAACATGCGAGGATGAATGCTATGCATCGGTATGAATTGTGGCTAATTAAAAGATATATGTGACCTCTAAAAGTTAGTTTTAAATAAATTCACAAATTTTGGAACAAAAAGTCTATCAAAAACCACTTTTTGAAATTTAAAAAAAAAGTTTCACATATCACACTTTGATAACATTGGGTAAGACTTACCTTCTTCTAAGGCCACTGTATCGTGGCCTTCCAGTACAGATATATTCCTGCATGAACAACTGGTCATGTCGTAATCATAAAATTTGAAATCATATGTCCGCCATTTTTCCACATCACAATTTGAATTGCGAGTTTTGGTCTTATTACCTCACCAAAAATTCCAAAACACACACAAAGTGATCAGTGTATTAGTTCACATCTTCTGGATCGCTAACTTAGAATTTACAGCCAGTTACTAATGTCAGACGTAACGACATTTTGTCCAGTTTTCGAACATCGCCATTTTTCTTGGAGCCATTTTGTTTTAATTTTAGACGAAATCCTGATGAAATCATGTCATATCTCATCAAAGAGCCGAGCTGGGTCCGGTTTGATTAATGATTTATTTATCTGGCGATTTTTAAAATATTCAATAAATTTATGACACCCCGGCAGCTTTTTTCAAATAGAGTTCACAGTATTCCAGATGAATCCCCTCTAGCCAAGTATTGGCTAGAGACTCGAGTAAGGTAGTGCTTGCAACGGTAATGGATCTCACTGCCGGTAAATTTCACCTCCATTACCTTACCGTTACCGATAATCGTTGATACTGATAATGTTCCTAAAATCCCGGGGAAAAATCTGAAAGTGAAACTAAAATATTTGGAAAAATCCTTAACGAAGCCGATTTCTCAGCTTGATTTCCCGCTCACATCAACTACAGTGGATATATTGTATCATCGTGTATCTCGTGTGTGATTGTGTATTGTTAGGAAGTCTTTGAATGATAATATAGAGTGAATTCGATCAAAATTGATCAAATTATTTGTGTTTGTTTTTACTTCACCGAAATATCACGTCACGTGATTTGTTAATCTCGCGGCATGGGAGATGATTGACAGAAGTGGGTGGGGTTTTGCTTATCCTCCCGCCTTTTACGAATGATTTGCAGTTGATTGACAGATTAGCTCTTCAAATGTGGAGATTGAAATATACATGATTGATAAAATATTCTTAAACGAACATTGTTTCGTAAATTTGACAATGGATCGCAATGCCAATCATGTTGCAGCAGCATGGCGATTATCGGCAATGGATTTTATTACCGGCAATTGAGAGTATCTACTGCCGCTGCCGACAATCCGGCATTACCGTAAGGCACTAGAGTAAGGTAAGACTACAATATAAGCCAAAGTGGTTTAAACTTTACACGGGGACTTTAAGTATTAGAATCCGGAGTTCAAAATGCATGCTAGTCTCGCCCAATTCAGTCTCTTTTACTTATCTTGATTTCTATTTCTATGACCGCCTTTGTATATATATTTATATCCGTACAAAAGACATGATGCTCTCCCATTGTTAGGTTTTAAAAGTTTTTACAGTTCAGAAAATAACATACTCAGTTCAAACTAATCTTCAAATAAATTTTACATTGACCGACCGAATCATAGACATATAAAAAGTATATATGTAGTAAATGTATGTCTGGGCCTTTAATACGCCTTTAACCAGGCAGCCAACCAGGTTCATGATAAACAAATTCAACAACCAATCAGATAACAGGAGGATTTTACGGGTATATCCAAACTTCAGATTGAATTAATTTCCGTGATGATTTTACAGGTATATTCAAACTTCAGATTGAATTAATTTCCATGAAAATAATTAGATCGGTCAGTACAATCGCAACACTACAAGTGTGAGATTTGGGACTCTTCGTTGGCAAGTACTGTAGAAAGATGAATCTGTGGTGGTGAAACTCGATATGCAAAAAGATCCAGAAAGGTCTTGATTGTGCTAGCCTATGATTTACAGTCTCCCTAATGTAAAATTTTCTAAAAGTGCATTCCTTGGCTTGCTACCTTGTACATGCAAAAACAGTGAGAAGAAAATTTCATACAAGAACAAAGTTTCATGGAAATATTTACTTACTTTCTGAGATTTTGTTCAACCTCAAGACATCATCTGGATGAATTACATCTTTCGCTAACAGCTCATCTTCAGTTATATTGCCTAATTTACTGTTGGAATTATTTGATTTTTCAGTTTTTGCTTTCGCTTGTCTTGCTAAAAATCCTCCACCTTTCTTTCTCCCGACACCGGTATTCTTTGAGTTGGAACTCATATCTGACTACATAAAACGATGCTTTCTATATATATCTTCACAATTTCTTTACTAATTTCCCTATATTATCCAAATTCAGCGATAATTTCGACTTATTTTCGTTGTCAACAAAAAATCACCAAACTGAAAATCCAATATGGCGGACGTCAACTAGGTGCATGATGGGATAGAATGCACCTGCTAACCTGGGATAATGCAAATTGACAGGTGTGTGTTTCATAAAGCTGATAGAATTAGGAGAGTGTCACTGATTAATCAATTCTGGGAAATTCAATACATTTGTACAGTCTAATGAAAAGTCACAGAAAGATGGTAGGGTTGAAGTGTGTGTGTGTGTAGGGGGGGGGGGGGGGGTAAATCCAAGACTGTACACGAGTGGATCCAGAAGCTAACAAGGAGTGGAAAAATTACTGGGTTCCTAAAACCACAAATTGGGCCCAAATTTTGAAAATTTAAAGCCTATATTATATTTTAATAATTCGGCCTATAATTAAAAAAGGCCGAGAGGTGCCCTAAAAGGACAACAAATTGAGGCCATACAAAATTTTTGGGCCAAAAACATTTTTCCATTGCCATCCTAGGGGGGGGGGGGGGTTGATCCATTAGTGTGTAAAGGGTAGCGCAGCCACAGAAAAATTTATATTTTTAGGATTGTGTTTTACTGTTAGACTTCAATAAGGGAGTAAATGGAGAATGAAATAAGAACATGAAAGTAAAAGGTACGGCACCAATGTTTCTAACTTTGGCAGTCTATGTGTTACTATTTGAATGTACATGTATTAATAGGAATAAAGAAAAAAAAATAACAAAAAAACATGAAAGTATTTTTATACGATTGATCTGATGATGGTATTCTGAGTAGGGAGTAGGGCATAACTTATCTGAGTGATGAGCAAGCCTGAGGCTACGAGTAATGACTACCATGGTGAAGCACTGAAAAGGGTATAACCCTACATCACAATCAAGTTAATCTGTAAGCTCGAGAAAATGGATGTGCTCTAGCTGCTAGCTACTGGTGCTCAAGGGAAATGAATTGGCCATTTTTAGATGCTTTATCATTCTTGAACATTTGATAATACTTGACCTTTTGGAAATGTATCCTTGTGATAAAAGGGGTCATCAAAACAAGTCTGATATATAATTGGCTTTTATGGTTCCATTGACCTTTAATAATGGATATTTACAAGAAAGGGATTGTTTCAAGGGATCAAGGATTCTGCATGATGGGAAATATCCCAGAATTCATAGATGAACATATCTTCATGTAGAGATCTCTAGGGGCATTCATTTTTACATGAAGACAGGTCCATCAATGAATTCTGGGTATTTCCCCCTCTTTTCCCCAGTTTTACTGAATTTTAGGATTACAGTCAAGAGATTCAGTTTTCTTTGGAAAAAAAACCACATTTTAAAAAGTGTACATAAATCAAGTTTATAGTCTAATATAATATAATATATTTACTTCAAATAAAATAAAGTTTTACACTTATGGGCATGCATTAAAATAAATTTTACATACAATTTTACAGTAGTTTGTCCAGCAATATATACATATTTATATATAATATACAAAGCACAATTCATAATGTCCTACAGTTACGTATTGTATTACATATTAGCTTTAGGTGGACCAATCCCGCCTGTATGCCTTTATTTTTATATCTGAGATTTTTGGAGTCTTACTGTAAGTCTAATCTTCGCTGACTAATTCGAACTGGCAGCTACATCTATATCAGCTTATAAGTGAATTTTTATACCGGTTTATAATACTAGTACAATGAAACCTTTAAAGTGGAACACCTCTGTTAGTGGAATACTTTTGAAATGTACCAATTGTGTTCCACTTAGACAGATTTAGCTGTACTTAAAAGGAGTTTAGCCATTGCCAGTCATAATATCCTCATATATTACATTTTAATGCAGCAGGTGTATACACAGTAAAACCTGTATACAGTAAAACTTGTGTAAGTTAAAACATCTTTGTTAGTGTTACCTCAGAAGTGTTCCACTTTACAGGTTCTGACTACAGACAGACAGAGGTGATCAAATATTTGGGTTTCACTAAACCCGATATGTGATTTCAATTAGGTATTCATTTCAAAATATACAGGGTGTCCATGAAGTTCGTTTTCAATTACAATGCAAACTCTGTGTAAAGTGTAAAGAGACTTTATGAACACCCTGTATATCATACATCGATCAATATACACGCAAATACATATACTTTTAAAGAAGTACCCTGCATGGTTATATTGCATGCTAAATAGTTTCTCTAAGATATGAAATAGGCCTACCAGTAATATATTTTACTTGAATATGTAATCTTAACAAATTCTTGATATTCAGATGTTAACATCAAATACAACTTGCATGGCATAGAATTTCAAGTTAATCAAACAAACTATTATCTTACTATCTTTATGACAAGATTTCATATGGTTCCCACGCCAACAGGACAACAATTCAGCACTTTTCAGTCCAATAAAAAAAAAAAAAAACGGACCAGTCTCAAAACAATTCTAGCTCAACAGCTGAGTATACAAACAAGGGGGTGCCAACCAATGTATGTAGTATATCTTAACTGTTACTAATAACTATAGGAAAACTGCAACACGGGTTTAAAACTATATCAGTTATATTTACAGGGTGTCCCTCAAGTCTCTACCCGTTGCAGACTTTGTATTGTAATTGTAGAGACTTAAAGGACACCCTGTATATCATTCACTACTAGGTTAGTACAATAACATTGCATGTACATACTTATGTAGTGTCTATGTACAATTTGGCTAAAACTTATAACTGTACATATTATATAACTGTACATATTATCTGTGTTAAGGTACTGGCATACTAATATTATGAACTAACAGATTCGAACGTTACCATTCTAGGCAGGGGCAAAGCTTAAATCTGAAATAGGTGAGGCAAATTTCAACAGGAGGGCTTATTTAAGATCATCCTCGAAACACAGACATAGGCGTAGCGCCTGGTACGCTGGGTACGCACAGGCATACCAGATGGTTGCAAATTCGCACTTAATACAACCAAATTTCAGAATTTTTCCCCCAGACCCCCTAAACACTTGTTTTTTGCTTCGCTCAACTTTTGTTCCAGTGGTGGCGTACTACTTAGAAATATAGCGCTACGCCCATGACAGAGTCCAGACATCATCCAGTATGTTCCTTGATGAAGAAGGAAGGAGTGCAGTGGTTGATGTCTATCCTCCTAAGCAGGTGTCCAGAATCCGTACCTCCTTCTTCCCCCTGCTATAACCAATTTGGAAGCGCCCAATTAATCTAATTATGCGCAATGGCTTATACATGATTTCTGTCGCAGTGTTGCGACAGCCAATCAGATTGCGAGTTCTTAATCGGAAAAATGCTTACTGCTTATCGCAGGGGGTGAAAAGAAAGAAGATATTCTGGATTTTGAAGCCCTGTGATCGGAGGATGTTGATGTATGGAGCCCTGCATTCAGAGGATGATCTAAGATTAAGATGAATAATACTACAGTAGAACCTGTATATAGTGAACACCCATTGAGCCACAAAAAAGACTTTATTGTGGGTATGTGTTCACAACAGAGAGGGGATTTTATACAATAGTCTGTGTATAATGTGTATTGAAGTAGCGTTCACTAAACTCAGGTGTTCTCTTGAGAGGTGTTCACTAGGACAGTTTTTACTGTATTTCTAGACATGATTTCAGTTTCAGTATTAAAAGTTGTCTGGATATTCATTTTCCACTAAAATTTTGATGAGGCAATTGCCTCAATGCCTCACCTGCCTCGTACCTCGCTATGCCCAAGCCATGGCCACCTTAAACTCCCATACATTCCCCTATGTTAATATCTACATCTATTTACATGACTAAGTTTAAGTTTATCAACAGTTTGAGATCACATATTGTTTTAAAATACAGACTATGTAGTTCTAAGGTAGTCCATGTAAAATGTATTTATTTTGGTATGGCACACTAATATAATGAACAATTTAGTTCAAAGTTCATACTGGAACTACCTTAATAAGTAGCTATTTGTCATATAATGTGTGCTTGAGTGAAGTATTAAAAAATAGTCTCATTTCAAAAAGGTCAAAATCTCATTGAAAATATTTATAATTTTAAGAGAGATAAAATTGATTAAGAAATTCAATCAGGGAAAACACATTTTCTGTGATTGGATAATCAAATATTTTTTTTGATTTCAGTGCCATAGACTAATATGAAGCATGTTTTTGAAATATTTGAAATAAATGCCATCAACTGAAATGACCAATTTTCCCCAATCAAAATTGCTATATGCGTTAACAGAGCACACCAACATGAATTTTCCCAGAGAAATGAGAGCCAGTACTTGTATATATGGCACTTGATGCTTTTCTGTAAAACGTTGTTTTTCACACCCGCCCCATTGGTTTGTGTGTAAATATCTCATCGTTCCTACTCATTTACGATAACATGTTTGACCTCTCAATATCAATTTGTTTTAAATGTTTTAGCAAATTTAATCTTCGGAAATTTTTGAAGTTTAAGTGCAAAATTAGACCCGCTGATTTCTTCGCTATCTATTGACAGTCCTTGTGAAATTATTAGGAGGCCCCATCGGGGGGCCTCCTATCAATTTTGTAGATATTATTATTATTTATTCTTCCTCCCTCTTTTTCTCCTACTTCCAACTACCTTTCAACTAGGTACTACATAGTCCTACTAGGGACCTGGGCTGAACTTGGCGGGAAAGGAATTTTTATCTAGGTCAAGGTCAAAGGTCAAAATCTAGGTCAAATCTAAGTTTTTTTCAAGTTTCTCAAATCCTGACACTACACTTAAATATTTTTGGCTGAATTTTTGCACACAGATAGATATTAGTATTCAATTAGTCTTAGCCTTTTGCCGTCTAGAGAAATTTTGCCTAGATTTTGAGATATTGAAGGTCAAAAAAAGGTCAAAAAAGGTCTTTTTTCAACTTGCTTCAAATTGACCAAATTTTTTTTTAAAACTCATCTACAAGTTCTCAGGATTCCAAATCTGACCTTACTTTTGACCTTTGACTTTTTGTTGACCTTCAGTGACCTCCGAAAGGTCAAAAAAGTTGATTTTTCAAATCGATTTTCTGGATTCAAATTTAGGTATATTTATTCACAAAAGACCCACTGAGGTCTAAAAAAGTAAAATTTGCAAGGTCAAAGGTCAAGGTCATCAAAGGAAATCACAAACTGTGTTTTCTAAGTTTCTCAAAATTGGAGACTACAAATCAATTTTTTTTACTGAAAGTCAGAATATATATTCCTCTAAAGGTTCTACACATATTAGCAATTGACTATTTATTAAAATTTTGCTCCAGTTTTGAGATATTAGAACTCAAAAACTGAAAAAAGGTCAAATTTCAAAATTTTTCAAGGTCAAATTTCAACTTGCTCTAAATTGACCAAACTTTTTTTTAAAAAGCATCTACAAGATCACAGGAACTCAAATCTGACCTTAGTTTTGAACTATGACCTTTAGTTGACCTTCAGTGACCTTCGAAAGGTCAAAAAAGTTATTTTTTCAAATTGATTTTCTGGATTCAAATTTAGGTTTCTTCAATCAGAAAAGATATATTGAGGTCTAAAAAAGTAAAACCTGTAAGGTCAAAGGTCAAGGTCATCAAACAAGATCACAAACTGTGTTTTCTAAGTTTCTCAAAGTTTGTGACTACAAATCAATATTTTTGAATTAAAGTCAGGATATATATTCCTCTAAAGGTTTTACACATAATAACAATTGATTATCTATTAAAATTCTGCACCAGTTTTGAGATATTGGACCTCAAAAACTGAAAAAGGTCTAATGTTGAAATTTTTCAAGGTCAAATTTCACATTGCTTCAAATTGACCAAACCTTTTTTTAAAAATCATCTACAAGATGCCTGGAGTTCATATATGTCCTTGTATTTAAGATTTGACCTTTGGCTGACCTTTAAATGTTCAAAAAAGCCTACGGGGCCTCCGTAAGATTGCTTGCAATCTTCTAGTTATGCATATTTAAGGGCAGGGTTTAAATTTCCAAGTCAACAAGGCATTAACATGCAAAATGTCACTACCTGCCATTTGTTACAGATGTTGAATGCTGAACACCAACAGAATACCATTCACCAAAAAGTTGGGAGACCATAACAATATGTCACCACCACAAGTGGTAACAGACTGAACCAGCCCTTAAGGTTCCTTTGATTTCCTTAGGAAAGGACCGAGGCAAAAGATGGTTACCTTTATAATTTTACATAATATTTCCTATTGTCTAAAATTCATAAGATCATCTAGAAGTTGGCATAACATTGTTAATTGAATCATTTAATAAACTTTCAGTTTTAGCAGGATTTAGCGCCACTGTCGCATTGTCAATTATACTGAACACAAACTGTATACAACCAAGTTTTATATAACTCCCATGGTGCAATAGTGCCGTGCCTTCCCAGCCTGCACCACTGCCTCCTATAAGGCTCGAGCTACTTGTCCGACAGCTACATATTTGACTTTCCTGGAAGTACACAATGAAATTATATGAACATTTGCTAGTTAATGCATGGGCGTCTATTCATCCAAGGGGGGAGGGGTGAGCACCCCCTTTTTAAACCAATCTGGGGATTTAATTCATGGTGGTGAGGAGGATACTTGGAGGAAAGAAAAAAACTATGTGCTCTGGAAAAAGAAGTGAAGAAGCTAAGCTTCAAGTGTGCAATGATGACGGAGACTGTTAGGCTCATAGCCAGGATTTGCCAAGGGGGGGTCCAGTTTTCAAAAATTTCCAGGGGGGTTCACATTTGACAATTTTGGCCCAAATATGACTAAAATTACTTGAAAAGTGCTCAAAAATGGTAAAAAATTGCATGATTTTGAAATAATTTCCACCCACTTGAAAAAACCCTGTGGAGATCACTGCAATATGAACAATTTCAGTCGCATTTTTATTCTGTCATAGATGAACTTAAAAAGAACCTCGGAATTAGAACACCTGCAAATCTGAACAATATAAGCCTATCCCAGTGGTGATCAGATAAGACAGGTTTTACTGTACAGGGTGTCCCGAAAGTATGCCCCCCCCTAGGCAGGCATATACCAGTGTCTTCATAGTATGTGTCATATATCACTTTAAAGCTTATCCAAAGTTACATTGATTTGCCAAGTATCATGGTTCAACTCTCAAATGTGAAAAAATTACAGGCATTTCAAAATTTAGTGTTTGGCCAAAATTTAGTTCAATTTTACACCAAATCACTTTCGGGACACCCTGTACTGTTGTTTTTAGTAGCCTACCTTATTGGCACTCTGACTCATTGTAACCTTATCTTCTTCTTTCTGCTCAACCTTGGCTTTTGACTTATCAGCTTTGGTTCGAGATTTCTTGATTAAACCCCTTACAGTCTTTACAACTTTACTGACTTTTGGCTGCAGAATAGCTTTCTCCGAGAAGTCACACGAGTAGAGGACATTATCAACTGTAGTGCCATGCTCACTGTAGTTCAGGAGCTCAAAGTGACGAGATGTCTGAAATACACGTACAGAAACATACATACTATAGTATAGGAATTGTGCCATGCTCACTGTAATTCAGGAGCTAAAGTGATAAAATGTCTGAAATACAGAATCATACATGTATTTCATTGCCTATTTCAAATGAACTTTTGCATTATCACGAAAAATTCAATATTCAAATTCTAATTCAATATTGTTGTTAGAGAGCACAGAGGGCAACATTTAATCTGCACAAATCATCATTTTACATTGCTGCTTCAAATAACCTAATCAAATTTTTACATCACAGCCAATTTAGTATTGTAGTGAAAACTGAAAGGGCAACATTTGAAAAGAAGGTATTAACATGCAAAATGTCACACCCGCCATTTGTTACAGATGCCAAACACCAACCGCTGAACACCAACTGCCAAATACCATTCACAAAAAAGTTAGAGACTATAACAATATGTCACTACCTATGTCACGATCACAAACCCCTATAAATCATATTTCTCACTTACCTCATCATAGAAAATACAGGTGTGTTTTACAGTATGCCATGAGAACATAACAAAACTATTGACACTCACATATCATATTTCACGCTTACCTCGTCATAAAATATGCAGGCATGTTTAGCAGAGACATAGTTACAGTGTCCAAATACAGTTAGGCACACATCCATGTCAGCACCTAAAAGGAAATGAAACAACACTAGTGTAAGATTTAAAATGTTTGTATAAATAAAATACAGGTACATAAGCTAGGACCTGGCATCTTCAACTACCAAGGTGTAATAACAAATGCTTATTTTTCTCCAGGATATTTTTCTATGGGCAGTTAGCGCTACATACAATTTTCATGTTTTAGAAAATCACTGACAAGTTCAATTCACCAATCCACTGAACCCCAATTGACTACAGTGGTAAATAAAAAAAATTTTTGGCAGCATGTAAAATTCACATCAAAACTTATGAGCCAAATTAACCTTTAGCGTGCTGCCGGCGGACTCGTCCGCCGAGACTAAAATGTCTCTCACAACTGCCGGCGGACCCGTACGCCCGATTTCAAACTTTTAAAAACTTTACTTTTTCGCGCCATTCGTATTGTCCAATTAGATTGCCCGATTTATTCAGTGCCTAACATGACTTCCTGTTGACCTAGAAATGGCGATATTTCGAAAAATAATTCTCAATTCAACAATTTAAACAGTGTTTTGGTCGTTTTTAGTGAACGAATCGTACAAAATGGTGGACAAATACGATCACAACGAAAATGTGGAGGAAATGAATTACGATTTCGAGCTCTTTAGGCTCTTGGAAGCCGATAACGGTCATCGAAAATAGAAACTAGAATATTTTCTGAATTGAAAAATTGAACATTCGATCGCTGCAAATTCAGATTTGGATTCTGACCAGACGAAGAGGCGGAGCGGCGGATTCCGGAGGAGTATTCATGGTATATTTATGCCCAGTCGTGTTAATGTACGAAAAAATTCATGAGAACATTTTTTTCATGAGCCAGGCCACTGTATCTTCCCTTTGTGAAAATTTTATCCAGATTCATTCAGTAGTTATTGAGATATTAATTATTTAGTCCAGGCATATCATTTTTTGCACTCTTTGAAAAATAAGCCAGTTGCGTGGGATATATTTGCTGAAATAAGGCAGCATGGTAAAGGTTAAGATGCCCACAAAAGCAATTCAAAGTTTATAAATTTTGAGGGAATAAAATATGAATGTTATCGACAGAATTTCTTAATTGAGTAGGGGCAAAGTCTTGATTTTTCTTAAATTAAAACATTGTTAATATTTTACAGAATAATGTTTTTTGTACATTTTTTGCACAACTTATGTCCAATAGAAGCATTAATAACCTTTTTGGCTTATGTTTGCCTTATCCCTTTAGACCTGGCTATTATAGGTATACTAACCTGTGCCAACAGTCAGTGATCTATAAGACATTGGAACAGGCTGTCCCTTCCCTGTCAATGGACACATTAATGCCCTGGCTTTTACATCATTAGACCCTACAACATACAAGTGATCTATAAGATATTGGAACAGGCTGACCCTTCCCTGTCAATGGACACATTAATGCCCTGGCTTTTACATCATTAGACCCTACAACATACAAGTGATCTATAAGACATTGGAACAGGCTGTCCCTTCCCTGTAATGGACACATTAATGCCCTGGCTTTTACATCATTAGACCCTACAACATACAAGTGATCTATAAGATATTGGAACAGGCTGTCCCTTCCCTGTCAATGGACACATTAATGCCCTGGCTTTTACATCATTAGACCCTACAACATACAAGTGATCTATAAGATATTGGAACAGGCTGACCCTTCCCTGTCAATGGACACATTAATGCCCTGGCTTTTACATCATTAGACCCTACAACATACAAGTGATCTATAAGACATTGGAACAGGCTGACCCTTCCCTGTCAATGGACACATTAATGCCCTGGCTTTTACATCATTAGACCCTACAACATACAAGTGATATATAAGACCTTGGAACAGACTGTCCCTTCCCTTCAATGGGCACATTAATGCCCTGGCTTTTACATCATAAGACCCTACAACATACAAGTGATCTATAAGACATTGGAACAGGCTGTCCCTTCCCTGTCAATGGACACATCAATGCCCTGGCCTTTACATCATTAGACCCTACAACATACAAGTAATATATAAGACATTGGTACAGGCTGTCCCTTCCCTATCAATGGACACATTAATGCCCTGGCTTTTACATCATTAGACCCTACAACATACAAGTGATATATAAGACCTTGGAACAGACTGTCCCTTCCCTTCAATGGGCACATTAATGCCCTGGCTTTTACATCATTAGACCCTACAACATACAAGTGATATATAAGACATTGGAACAGACTGTCCCTTCCCTATCAATGGACACATTAATGCCCTGGCTTTTACATCATTAGACCCTACAACATACAAGTGATCTATAAGATATTGGAACAGGCTGTCCCTTCCCTGTTAATGGGCACATTAATGCCCTGGCTTTTACATCATTAGACCCTACAACATACAAGTGATCTATAAGACATTGGAACAGGCTGTCCCTTCCCTGTCAATGGACACATTAATGCCCTGGCTTTTACATCATTAGACCCTACAACATACAAGTGATCTATAAGACATTGGAACAGGCTGTCCCTTCCCTGTCATTTGACACATAAATGCCCTGGCTTTTACATCATTAGACCCTATAACATACAAGTGATCTATAAAACATTGGAACAGGCTGTCCCTTCCCTGTCAATGGACACATTAATGCCCTGGCTTTTACATCATTAGACCCTACAACATACAAGTGATCTATAAGACATTGGAACAGGCTGACCCTTCCCTGTCAATGGACACATTAATGCCCTGGCTTTTACATCATTAGACCCTACAACATACAAGTGATCTATAAGACATTGGAACAGGCTGTCCCTTCCCTGTCATAGGGCACATTGATGCCCTGGCTTCACCAGATCTCAAAAAGTAAATATATAAATGAAACATTGCTCTACCCATGATTTTTCTCAAATGAGTGCAATATTCTTATTTTCACAATTTAGACCATTTGGTCAAAATTAATTCATATTTTCATGATTTTTCGCATTTAAAGTGGGTGCAGCCCCCACTTGCTTTCATGCTGCGCCGAGGAGACACAGAAATGAATTGGTACCTGAGTTTGAGAGAAGTCCATTGAGTAAAGTTTTACTGTTTGTTGCAGATTTCTGAGGCAGGAGCTGTTGTAGTCTTTGGTGTGCCAAAATTTGAACCAGCCTCTCATCTAATTTGCTGAGATCTGGGTCTGAAAAATGGGGGTAAAGTTATGTATATGTACGAAGACTTGAGAGTGAACGTGTAACGTTATGTCCATCAGAGACGATTATGATTGCCCCCTCTCCCTCCAAATTTGTTTGTACAGGAACCGAGTCATGAATACCATCATATTCAACTGGACCAATGGAGGAAAAAGTCGGAACAACATTCTTCAAACGCAGGTGTCCAGACCTCATCCACAAGTTTCTTCCTTCTTCTGGATGAAGGAAGGAAAGTAATGAATGATGTCGGAAACCCTGCAGTTGGAGGATGTGGGGACCATAATTTTACATTATATCTTGAATGATTTGTGAATTCTTAACCAAGCAAATACTCTACTAATGGCCATGAGGATGATTTAACCGCATGCTATAAACAACTGAATGATATTAATAAAAGTTTTATAAAAGAGATGGTAACCAATGAAACGCCTGTGTTTAACTCACCTGTGCTGCCCTCTATACAGGCCTGGAGTGACGCATTGAGGCTGGAGATAGCAGGGCTGTTACTGAGTTGATTTATTCCTGAGAGTTTGTTGTTCAGTATATTAGAAGTAGGGCTGTTCTTCCCTGAAACATGTAATATTGTATTAAGAGATATTACAATGTTATTTTTGGGAACTTCAATAGACATATTCTCGATAAGAGTTCAGATGGTAATTTACATAAATATCTCCCATGATGCATCGCTTTGGATAATAAAGTGCAGCAATGAAAATCGCACTCCTGTGAAATCAAATGGGAAAGAACCGTGATGTAGACAAAGTTGTACCTCTCATGAGAGCTCTTCAAACGTGAGGTAACTAAACTGAACTAAATTAAAAACTTATGGCGTATTGGCTTATTAGGGACATTTAGCATTGGGTGAGGATATTTCAAGTGCTGGCCTGGAACATTTGTTAATGAAAACACAAAATTAAATTCTGCACTGAGGATTGATGTCTTAGCACATAATTTTATTCAGGAATTAACTTATAAAAAGAAACTAGAAAAATCTGAGAATTTCAGAAAGTGAAAAATTCAGGCATGATTAACTATAGATTGAAACACATAAAGCAACATAAATAAAAGCTCAACCTCTGCTGAAAGAGAAATGTATTGCCTAAAATGGTTCCTAAACTAAAATTTTTCTTGGCTCACGCTTCAATCAACTACAGTAGAACCTGTGTAAGTGTAACAACCTTGGGACCACAAAAAGTGTTCCACTAGGGAGCTGTTCCACTTATAGAGGTTCAGTAATATGGAGAAGATAGGCCAACATTGTTCCACTTGTGAGGTGTTCCACTTACAGAGGTGTTCCACTTAGTTTCTACTGTACATGTATTGACTTCTATGTGTTTGCTGCAACTTTTGTTAACAACACCCCAGCTGTTTATTAAAAGGAATCGCTCACCTTGAGATGCATTGATGACTTTGGTCATGGCCCCTGACCCCGACACCACTTTACTGCCTATGACCTTGAACCCTGACCCCTTTGGGGCAAGAATAGACTGAGCATTGGAAGCCGATGTTGCAAGCTTTGAGCCGTCAGTCACCATGTCATGTTGCTGCTGATGTACCCGACCTATTGTTATATTTTGTTGTGACGCAGCCAGCGATTTCAGCTCACTGTTTATGAGACTATTTGGAGAATCTAAACTTGATGATCTATTTTTCAGCAATGATGTACCCTCGTATGATTTGTCAAATCCTTTCATTGAGATGTCCAAATCTCCATTTGGGGTACCAAGTAATGATATCCCAGTGGGTCCATTTGATTTACTGGCACAAGGTCCATTCTCCATAATATCCTCAGCGGTATCATTTACATCACCATTCATCAGCGTCCGTTTGTTATTATTTTTTACATCTATGGTACTTGAGGAGTTACAACTATCAGAGGGAGGAGGGCTATTTGATGTAAGATCCTGCTTTACGGTGGGTAAAACAGAGGCTGTTGGCTTTGTTATTTCAGTTGTTGTTTTAGGCGTTGATTTCTCAATTTCAACATTGTTCAGTTGTTGTTGTGCTAGATGTCTAGCTATACTAGTTTGTAAGGCAACTACACTGGAGAGCCACTGGAATAAAAAAAACAATGTTTCTTATTTATTTTTAGTTAATCTGAAACATAGGATCAAATCCTATGCTAAGGGCTGGTGTGAAAAAGTCACTCTACCCTGGTGGGAATTGAACCCACAACCTCCCAATTAAATGTCAGATACTCTAGCACTTGAGCTATGGAGTGAACTTACTCTCTCAAATCAACATTGCATATATGGCATCACAGCCATGACTTACATACCCAGTTTCATGAACCCAATTATTATTTCTTTATTCATTTTTAATATGCAATTTGTAACTTAACAAATGCAATTGTACAATGCATGTATAGATTGACATGTGTCTGTTGTTTAATTTAAGTCAATATATCACTGAAATTATTTGAAATTAAGAAACAAAAGTAAAAATAGGATAAAGTTGGCTCTATTAGATACAAGTTGTCGTCAGATATGCAATGATGGAATAATCATGAATTTTATTGCTTAGTTTAACTGAATGCCTAAAACAGTGATGTATATGTATTGGACCAATGACATTGCAATTTAGAGAAATTATGTTTCCATCTATTTGTGATACCCTATTTGATCTCAGTGTTCTCCCAAGGATTTTTCTCAAGGTTGACCGGAAATTCTTAATTTCACTATTTGGATAAATTTTTTTAAAATATGCTTGTTTTTCATGATTTTTTCTTCATTTTCAAGTAGGTGGAAATATGGTTTCTCAAGTGGGTGCAAATGGTTTCTCAAGTGAATGCAAGCCAATTGTTAAAATGTAAAGTGAGTGCAACGCCCACTTGCTTTAATGCTGGAGAGATCAGTGGTTCTTAAAAGGAACACTAGTTTAAGTGCAGCATTATCAAACCATGAAGCTATTTTGCCAGTTTTGAGAAATTCCTGAATGAAACCCCTGATAGAATGTTCGCCTACTTGTTCCTGGTCAGTGTTGGGAGTATCGGATTGTCTTGGAGATGAGTGGGCTTCTCCTTCAGTAGTTGGGGCATCATGTGTCCGTGGTAACATAGGGGGAGGGAACTTGTACTGCTCTTTTATTGCTTCAGGAATCTAAAATAACAGACAATGATTTTTCATATAAAAGGCTTTATTTCCTAATTTCAGGTAAAAAGAGAAAAAACATTGAAAAATATTAAGCGATGGGTTATGTGTATACTTGTATGTAATCATGTAATTGTTTTACTATACGCAATTGGCAAACTTTGCTAGCCCTACATATTGATACAAACAGGGTTTCCATAAGGTATCTTCACAATTACAATAAAGGTCTGTGTAAAGTGTAAATAGACTTTATGGACACCCTGTATATCTCTCTTTTGCTTGCAGATAGTACCATATCTTTGCATCATGATACATAAATACAGGGTGTCCATAAAGTATCTTTACAATTACAATATAAAGTCTAGACTTTATGGACACCCTGTATATCTCTCTTTTGCTTGCAGATAGTACCATATCTTTGCATCATGATATATAATACAGGGTGTCCATAAAATCTCTTTAAAATAAAATACAAAGTCTGTGTAAAGTGTAAATAATCTTTATGAACACCCTGTATTACATGATGGCATAAATTGAATATCTATAATAAAAAGTACCTGAACACTTTTTCTTTTATTGTGCTTGACTTTCAGCCTAAATGGCGGGTGTTTCCTGTGTATCTTCTTCAGGAAGTTTACTTTCACCGAGTGCTGGTCCAGGTGGCCAGAAAACTGGTCCCACAACTTCACCCTCTCTGTCAGGCTCACTGACTTCAATAGCTGTTCATCCTGGAAAGAGAAAATTAAATGTATAACTGGTATTTCAAAACACCTGCTAATCCAAACACTTTTGGTGTTCAGATTTGACAGATTGGTCCCAATGGTGTTCAGATTACAGGTTTTATTCAAGTTAAAAGAAGTATGAAATATGGAAACTTCATCCTTAAAAGAGCAAATACAATGAAACCTGTATATCTAAACACCTCTCTAATCTGAACAACTCTCAATGTGAACACGTATTGGTCCCATATTTGTTTTTCTCCCATTGACCCACACTTTTAAAAACAATGAATCAAATGTGAACACTTTTAGTTTGTCCCCATGGTGTTCAGATTGGACAAGTTTTACTATGGAAACTTTGGAATTGCTTAGAAATAAGTATGAAAAGGGAAAAGTTAGGAATTCAAAAATCATTGTTTATTATCAAAAAATTGTAAGAATGTTGGAGAAAATCCTGAAATGCAATACTTTTTGGATTTTCAGAATAATTATTTTCTTGCTCTTATTCTGCCTTTAATAAAGGGAATGAGGGAGAAGAAGTGGGGGGACTTACAACTGTGTTTTCAGCATGGTTAGGGCACATCCATCTGCCTGAAGGTAAGCTAGCCATTGGGGGGTTCAGGCAGTCCATGTGGTACAACAGAGGACAGTAGTCACATTGTAACAGGGGATTCTTTCTACAGCTCCTAGAAATAAAATATTAGCATTTATAACAATACAGTATACAATTGTTGACCTCTCCAGAGGTCAACCGGCAAAATTGTATACCGAGACTGTAAACCGAGAAGCTACTGTTGACAGAGACCGAAGGTCGAGGTCAACAGTGTTTCAAGGTTTACAGTCGAGGTATATGATTTTGACGGTTAACCGAATGGAGAGGTCTACAATTGTTTTGTTAGTCAGAAGAAACTAATAATACTCATATATACGACAGTCATCAATCATGGCTTCATTTCACAATCTTTTCTATGAACCACGCCAGCAATAATTTTTAAGAAAATCTGAAGACAGTGGAAGCTAAACTCTCTGTTTTCGGTACATAACTGCGTACTCACCAGAAAATTAATGTTAATTTTGCGTTTCTATTTGTATTGTTGCTATATACTCGTCGTGTAGAAAAGTCAAAATATCACTTTCATCAACGTGTACAAAATGTCCGACTACCATGTTTTTTCTGTAAACATTGTGACGTCATATTTCCCATAATTCACAAGTGTAGTACAGTAACATACGCGGTCAATAATATGATATCCCATGATGCACAAGTGAGGTACAGGCAAAAATGTTGACCGCTAATTGACCAATCAGATGCGAGTATTTACACTGAGGTACTAACAATATAAATTAATGGAATTGAGGGAAGAAATTCTACAGTTATCGTGCTGACAAGTTCTTATGTCCCTAAAATAGCTGTCTTTTAGGGATTTTTTAATATTTAAAATTCTTTTTTATTTCAGATTTTTAAAGATTACATCAATTAAAAATTATAAATCTCTTTTCACAAGTTACATGATGCATTACATAATAATATTTCTCTTCGATAGCTCTATTTAAAGTATAGTTTAAGTTGATAGTATTATAAAACCCTAGAGTATGTTTATGTATACAATACTTTGTCTTTTTAGGGATTTTGACTGACTGGGTATGTCTAGATAAAAGGATTTTCACTTATTTTAAGAATTAAGCATGAATGTCTGTTATAAACTCTGAAAAGGATATATATTGAGCAATCAAGTACTTACTTTGAGCAGAGAAAGCAAACTTTGGCAGGCAAAGGTACAATTCCATTGTCTAACTCATGCGCTAGCTTCTTTATGGGATACTTCGGCTTCACCCACCATTTTGTCTTACTGGTGCCTAAATATTAAAATAAATTTCAATATCAAATTCATGCATGTAAATAATTCATTGCATGGGTATACTTATGTAAGGCATTGTTATAGTAACATACAAACTTGCAGACCCCTTATACCAATACATAAATGGGCAGAATAGAGTTGAACAGCATATAAAAATATGAAATATAAAAATGAATGAAAAAGCATGTTTTCTTATTTTTTTACAAAAATGCCTTTGCATTAAGGTTTTTAATAGTAATAATAATAAGTTTTTTTTGAGAAAACAGCACATGAATTTTGTTTCAAAAGTGATCAAATTTCCATTTGCCATCTTCAATGAAAAGGAAATAATCAGCTCAACTGGTAGATAAGAAAATCAAAAGTTGCAACAAAACTCAAATTATTAACCAAATTTTACCACCTGCCATTTGTTACAGGCACCGAGAACTGAGCACCATCCACCAAAAAAGCTTGGAACTATGACAAAATATTAGCACTTCTGGTGGGGACAAAATAAATGAGATTTTCTTTGGGGTCTTTGTTTATTATAAAAATGCTTTAAATCACCTGGTAGATTAGTAGTACATGCCAACTCAGACGGCAACTCGTACTGTTTCGGATTCATAAGCTTAGCTGCTCGAGTTAACATCATCAATGGATGCTCAGTTTCTTTTTCATCCTCGTCATCAAGTTCATCTAGTAATGCTTTCTTCTGATTGGCTAAGATCTCGGGGATTGTTGCACGTCGTTTAGTGACTCGCGTTCTACTTCCCTGAGAGTTTGTACTTTGTCTACTTGTGCTGCTACAGGTTGACATATTGTCATCATCCTTCTGAAAATATGGATTTTAGAATATTCGGTTTAGGTTAAAATAAATTCCATCGAAGAATATCCAAATATGAAAAGCGTTGCAATGATTATATATGTATGCAAACAGTGTTTCAACAAGTGGCATGTATTTTCAAATTCTCAACAGGATGCAGAAACCAGTTTGAGAGATCACAAAAACACATAAAAAACATACATCTTTAAAACATGGAGTTTTTGCAATTTCTTCGAAAAATTTACCTCAGGTAATGAAGGAACTGGTATCATAGGGGTAACTTTGCAGTTGTGGCATATCCACTCTCCTGTAGGCAGATCCTCATCTTCTAAAGGGGGATCACTGAAATATAAAAGTTTTTTTCTTGTTAATGCCTTAGTCTAATAAGTTTTACTGTAGGGTTTTTACAATTGCTTTTGACACAATTTGAATGATTGACTAAACCTCAGTTACGATAGATGTGATTTTATACTTTTGATAATGAAGATATTATATTCATGGTGTATAACCCAAACGCTCCTACATGCACGACGGAGCGTTTCATTACTGAAATTAAACAAAGAAACGCTCCGGAGTAGGAAAACTGGCTGGCGGGAATGATGAGCTGTCTGACAATTTCCCCAATAATGGGAATAAGAGCTATACGAAGCAGTATAGTTATCAAAATTCAAAAACGTATTTGTCATTCTACCGGTCAAAACCCCTTTTGTCGATACATGTGATTAGTTGAGCCAAGATTAGAGCACCAACGTATATTTTAGTCAAATTCCAATGCTTCAGCGCACCATACATTATCGTAATAGTGATTTGATGACTGAAAATCCAGTCTTAAAAATGATGACATTCTCATATTCAAGAAACGCTCCGATCTGATTAACACAGTGAATTGGAAACGCTCCGGTAGTCTAGGTCAGTTTAGGAAATATATAGCTTGCCTTTCCTTTTCAGGAAGAGAAAGAAAAGTTCTATTATACCCCTTGGCATCAATAGAAGAAAGATTAATTCACATATAAATTTTCGTTTTTTTCTATAGTTTTATGATTTAGCACATATGTAGGCATGACATCATCTAATGTATAGGCTTAAATCAGCTAGTTGCACGTTTAGCACCACCAGGTTCAGATGTTTCAATTTGCCTAACAAGTACAACACGTTTTTAAGAGATAGATTCGATTCGGGACTCTTCTCTAATAATCTGAAAAAAATGATATCAAAACAAAATGGTAAGAGCGTTTCTAAAATTGTGTTCTAAATCGACGGAGCGTTTCGAGGAAAACAAGAGATTTCTCGAGAACAAGTAATGGATTTGGACTGGGATTTTAGGAAATAAGAATATACGAGTTTGTGATCTACTACTTTAACAGAAAGATTAACGTTTTCATAGAAATACTAGTTTAATTCGTAATTTGTGGTCGAAACGTCATCTTCAGATTCGTTCGATCTACACTACGGAGCTTTGATCAAGCAAATAACAGTTTACCACCAGAAGTTGAATAAATAAGATCTTTGCTCACAGTATTGTTCATCGAATGGTACATAATATTTCACCATAACATATGATATGTAAGAGAAACGAGAGAAACAACACTTACGGTCATAGTGGAATCTTCATTAGCCGCCATTTTATTTCGCTCCGGAGCGTTTCCGCGTAAATGTAACGCTCCGTCGTGCATGTAGGAGCGTTTGGGTTATACACCGTGATATTTGTTTTTCAGTATAGTGCAAGTTTTGTTGCACCTTACTCACTTCGAGAGCCATGGTAGATTTTGAAACTTATGGCTCTCAAACGGAGAAGTGAACAGCTGATCAATAGTGACCTTTGAAATTGAATTAAGTCGATCCGCGGCTTACTTTTGGTCTCTAACTGTGTCTTACATCAGTATCATCAATCCGTGTAAGTATTGGAGCGCTGGAGTACTTCTTTTTCGATCAAGACTTGTAAATTGTTCATCGAGTTAAAGTTTTACAGACCTATTTCCAATATGGCGGTTTGCTAGGTGCGAGATACGCAACGAACGAAATGAATTTTGAGAATTAGTTAGGTTCGGACAACCTCCGGAGATTTACGAAAATGTCCGAGCAGAAACCGCCATATTGGAATTTGGCAGTAAAACGATTCACTCGGCTAACGAATTACAAGTCTTGATCGAAAAAGAAGTACTCCAGCGCTCCAATACTTACACGGATTGATGATACCGATGTAAGACACAGTTAGAGACCAAAAGTAAACCGCGGATCGACTTAATTCGATTTCAAAGGTCACGATCATTGAGCTGTCCAAATGCTCCGTGGGAAAGCTATTATATCAAAATCCAAATAGCTTTCGCAGGAAGTAAGTTGCACCTACTTGCATCACAAGAGGTAAATAAATACTAACTGGCATTGTAAATGAAATGCAGCAGGGCATCTGTCACAGCAAAGTAGATCACCACCCTCCTTACAACTGTCACAACAATCATGGTTCACGGCTCGTCCTGGTCGCCTGTACTCACGATGCTCGTTTCTCCTACGGGGTGGATTATCACTAAGAGGGGGAGCTATCAACTTCTGAATCTCCTGTAACACATTGAAAATTTTACATTTGTTGTGTCTAATTCCGACATGAATTGATTTTGGAGATTGGTTATCGCTGGAATCCGTATATACCAAGCATAGGGCAGGATTTACTGAACACAGCTGGCTCAAAAGCCAGCTGACACACCGTTAGAATATACCGGCGTGTGAAGCGTTTTTCCCCAACTTCCAGCTGGTGCGCTGGCATAAGTAACGGTATTTAGGAAGATAATTGAATATTACTTGCCCTTTTTTTGAAGTGTGGTGTCAACAAGTTCTATTTGTTGTGTAATTTGCAGTTAAATTGGAGAAATTTCTGTTCCGGCGCGCACCATTCTTAATTTTTTGCGCATGCGCTCAATTTATTCTCTTCATTGCAATGCCAACGGAAGTTCCCAGAGCTGACTTCTGTCAGCTCGGTAGAGTAAGGCAGGATGAACATGAAATTTCAATTGAAGTCCATGATGATAATGGAATATGTAAATCAGTTTGATCAGATATTTTTTATAGCCATAATTCATATGAAAATGTAATCAAAGTGATACATTTATTTTAGTTTTGATCAGCTTTATATACAAATAGCATGTGTTTTCAGTTCAAAATCAAACAAAGGCTATGTGATCCGCATTTCAAAGATGGCTGATCAAAAATCAAACAAAAAATTTAGGGTCGACTTAAACTTACGTCCATTAAACCTCCCGATGTATCAAGATCGTATGTAACAGGCTCCATCCTGTATCCTTATACTCCAGAGAATCCGTCAGGAAATTTTTGGGTACTACAGTTGTTCGAATAGTCTGAAATCGATCGTTCACTGTCTCAATTTTTTGAGATTTGTGCTCACTTTTTGAAAAATTTTGGAAAATCTGTCAACTTTTAAAACGACTTTTCAACCTGTTAACAGTAAAGATATTACACCAAACTGCAAGAACACACGGGAACACCACATATCTTTGTTATTTCTGTGACAATCTGCTGGTAAAATTTGTTTTCCTATAGAAATATCCAGTTGAACCAAAGTTTATTTAGAGAAGAACTTCTTTGGCGCAAAATGGTGGACCTGATATGCGCATGCGCGAATTTTCTTATTGATTTCAACTCTGGTTTTGATGGAACGAAATCAATGCAATATATTACGGGGTTAGATTTTATTTCCTATTTACATTAATCACGGGGTGCCATCGAATAATTTTGGCAACGTACCGGAGAACGACATTTTACTAAGAAATGGCAATAATTTAGCACAATATATTTTTTAACTAGAGTTCTATTTTGATTTTGACAAAAGTAAGTATTCCATGCAATAACTATTTCATTCATGAGTTTGTAGGAATTCTGTTGGAACCCAGTTCTGATCAAGTACGAAGTTATTGAAATCGGCGCAGACGGACTTTACTCCGAAAGATGGTTTTTCGATTATAACTTTTCACAACATTTAAGTATAGACTTTTGAAAAAAGTACAGAATAGTCCTTATACTTTTGAATAATTCTGTTATTTCTGATTCACACGACTCTGATTTGTTTAATTAAAAAAAAAGTTTTAAAAATATTACTTAGGAACGTAACCGGAGCTGGGAACGTAACCGGAGCAGATCAGTTGAATTATTTAATCAAAAAAATTAAAATATATGATTTAAAGCACATATACTAATTTAAAAACATACGGGATTGTTCGAATGCGTATTTATTAATATATATGCTTTAAATCATATATTTTATTTTTTTAAATTATATAATTCGATTATAAAATTATTCGATGGCACCCCGTGTTAATGGCCTATAACTTGTAAATGTGTAATATGCACACATGACGAGACATGTGAATCACAGTGAATAAATGTATATTGGATAAAATCTAAAAGGTAATATATGCAAGTGCAAGTGCCTAAAGGAGAAAGGAGAAAAACTTAAATCAATTCAGTCTCACGTCAAATGATGCGTGATAAAACTCCCAAAAAAGACCAAAAACTCTCAAAGATGTCCCCTCAACTTATATTCTTCAAGTCCGACCCTGTATTTCGTCCTTGTCTCACTTATAGCAGTTAATTTGTTTAGCTAGTTCACAAATACAACACGCCGTTGTGTTGTTTTAATTGATGATAGCATATTCCTGACATCTTTCTTTTTCTTGATGCAATGATCCTGGGGCAATGATATTAATTAACACGCTCGAAACTAGCATAATATTATTCGAAGCGTGTTTAGAAAATTTTGAAACCGCCACATTGTGTCTGCCAATTTGACCAATCGGTGATGATATTTTCTCAATACAGATTAACATTATAGCCATGTCTTCTTTGAACCCTTGGGTTATTCCCCTTTAAGATACAGCCAATTAATGCGTTCACATTCACACACTCTGCCATCTTTCTTTCACTCTTTCTAAATGCTAAATGCAAACCCTGCGTGGACTGTACATTTTGTATCACCTGCTGCTAACGAGGATCAGCTTTTGCAGTTGCCAGAGTCAGGAAGCGGGAATATTGACTTCTTTCAAACTTTACGATGTCAATAAGAGGTAAAATTTACAATAATGGATATGTATTCTTTAACTTATAAACTTATCTTGCTAATATTGTAAGACTTGACCTATTATAAGCCAGGGTTATCATAAATATGATCAAAACAATGAGGTCATAATTTTCAAAAATGGCTGAATTCGAGTAGCCTAATGACATCATTATGACATCATATTCAACGTCAATGAAACAATTTGAATGCATTTATTTCTTGTTCAAAGTCTTGGTTAATTTGTGACAGGCTTACAAATATTCCCAAAAATGAAACATAAAATGTGTAAGGTTTACTACAGTCCATAGGCTAAGGGAAAAGTAATAGTAAGCTGTATATAGAAGAGACAGGTAAACAATTAGGATTGAAAAATTTTTCAAAAACTTGCCGTCTTGGTACGAGTTCTCCTTACTGGTATCGAGTCGTACCACCAAATCTCCCAAGAATCTTCTCCAAAGTGTTTTCGAAACGTATATTGTTGAATATTTCAAATCTATATCCTAACTCTTCGATAAGACAGCATAAAAAAACATCATAACTCTGAAAGTAGATCAGTTGAAGACAACTGGTCCTCCTTCAAATCTACATTAATATCGTCAATCAATGAGCATATTCCAAGTAAAACTCTTAGTGGGAAATTCAAAGTACCCTGGATTACCACCAGGATACTGAGAATGATCCGTCAGAAACAAAGACGATATAATGTTGCCAAACGTTCAAATGAACCTCATCATTGGCATAAATACAAATCACTACGGAAATTAATCCATAGTGAAATTCGTAAAGAACATCAGCGCTACATCAACGATCTGCTTGACATTGATGAAAGCGAAATCATAAATGAGAATGTTCAGCACAAAGGCATTACCAAACGCTTCTGGAGCTACCTAAAGTCTAAACGCAAAGATGCATCAGGTATCAGCGTGCTGCGTAACAAAGATGGCGACGAAATAACAGACGCCACCCAGAAAGCAAACATCCTCAATGACCAATACAATTCTGTATTCACAGATGAGGATGCCACTCTACCGACAATGGTACCTAGTCAAATTCCTGAAATGCCAAATATCAAAATTTCGACAAAAGGAATTCACAAATTGCTAACTGGCCTAAATCCATCAAAAGCCACTGGACCCGATCTTATTCCGACTAGGGTCCTGAAGGAATGCAGTGACAGCATATCACCATTCCTTCAAATAATTTTTCAACAGTCTATCGATGAAGGCTTAGTGCCTATGGACTGGAAACATGCCAATGTTACTGCTATCAGTTCCATGTAAAATAATGGAGCATATTATATTCCATCACGTTATGGCCCACTTTGACCTCTATGAAATTCTAGTAAAATTCCAACATGGATTCAGGTCAAAGCACTCATGTGAAACACAACTTGTCAATACAATAGAGAATATAGCTCGGGCCCTCGACAACAATAAACAAACAGACATGTTGGTATTAGACTTTTCCAAAGCGTTTGACACGGTGGCTCACGAACGCCTCTTGCTCAAACTCGACTATTATGGAATTCGCAATAATAACTTGAACTGGTTCAGATCCTGGCTTGTGGGAAGATCACAACTGGTAGTGCTCGATGGTGAATCAAGTTCAAAAACTCCAGTAAAATCAGGAGTTCCTCAAGGAACAGTTCTTGGACCACTCTGTTTCCTTGTTTATATCAATGATATGGGCAATAACCTATCATCCTCAGCCAGTCTTAAGCTTTTTGCTGACGACAGCCTTTTATTCATGATAGTCGAAAGCAAGCAAGATGCATTAACACTACAGGAGAATCTTGATAAACTGGTCTCCTGGGCATCAACATGGCAAATGAAATTCCATCCATCAAAATGCTATGTGCTAAATATTCACAAAGGTAAATCCCCTATCATGCACAATTACACCATGCTAGGGGAAAACCTTAAGTCGGTTACACACATCCCATACCTAGGAATTGACATCACAAATAACTTACGCTGGACTACACATATTCAAACTATTGTATCCAAAGCCAATAAGGTGCTTGGATTTCTCAGGCGCAACCTCCATCAATGCCCTGAAAAAGTGAAGGCTCAGGCATATAAGTCACTAGTCCGGCCTAATTTAGAGTATGCCAGCTCGGCATGGGATCCATACCGACAAAAATATATTGATATGTTGGAACAGGTACAGAGAAGAGCAGCCAGGTTTGTAACCAAATGTCACTCAAGGGAACCAGGCTGCGTCACCAAAGCTCTTCAAGACCTACAGTGGGAGCCACTGAAGGAGCGTCGAGAGGCTGCTAGAGTTTTCCTTTTCTACAAAGGAAAGCAGAACCTAGCAGCCATCGACGTGCCTCCATACTTCCGCCAACAGATCAATACCAACACTAGGTTGTATCATCCTTCTAAGTTCATACAACCATCAACTAGAACGGATGCATACAAGTTTAGCTATTTCCCTAGGACAATAGCTAAATGGAACACTCTACCTGGTGACATCTTAGACTGTGACAGTCTAAGTAGTTTTAAATCATCATACTATGCCTATGTCAATAACTGCAATTAAATAGGTGTGTTTTTAATATAGATCTATGTTTTAATGTAAAGGGTCCCCAGTGCACAGCAACAAGCCTGCACTACTGGTAAAGAGGGGTGATGTCAACGCGGTAGCTTGACAGTCTCCCCAGGTAAAATGAGTTGTAAACCATAGATCTATTTTTAAATGTTAAGGTTTTAAATTATATTCTATTCAAATTCTATCACTGTTAAATTATATATCTGCTTTATATGGGCTTATTAGCCTTTTGCAGATTATTGACATAGACATAGACATAGACCAACTGTACGAACCTGCAATTGCCCGGCAAGTTGAAACTTCCGGATACATGGAAAGATTAAATCTTGTAACGATTGATTTGATTGGTTGTAATTAGAAGTTTAAAATTCCAAGAAAAATGTTAATTTCACCATTCAAATTGGGTTTAAAAAGATATTATATGAAACAGATGTTTTGATAAATAATTATTAAGTACACCTTTTATAGTTTTGTACACTTTAATTGATTGTTATTTCTAGAATATGAATTACATTTTAGAGAACCAGATAGGTGTCACTGGCGGAGGTTAGCAGGAACCAATCAAATTCCTTGTTTCAAACTTCCATTTAACACGGAAATCCGGGTAACTTGCCAGACAATTGTAGGTTTTCAGAATATCTCGCCTCAAGACGGCTTTATTCACTCTATATCACTTGAATGTGGTTGATTCATAGGTAAGAATTGAGAACTATCAATTTTGGATCAACTCTGCATTGTTTTTTGAAAATAATACACAAATAATGTTAAAATCGCCTTGTTAACAAGTGGCCTAAATCCTAGTTGTTCACCTGTCTCTTCTATATACAGCTTACTATTACTTTTCCCTTAGCCTATGCTACAGTCACTAGCCAACATCGCAGATAGAATGTTGCAGCGTTGTTTTTCATCTTTTGAAATACATTGCAGGTCAGTCCCGTAGCCAGAATTTTCCAAGGGGGGGTCACTTTTCCAAAATATTCTAGGGGGGGGGGGTCACTTTGGCAAATTTGGCCAAAAGTCACTCAAAAAATAGTCAGAATCACGGACGTCAAGTACGTTTCTGGCGAAAGCCAGAGCATAGATTATTTAGAGGACTGGAAACAAGAATGACCTACCTTTTTATTTCCCGAATCTCGCCTGAAATTAGCTCATTTTGGTGACTGTAACCTGTATATCTGTATTAATAGAGTCTTCTTGTATCACATTTGCCTCAATTTTAAAGTTTTATTGGTATTTTTAATATGATTTCACTGTTTTTGTGGACTGGTACGATCAGCCAAGCAAATGGCAGCTGACCTGTTCAAAGTACTTTTAGTACAATAATTTTGGAAACAACATTATTGTATGTTTATATATGTCTTAAATATGGAAATAAAATAACCTTAAAAAAAAAAAAAAAAAATTATACTAAATAGATCTACTAAGCATCTAAGGTAAGTAAAACTAGATGAACAGGCTGAGTCAATAGTGATAAATAGGCCAACACGAATTGGCAGAATTGAAATAGACTGCCATCTTGTTTCCAGTCCTCTTAAATATTTACTTGACGTCCGTGGTCAGAATGGTGAAAAAATGCATGATTTTGAAAGAAATTTTGGCCAGGGGGGAGGGTTCGCCCCAACCCCCCATGACTACGGGCCTGCAGGTCTTTATATGCGCGCACAGCCAGAACATATAGATAGTCGGTACAGTAGTTTTACTTTATATCGGTTATGTAACTAGGATAGGAAATATATGAGGCACAAGAATACAGAATTAAAATAAAGTTTCTTGTGTTACACCCATCATTTGCTCATTTTTAACAGACTATTATGCATGTGTAAAATATGTATACATATATACTATGCAATTACCAACTCACAAGGGGACTTTTTAAAATTCTATCATAGAGGTATCACGGATACCCGATGTTGTTCCGATCCGCGGAATTAGGCTCTCAAACGGAACAAAAATTAAATTAATTTAGAATAGATTGCAAATATTTTAACATTTTTCTGATTCGGGCCTCAAAAAATTCAAAATGGCCGCCTTATGCGGGAGTTCGCGATTGTTTTCCGATCTAAAAGTATGGCTATATCATACTCAAATTGAAGGAATTTCAGAGAAGATCACAATTATGGCATTGTTTTTCTGATTTGCGCCTCTGAAAATTCAAAATGGCTGACTAGAGCAGAAATTCGCCATTACTTAGAGTTATCTTGAAAGTATGGTTACATGATACTACAATGGTTTAAAATATTTATTGAAGGTTAGAGTAGATGGTAACTATTTCATTGTGACTGTTGTACAGATTGATGATTTATATAGTGTTCATTGGGATTTGCTACTCCGTGGAGTTGCCATTTTCTAGTTGAAATTTGATGCCACTTGTAGCACTAGTTTCAAAGCCAAATGTTCCAAACAGAACTGTTCTGATCTGATTTTTGTTTGTACCTTCAATGGATTATACAATAATTGAAATAAAAGCTTCAAATAAAAAGGCTCTTTTCTTCTTCTTTCACATGGTTTTATTTTTATTGGTTATGGGGGGTGATTGTACCCATCGCACCCCCCTGGCTAGGCCTATGACCTTGTTGAACATTCAGAGGCTACAGGATGATAAAAATTATTAATGAACAGGATTAATGATAATAAAGCTCAGTATTTTATTTCAAGTGTAATTTTACACTTATTAACATTAACATGTGAATCGATTCCTCAGGGTCTGCCCAGATGCTCTAACAAGGTTCTGTCTTACATGGCTTCTCCTCTATCAATCTGCAACTTGTCTTTTCGGATCGGATGGATATTGAGTTGGAAAAAGAGAATGGTGAGGGTAGAAACTCTAAGGAAACTCTCCTAAAGTGCATTAACAGGTTTTAAGAGGGTTATAAAATTCCACACCCCTATTTGAAGGGCTTTTAGGTCATATCTGAAAAGAATTGCTGCTGTTAACATGGCCAAGGGGGGACTCATTGACTAGTAATGTATTGTGGTGTAGAATTTTATTTTGGCAAAACACTAACTTTTAAAATGACTGTAACTTTTTCCCATTAGGGAGTTAAACCATGATACTTGGCAAATGAAAACTTTAAAATGATATATGACACATACTATGAGGACACTGGAATATGTCTGCCTAGGGGGGGGGGGCATACTTTCGGGACATCCTGTATATAAGAGGTATTTAATCCGAGTGGTTAATTTGCCAAATGGTCAAATTTTATCATCTTCCTAATGACAAGAAACTTCCCACTGGATAACATTATAAAGATAATATTTCCGACATTTAATTTTCCGAACCTTGCAAAAATTAGGCAATAGGCAAATTAAATGATTAGGCAAAATACCACTAGTAATTTAATTGATTTGATGAATGAAATAATGTTATAATTGAGTTAGATTGACTTAAAATTCATGCAATTAATACCTGCAGATATGTTACATTTTGAGTGTTATGATTTTGGAAAAATATTTGTTACCAGAATATTTTGTAATTTGGGACTTCAAACACTTCTAACATGTAATTTGTAACATAGCGTTAAAATAACACACGCGGTTTAGATTATTAAATATGTCATCAAACATAACTGAATTTAATTCCTTATGGTTTTCTATATAAAATCTCTTAAAATCTCATTAAAAAATCAGATTTCAAAGCTTTCAAAATGAAATGGATTTGATATTACAATTTAGGAAATAAGAAATATAGGGCATGATGGTATCCTTTTTATGATTAATATTTTATCGCGCTTGAGTTCTCTTAGGAAACAGCAGACATTAGCGATATCAAACGGATTTGAGACTTGGTAGACCATGAATTTGTTCGAGATTTTATAACAATATCAAACATTTAAATGTTAAACCTATTTGTATCTAAGTATACCACAATGATAATGATTTGATAATAGAGTAACCGCAAATAAGTTGAATTTGCAAGGGCTAGGCCTAGAACCTGTGACGTCAATTCTTTATCAACATTTATGCCTAGAGCAGTCTATGACTACGTTTACATTATTGTCTAACTCGAGGCTATTATAATTGTATTGCTTGCTGTGTAATTCGTAAACGCCAGCTATTTTTACATCGCTTATAACATGCGTTGCCGTAGCAACAAGCTATGATGTCATCCTAACTCCATACAACAATTCAGAGCATATTGATTACTAAGACGCTTGTTTATACAGTGGTATAATACATTGGACGGTTTCCAAGGGATTGATCTAAAGTACTACACTTTTACATCATAACCACACAGAACATGTAATGCACTTTACAGTAATTGTTCACATCAGATTTGCCGATCGCTATCATATGAAATTTTCTCAATATATTGATGGATTATTGTGACTTGAGCAATGACAGTGCTCTCTATCTGAAATGTCTTATTGATGATTGCATAAGGATTATAGGAAAAGATTAAATTATTAATGTGAGTTACTCAACTACAGAGAAGTAGTTTTGAGTTTGATGGATTTCAGTAATGGCTGCACATGACTATGGCACTATGAATATGGCACTATGGCTATGCAAAGTATATCTCAGCAAGTTGACTTAATTTAGCACAAAAAAACTGGGTATTTGGTCAAATAAAGTTAGCAACAATTAAGACTTCCTCAAGTCTTGCAAACAAGCCAGAAAAACCATTGGGGTTTTGTCAAGCTTGAAACTGAGCTGCTTTATACAAAAACTCACATCTGAGGACTTTTCAAGACTTGAGTGCAGGACTAATCAGATATTTACAACATATATATTTGTTTACCAATCTAACAATATGTGAGTGTGTCTGACATCAAAACTTTTCATATGAAGTAGTACACTCATCAGAATTTTTTTAATTCATAGTTTAATTAGTTTGTAAGTTTTCAGGGCAATATTTTAGAATTTACTTATTTTAAGTATAATTTTTCGTATTTTGGATGTTATGAATTTATTTGAGATGCCATCGCAGAGGTATAAACTGTACCGACTGATGATTTAGATAGGACACCCAAAATCTAATCTCTTAAATCATGGTAACATACAATATAATACCAGACAGTGCTTATATGGTGCCATATGGTACTGTTAGAGTGTATGGTACCATATCCTACATTGTCTTGGTATCATTTTATACTGTAGTACCATACGGCATTGTTGCTAATATGGTACTGCTGGAATCTACTGGTACCATATTTTGCAGTGTCACATGGTACCATTCTCATAGTACCATATGGTATTGTTATATGGTACTGTTGGAGTCTATGGTACTATATTTTAAAATGTCATATGATACCGGTCATTATAGTACCATATGGTATTGTTGTTTAGTGCTATGTGGTACTGTTGGAGTCTATGGTACTATATTTTAAAATGTCATATGGTACCATTCTCATTATAATACCATATGGTATTGTAGCTTAGTGCTGCTGGAGTCATAGATAGTACCATATTCTAAAGTACCATAAGGAACTCCATTTTTATAGTGTCATATAATGGAATTATTCAGATAATTTGAAAATAATTTTTATGATGTTTATTTCCAGGTAATGTAACAAGAAGTTGATTAGATAACAGCACCATCACCATGGCAACCAGTCAGACAGTAGATATAAACACTTCTACGCCATCAATCAATGCAACAGTCCTTAATAATGACACTGCCAATGGGAAACAAAATGGAGCAATAGATCCGACTGAAAGCAACCATGTTATGGAGAATGAATCAGGTTTTGATTTTCCAGTTAAGGATGAACCAGAGGATTACGAGGAGTATAACAGTGATGGTGAATATGTTGATACAAATATTGAATACACAGCTGTTAAATACGAAGACAATGATGTTGGTGGTGAACAGTATGCAACTGAGTTAGATGAAGCCAATGATAATGTGGAATATACTCAAATAAAGGGCGAACCATTATCATCATCTCCTGAGGCAACGGATTCAAACAGCCTAGAAAAACCTCCAAATAGCACAAATGATATTCTTGTTCCTGTTCAAAATGATAACACAAATAGAACATATGGGACTGATAATTACCTGGACGAGAAATTTACTAAGGCGCCTCTTGTGAAACATCGTGATAATAATAGAAAAGTTGTCGCAACTTTTGCTCCAAATCTGGAATCATCAAACTTTTATGCGTGTAAGAAATGCTTTTACTTCACTGATCAAACAAAGCATGTGTATCGTCACGTGAAAGTGCACGATAGTGGCGCTGTCATCAACGTCCTTTGTGGTACCTGTAAAGAAATGTATCCTGAAGATCAAATGAGATTTCACATCATAAAAAAACATTTCGGCGTTTCACCAAACATACTACTTGGAATCAACACAAATATATTCCAAGTGGAGTCTGATGTAGCCACATTACTAGATAATAATCCGTATGTATGTAAACTTTGCAGTTATAAAACAAATCTAAAGCGGTTAATGTATCTCCATTTAGGTACTAAGCATTACAAGGCAGAGTTGTATGAGTGTACGTACTGTCATTTCAATTCTGTGGAAAAAGAACAAGTCTATATACATTATTTACAAAATCACCCCAAGTGTAAGTCAGGGGGAATCGACTCGGTAGTGGTAACGCAGAAAAACTCTTGGGAGAGATTTCTGAAAGTAATTGACAATTTATATTTTTGTCACATTACCCCTACAGAACTTCAGAATCTACAGAATCGAATCAGCTCACCGAACCGAGTGCATAAAAGGACAACTAAAGGTCAAAAGCTGATATTTCATGAAAAAATACAAATGGCTAATGAGCAGTTACCTTGGCAATTCAATGAACACAAATTTCATCAAACTCCAGACAACCAGATTGTCGGAACCAAATGTCACAGTCTTCAAACCGACACCCCTGGTTCTTTAAAAAATATCATGAATCCTAGTAGCTCCCTTAAGTCAGGCTCCCCAAATCCTGGCGCAGGCTCCACCAATCTTGGCACTGGCTCCACCAACCTTGGTGCAGGCTCCACTAGTCTTGGCACTGTCTCCAATGACCTTGTCACAGGCTCCACCATCCTCACAACTTCCAAGTCCCTCCAGTGTGGATCTACCACCCTCCTTGAAGGGTCTGATAAACCACCTTCTTGCAGTAGAGCATCCCCAAAGAATGTGGAGGAGCCAATATCTGGGGAAAATCTTATTAATTTTCTTGGTAGGTGTGAACTCTTACCAGATCTAAGCTAGAATTTACAAATTCAACCACGGATTTGAGTGCTATTTTATGACCAACTCATTTAATATTTAAGTAAGTTATAAAACAGTACATCAAACCGTCACCCCCGGGCCGTCATCCGACAGCTGTTCAAGAGGCACTGTTGATGTTTAATATCAGGGACAGTTTGGTACCCCTTGTTATTAAAGGCCCTGTGCAAAGTGGTTTGAACTTCATATGGGACCTTAAAACATAATGTAAAATGATTCATGTTTATTATATAAAGCAACTGTCAAGTTCCAATGTATTGTTCTCTGAACCACTTTATTGTATACTTGTACTGTATACATGTATTGTATACATATACATGTACAATGTACATACTTTGAATTAATTGCTCTCTCTTAGTCTATATTAATTTTCAATTAATTATATTTTTTTAATACTTGAACATTGAAAAAAATTAGGATAAACACTGCATTGGTGAAGTGCTTTTTAATCACTCCCCCATGTGTTGACAGTGTTATGAATGGTCTCCACCTTATGGGGGTGGTTAGTGTTTGGCAGTTGGTGCCTGTAACAAATGGCAGGTTTTAATATCTATGTCACATTGATAAATTCATCCTCCGATCACAGGGCTTCAAAATCCAGAATATCTTCTTCTTTTTACACCCTGCTAGAAGCAGTCAGCTTTTCCCCAAATAAGAACTCGCAATTTGATTCGCGACAGCAATACGTCATCGGTGCATAATTAGATCATGTGACTCAGTTTAATTGGACGCTTCCAAATTGGTTATAGCAGGGTGAAGAAGGAGGTACGGATTCTGTACACCTGCTTAGGAGGATGTGATAAATTGGACTAGAAAAAGTGTATACTTGGAAAGGATTTACTGTATTTCTAATTCCGATTTGATATATTTGATTTTTCACTGTAGGTACACATGGCAATGTTGTGAACTCTCTACTCAGTGCAAAGTCCGAAGAGGAACAGAAAGATGCCCTAGCATTGCTGAAACCCCGCACTAAATCACAGTCAGGCTCTGGGAAAAGAAAAAAGCGTAAACCAGATTTAAGACCTGATAACTTGGAGGCAACCAATCCAAAGCCATCCTACCCAAATAAACCCACAGGTTTGACAATTTTTGTTAAATAGTTTTTCATGAACTAATTTATATTGATGTTAAGATTCTCCATAAAAAAAAATAAATAAAATAAAAAAATAAATAAAAAAAGTTTCTCCATGTCCATTGGTTATTGTGTAATTTATGTCTAATACAGGGACTCACCAGGTCCTCTGATAACAGGGGTTTCATAAGCAGTAGCAGGCAACAGGCGATTTTCACCCATTGATTTTACAAAATCGCCTGTTGTTTTTAGGGACTATTCAACTTTTCCTTGTTAAATCTATTCATTTATTTAGCATGTTGTGGGAAATATTAGTTAAACCCCTATAATATCTTTAAAGCAAATGTGTTATTTTAGGTCTGATAGGAACCCCACAGGTTGCCTGGCCAGTAAGGGCTGAGCCTGGAGGTGGGCCTAACATTAGGTTCAAATTACCAATACCAAAAAACCCCAAAGAAGGATTCAGAACAGCCTGGGAGGTAAGATTCTTAAAGGAAAGCTATGCTCAAATAATGAGATTCTTAAAGGAAAGCTATGCTCAAATAATAAGATTCTTAAAGGATTACTATGCTCAGCCTATTATAGAATGGTGATTTATATCTGGAATGATTCCAGTCTGTTTTAAAATGGTGATTGATATGTAAAATGTATTTCAGCCTGTTATAAAATGGTGATTTATATCTGGAATGATTCCAGTCTGTTATAAAATGGTGATTTTGTAAAATACATTTCAACCTGTTACGAAGTGGTGATTTATACCTGAGATATATTTCAGACTATAATAGAGTTGTAATTTATATCTGAAATGTTTCTTAGCCTGTGGTAGAACCTGAGGAGACTGGTTGGACACTAGAAGATGAGCAGCAATACCAGAGGCAGAAGCTTCAGTCTATTCTACAGACCAATAATGAACCACAGAGGATAGAAGAAGTGAGACAAATCATATGATAAAGTAGTCTATTTTAGAGGCTATGGGGTAAATACAATGATGAACCACTAAGGTTAGAGAAGCTGGACAAATATTCATGTTTTTCAGATGAACGGTTATTTTTTTATATATTCTGATGCATGATGCATAAGTGATGCATCTAATGGTACAGCAGTCCTAAACCATGAGGTCAAGGTCATACACCATTCGCATTATAAGGCCATGTATTAAATGTATTCAAGTAAACATTTACTGATATTTTAAATTAAAAGTTGCTTCTTATTAGATAACTATGAAGTGTTGTATTGCACCCAGGAAATGAGATAGATATTTATATGGATTGAAAATATGATAAAAAATAATGCTCATTTTGAAGTTCTCACATCACAATAAAACCACACCCCTTTGTCTCGATCTTTCCAAAGTAAGATCAATTGATTGCAAACGACATATTAAGAGGGGGTGTGGTTAACCCTGATGAAGTTCTCATGTTTGTAGCACACCCCCTCTCGAAAGCCCATGATTTCATTTAGATATGGGACTCAGTTTTAGATAGAAAGTACAGTATATCCATCAAGAAAAATATGACATGTATGTGTAAAATCTCCCAGTCCATAACTACCTTGTATTTCAGGGTGAAGTTGAAATAAAGCAAGAGCCAGATGACGGCGATGACAAGAGAGAAGTGATGCATCTTGTTGACCCAATGGAAATAAATGGTAAACATATAGTCCCTTAGTCTCTTAGTCATTGCCTCACATGATTTTTGGAAAAGTTACCAAAATAGATTCCAATGATATTCTTTATAATTTGGCATGAATGAAAACTCAACTGCCAATTCAAGATTAGACACTGTCTTACATGATTTTTGAAAAAATCACCAAAATAGGCTCCAGTATACCTTGAATGCAAAAATATGTGATGGAATTTTTGCGACTGTTACCTCTTTATGTCACCACCAGAAGTAGTGACATATTGTTTTATTCTCCAATTTTTTGTGGATGGTGTTTGGCGGTTGTGCTTGGCAGTCAGTGTCTGTAACAAATGGCATGTGGTGACATTTTTTGCATGTCAATGCCTTGTTTTTTTGCTGATGACCCAAAATTCTAAGGAAGCCTCTGTCATTTTATTTCCAGATGAAGAGACTGGGGATCTCACTGAGACAGATGACTCTTACGAAGAAGCAGATGATGATGACGGGCAAAGTGAACCTGCTGATAGGACAAAACGTAGGAGGACCAATAAACAAGATGCTTCACTCAAGAAACGTAGGTTTCATCCCTGCAAGTGTCATTTTTGAGACAATGGGCTAAATCAACCAAAATTTCCTTTGTATAACTATAATATTGTGAGGTCTAAATAAATGTTACATATGCTATTTTGTTCCAACAAGGTTCGGAAAGACATTTTATTTCATTTTCAAGAACTGGTAGAAAGGAACAATGTTAAAAAATGTTAACAAAAACAGTTATATAAAATATATAAAGATAATTTTCGCATTAAATTGTTATCAATCAGTCAACATAACATAAAGGACTGTGTTTTTTACAGAATGTTTTCTATAATTGGTTTAAGAGAAAAACATTGTTGAATTCAGTTCACCATATCGATACCACTCCTTTGTGGTATCATGAATTTATGAGATCCATGGTTGTAGCCAGGCATGAGGCAGGTGAGGCATATGCCTCATCAAAATTTTACAAAAATAAATTGTTCAGATCACTTTTCAACTAAAACTGTGGAAAATAAGTCCAAAGATAGTAATACACCATATTAAGTCTAAATTAGCCTCACCTGATCGTTTTTGCCTCACCTGATCATTTTTGCCTCTCCTGATTTTAGATCCTGGCTACTCCCGAGGTCTGGCTTAGTACCTGTGATAATGATTTTGATTTCAGGGAGACAATATGAGGAGGATGACGAGGACTGGGTGCCTCCTAAACCATCTCCAAAACGTAAACGACTAAATATCTCACGGAAAGACCAAACTCAATCTGTTCAAGACTCCGATTCCACTGAGACTAACACAAACACTGTCGCAGTTCCGCCAGCCCCTGTAGAACAAGAGCTTTTCCCCCTTGAAGAAATCGATAAACCAAATAAGGAGATATACATCTGTAAATCGTGTGTTTATGTCAGTACGACAATACGGGCGGTGAAGGTGCACTCAAAGCGTTTTCATTGCGAGTATAAACCGTATAAATGTCGTTGGTGTTCTGCTGGGTTTGTAGAACGAATGGACGTAGTGAACCATCAGCAGGTTGAACATAACATCAAATCGGCTTTGGATAAGCAAGATTGGATATGGAACTCCCAGGAGGGATTTGAATCTGAGCTACTAATGCAGAATTCATTCCGGACGTTAATGGTCAACGATAAACAGGTGAAGGAGGTCTTCAAATGTTCCAAGTGTGTCTTTGTGACGACATTCCGGGAAATCATCGAGCGTCATGTTAGCATGGTTAGTGTATTTGTTTTGTCAGGTTATGTCTTATGTGCAATGTTGCTATGTTTCAGTGTATGGTACGGTTAAAGGATAGGCCACTGTAAAATATGGCACTGTACTGTAGACTCAAATTGTAGATACCCCAAGTTATAATGTATATATAAATGTGGGGTCTTGTATAATTATTACATACATCAGAGGTCTTAATGTAGGTCTTAAATCTTTCTTAAATGTTAATAGTTTTACTGGATTAATATGTCAAATGTATTTGTGTTTCACACTCTGTGAAATCATCATAGACTCTAAAAATGGTAAGAGAAATATAAGAATTCTATATATATTTTTTTTAAAAGGAGTTCCCATGGGGGCCCTATCGCTACCCATTTGTTTATCTCATGTTGAGTACTTTTTTCTCTTCGATTTATGTTTTCATTTCATCTACAAAATAACTATTCTATAATCACATGTACACCACCTCAGATTAGACATTTTTGCAAGAGTCAAGATTGCTCCATAGCAACCCTAAAATTCAGTAATATCAAGATCGTGTGACGTAGTATACCCTTTCGTGACGTAGTATACCCTTTCTAATGTTGAATATGATGCTTTTAGATGCACGCAGAGGTTCAGGAGGATTGCTATACTATTACAAAAGAAGAGGAATTTAACTCTGGTGATAACATCACAGTGAACTTCCAGTGTCAAGCCTGTAGCACGAGAGCGATGAATTTCCTCGGACTCCGTTACCACATCCTATACTGCACCAAGGTCATTATGAATTGGTTTGAGAAAACAAAATTAGAGACCACGAATTCAAACCATTATGACGTGTGTGTGAAAGATCTTTTGAGACTCCCGCGATATTGCATTATCTATTCACATGAGAATCTATACAAAGTCGTCCCCGAATCGATATCAGTTTCAAGACTGCGTATCACTGGGGTTGTAGGGGTAAACACAGAAGCAAATGATGCGAATGACGCTCCAAATGAAGCTGCTCAACCAATGGAAGTAACAAGAAAAACTCGAAAGGATAAGAAGGCTTTGTTACATCAGTATTTGAACAATTTAAAAAAGACGACTGTACCTGAAATTGTCGTTGAAAAACCATCAGAATCCCCACCAATCGCCATTAACCCAAATTCCAACGAACCTTTCATTACAATCACCCAATTTCAACAAATGAAAAAAGGAACTATGAAAACGAAACCTGAGGAACATGTAGACGATCAAAGCACAAGAACTGTTGGGCTTGATCTATCCCATAATAATAATACAGGAAGTAGCTCACCTTCAGATTCGGAAGATAAAAAGGAAGGGTCAAAAAGAAGGCAGACTGCACCAAGAAAGTTGGACAAGATTATCAATAAACTGATATCGTCTGCTTCTCCTAGTAGCTCACCTCAGCCTCTTTCTGAGTATTCCAACCCAGTTTTATCACCGAGTAATGATGTCACACAACGCAGTCGTTCTCTCTCTCCTCACAGGGTTACAACTTCTCCACACAGGGTTCCTACTTATCCAAATTCTCATTTTGGTGGTACTTATCAATATATTCCCACATCCGGTAGATCGCCAGTTGAAACTCCAGCCCCTAATTCATACAACCAATCAGAGGAGAGGAACATACATTCAACTGCTATCCATGCAGGGTTAGATTTGTCGAAAGTGAAACAGGAACCAGAAGATCAAACCCAGAGTGATGTTAATGCACTCCGGTCTCTGTATAAGACGACAACACACTTACTAATTGCTCCTGTATCTCCCTCTATATCTAACCCTGGACCCCCTCAACCTGTCCAAATGCTTCCTAGTCCCGTCCCACAAGGTCTTATTCAACAGACTCATCAGCCAGAGGACAATGCGTTTTCCTATCTCTGCTTAAGATGTCCATATGCTACCTTATCAATTCAGACTATGGAACAACATGTTCTTATACATTGCATATGCGCTCCGTATATGTGCCAGAAATGTGACTTTAGAGCTACATCGAATAAAGACATGAACACGCATCTGCAGCGCTCCGTCAGAAACTGCGTGACGTGGCATTTTGACAGGGAAGTCGCAAAGACACAACTTGAAGAAATCCGGACGTTATTTAACGGGTATAAAGACAAAGACATAACCCACAAATGCAACATGTGCAAATATAGCACTGAGCATGGTGCGATGATCCGGGCCCATGTAATTCAACAGCACAGTACGCGTAATTTTTTCAAATGTGGCCACTGTGGGTTTGAGGACTCTAAACGGCATGAAATACTTCTCCATTCTCTGACTGAACATGCTGAGAAGGAGGTCAGTATCATAGATGGGGAAGAGAGTAAGAAAAGCATTGATTTGGAGGCTGAGAGCCAGAAATACTACACTTCAATCAGACAGTCTGTACTAAATAAATAGAAGAATGGACAATCTTGTAGGTAATGATTTAAGCCCTGAACTTAGCGCAATGTGGACTGAATCATTCCTCAAAAAGCTGTTATTTTAACCTTTGCTCAGCATTGAATGTAAAGTTTAGGAAATAACGTCTGAGTGGAATGAAGTAGTCACAATGCATCAAGTCTTGGGCTTAAATTCTTTTCACACATTGCAAAATATATGAAATCACCTGAAAGATACAAAAGCACTAAAAAAATATTTTCAATGAAATTTTTGCAAGGATCGGGCAAACCCCTCCGCCCCCTTGCCAAATATTATCTCAAAATCATGCAGTTTTTCACCATTTTGAGCACTTCTCAAGTGATTTTAGCCATATTTGGGCCAAAATTGTCAAATGTGAATCCCCCTGGACATTTTTGAAAACTGAACCCCCTGCACATATTGCCTAGCTATGTGGTTTACAGTCAAAGATCATAGATATTATAGCAAATGAGTAAGATATAAGACGCAAAGGACTACTTTAAGAATCAAGAGGAAGAGGGTCAGCAATAATTTACTCCTGCCTGGTCATTCAATAAGTTCACAGAAAATGCTCTTATTTTAAAGGTTTTTATTATTTTTTGATGAAGTTTTCACATAACATCAAAAATGTTTAAATACATTAAATACCAGAATCTCTTATTTGATAGGTCAAAAATAATTGCTATTATGGTAGCTTCACTTTTTGGTAGGTGGAGCACAATTGCGAACTTATTGAGCAACCTGGTATGTTGCCTCTTTAAGTAATGACTGAGCACTGTGCATCTCTCCATGTAAAGGATAAGTACAGTACTACATATACAGGGTGGTCCAAAAAAAAGTGAACCCCTGCAACTGGCCATATTTCCCTTATTACTTGCAGGAATTCTTTTTTATTTTCACATGTTGTAGAGGAAGGTCTAAAATTTATGTTGGTACCATACATTTTTCTTAGTCTTGAAATTTGCAGAAATTATAAGCTCTAACCAAACATTACTGAAAATGGACAAATTGTGATTTTCAATATCCGCGATTCTTCAACCCTTTAACACCTTTCCCCTGAGAATCTTTTAAGCTGCGGTCTTAAAGAAGTAATATTTTCTGACTTTGTTCAATTTTTAATCCTGCACATTATGGCTTAAAACTAGCATCCTACATTTGTTAGTTGCAAAGTTATTGTGATCCAAAGAGATGTGCTAAGCTTCCACAGACGAGAACATTTTCCAGTGAAATCATGAACATACCCCTATATGATCTCGAAATGTCAATATCTTCATAAATCATGGACCAATTCTAATGATATACACCCCCAAAATGCAATCTGATTTTCGACGCCGTTTCGGTGCCAAATTTCGGTGCCGTTTCGGCACCAAATGGACTGACTAGTCCGGTAGCAAATTTTGGTGTCGAAAGGTTTCGGTGCCGGAAGGGTGTCGAAACAGTGTCGGAACGGTGCCGAATTGTTTCGATGGCGAAACGGCGTCGAATTATATTGGCTGTGTATGGCTCAAAACATTGAATATTGGATTTTCTTTTGAATTATTAAAGATATTTGATGAAGGGGTTATCAGATTCCTGGTCACAGGGGGCAACTTCCTTCCATAAGAGGCCCCCCTCTAACTGTTGGTGTAGGTAACATACCCCTGAACTGTTGAACAGTTAAAAATGCTTCAAAATGATCAATGAAAGTGTGAAATGTGTTTTCTGCTTGAATAGTGTCCCTTTTGTCATATGGTAGGGTTTTAAACTTGTATCTCTCACTGAAAGCTGTTTAAAATCATCCAATGTGTTTCAACAATTTCCGTGAATCACATTTGTAAAATTTTGTACAATATCTAATTTCCAGGCATGTTTGTTAAACGCTTGTAATTTCTTCAAAATTTAAGACTGGGAATAAATTATGGCATCAACCAAAATTTTAGACCTTTCTCTACAACATGTGATAATATGAGCCAATTCATGCATGTATTAAGAAAAATGTAGCCTGTTGCAGGGGTTCACTTTTTTTGGACCACCCTGTATATCTGTGTAAGGACTTTTTACTGTACATCTATGGAAGGACTAAGTACTGTATAGCTCTATTTTTATAAGGACTAAGCACTGTAAATCCCTTAATGTAAAGATTAAGTACTGTAGATCTGTGTAAGGCCATAGTACTGTATACATCTGTGTAAGGGCTCATGACTACATTTTTGTAAGGATTAAGCACTGTTCATCTCTCTATGTAAAGTACTGTACATCTGTGTTAAGATTCAGTACTTTTCAGCTCTCAATGTAAAGACTAAGTACTGCACTATACATCTATGTATTGTAAGGACCAAGTACTGTACAACTCGCCATGTAAAGACTAAGTAGGATTTATCTGTGGAAGGACTTATTACGTACTGTACATCTCTATATAAAGACTATGTGCTGTACATCTATGTAATGACTAAGTACGGTACATCTCTTTAAAGACTAAGTACTGTACATCTATGTAAGGACTAAGTACGGTACATCTCTTTAAAGACTAAGTACTGTACATCTATGTAAGGATTAAGTACTGTACTTCTATGTAAGAACTAAGTACTGTACATATTCCCTTAGTAAAAACAAAGTGCTGTACATCATTGTATGGACTAAGTACTGTACATCTCTATTAAAATTGCCAAAAATGAACCTAAGAAAATTATACAATTTTAATATAGCCATTGAGTTATGGAATTACGTCCTAATGAAGAATGAAATAAAACAATATCTGTAGATTTCTAGATATGTTTATTTTAATCAACTATGAGCTTTAAAGGTGTCACTACGATTGCTGAGCGTAAGTTATTTTATCAAACTCGGTGAGTACCATTCTGATACTCATAGCATCTCTCTCTGTTGCATCGCAGTTATCCAGAAGGAAATAGTTGGAGAGGGCGTGGCTTACCACGATGGGTGAGTACCAAGACCAGAGAAAGTCCCGGAGCTTAGCGATGATATACATAATTACGTCTCTTGCTCACCAACTTCGTTTGTCCAAATTTTCAGCGTCTAGTTTCCAAATACTTCACTTCGATGTGAGGTTTTAATCAGTGTATTTTTATTCTGATATACAGAGTCCCTCGTTTTAGCAGCGTTTGGGTCCCCAGCTGGGGACTTAAACGCCTTCTCACAGCTGGGGACCTAAACGGCTTCTCGCAGCTGGGGACCCAAACGCTGCTAAGACGATGGACCCCGGGCGATGGACTCTGTACAATAAAACAATGCACCGACAGAAAGGCATTTTGTTTTGCTTTGTATGGTACAACGGTGCAGAATGAGACTCACAATCCTTGATTTTCAAACATCTGGGACTGGTATGTCTAGAATTTAAATCAACGGTCGTAGTTGGCACCGCATGTAATTAATGACAATATTCTTCGACACTTATGACCCTATGTTTTGATTAATAGTACAACCTCAGTTTGAAAGTCCGAACTTCCTCGTGAATCTGAGCTCGAGGGCAAAATTAAAATTATGTTGACAGGTCCAAAATAGTGGAGTGATCGTGGTATAGGTAAATTGCAATGGTACATTGTTGTTCATTGATATCGTTGGATCATACCTGTACGTTTCATAAACATGGTAAGTGTGAAATAAATTCCGTTCCCGATATGACGGGCCTTCTGTGATGAATTATAAGGTGTTGGACGAAAGCGCGACTGTATTTCTTGAAATATTATAACTGACTGACTGACTGACTGCAGGCCCGTATAGCCAGCTTTTAAGAGGGTTCCCTTTTCAAAAAACTCCACGAGGTTGACATTTGACAACTCTGGTCAAAATCACTTGAAAACTGCTCTGGATTTCAATTGTGAAAAACTGCATGATTTTCCAAAAAAAATTTTGCCAAAGGAAGAGTTAAGTTAAGAGTTCAGAATGAACGTAAGATGGTCGTCGAACGTAGGTTTTCTGAACGTACGTACTAAAGTTAGTCCATAAACATCGTGAAGATTCTCATCAGTAAGGGATTTAAAAAGAATGCTCGGGGGCCTTTCACAAAGACGAAAGGTAAATAAGGAAGTGAAGCGAAGTAATTCAAAACTAGGTAATTAACGTAATTACCAAGATAATTGATAAGGGGGTGGGGGCTTTACCTTGAATAAAACGTAGGCTTATTTACTTCTGAATCTGTATTTGTTAATATGTTAATTCAACTCGAAAATAAATATTTTGTTGATCTACTAGTAGTTCCAAGAAAACAAAGACCCACCAAACATTGCATAGTCACAATTAATTTACTTATGATGTGAATCGATTCCATTTGAAACTAATCACAGCCTTAGAAATATCTAAGACGTTGAAAGTATCTTGCTAGTTTCATCAAATTTCAGACCTGTCCTCAACTATGATGCAACATGGTGCTTAAGCGTGGGAACCGACGATGTGTCAAAGGCTGCTCCAAGAATTGCAAATAATTTACTAGTATAAGCCTTGATAAACACTTGTTCTGTCAACTTGATTAAATAAAGAGATCAATAAGAACTTAAGTCTTGAAAATGAAAATGTCATAGTTCTTAATTATTGTTCCAAATCAAAGAAAGCATGTACATGACAACCCTGTGTCGAAATGAAATAATAACGAGCCAGATACCACACAGTTAGCCAGGTAAACTTCGTATTGTATTTACAATGGGGCATGTATTTCGGACCCTAGTTTGCACATCTATTTGCTTCTTTTGTTTATTCTACCAAAAGCTTAAAGGCAAAATCAGATCTATAGAGGAGACAAAATTGCAAGCAATACGTACAATTGACCAACCATGAATCTATTCCTTACAATCTCAAATCCAATATCTCCCAAAATAGATTCATGATATGTTATAAACTGGTGACGTTTTTGTGGATTCAAAGTGCAAAAATATAGGTGAATTTTTTTTAATTCTCCCAAGAATGCATGGTAACCATTCTTATAGAAAAATAATACATTATTGTAAAAATATTTTTCTGAAATAAAATGTGCACTTTGGATATTTTTAGAAAATAGACATGACAAGGAATGGCCATGAGCCAGAAATATTCATTGTAACATTGAAACAATTTCTTATTGGCCTGCTCGCTATATCTGATTCTCTCTTTAACAAATAAGTAAATACAGAGAGAGTTCTTACAACCAGAGACATATAAAACTGTTTTTATGTCC